ATTCTGATTCCCAAAGCTTAATCAAACACTTTGTAATACAGGTTTTACGCCAAGCTGTATGATTCTTAGCAAATGTGAACAAGGATGGCAGCAGCCATTTCCTGGGGCTTTTGTGATTTCTCGAGAGAGTACCGCACCAAGAAAGGGGTGTCATGTGATAACCTATTTTCGCGAGAACAGGAGAACGTTTGGGGTAACACATACGTCATAAACGACAATATAAGGTTTTATGGTTATTCTGAAAACAGTAGGTGCTAAGATTGCTTCGCCGCAAATGGTTGAAAAAGAGTTTCGCTAAGAGACCTGTTTTCCCGGACTCTTGAGCCTTAATATCACTGCTGATCATCTGATGACATATTATGTGGGTCGTCTAAGACACAGTCCACGTACAGAGCCAAGCACCCCGTGTGTCAGGGCAGAATACTCGAGTATCCCGCTGTCAAAAGATACTTCAAAGTATAACGAAAGAACCTTTTATATAAAACTAATACATTAACCTTAATATTTTTCTGAAGTGGAGCAACAATTATACTTCTACAAAACGCACCTCTGTGATCTACCGTGCTTCATATCCTGAATCTTAACTATGCTTCTAGAAGTACTTCGTAGAGTCTAAGCTTTGTAACGATCTTGGTCACATGGAGCCAGCCACCTGCTGGCTCGCCTAGCTAGCCGTGCAGCATGCCATGGTATTTACTAACTTGGTACGTAGAGAGCCCTTTGCTCTTGATCTTAGATTTCAATTCAAAAGACCCTGCTCCCGATTCCAAGTCCTTACAAGTCTCTATTTGATTAAAGAATCTAGCTGTATCTTATCATTTTAAAGAGTAAACTAAGTATATACTATCTCATATTCCTTCTACCAGGTGTTTCTTGTAGATAGAGGTTTGTGAGGACTTGGAATTGGAAGCAAGGTCTTTTGGATTCGACTCTACTACGAAGGCATATGACATAAATGTTACCCACTTCGCTGATAACATTTACTTTGCACTGCGTGTCTAGGCTTAATACCACAAGGCCTTCTTGACTGCCTCGCTAATCGTAATTGACAATGGAAAGAATGTCGTAATTGGTAGGGTAGCCCGAGGTATGCAGTGGGATTACAGCTACGCAGGTCCCTCAAGAATAGCTGAGGGCACTCCGTACCCCGTACTCCGTAAATTGAGATAAGCTTATGATTCAAGCAGATGGTCTGCAGAGCACTGGAGCCACTTTTGCCCCCACGATCGTGTGGATTTCTCTTGTGAACCTTCCAAGCATTTGCACCTTCCAAGCTCCTTCCAAGGACTTCTCTCCCACTAGATATTGAGGCTCAGCTGCTCAAGATTCTGGGTAAACAGGCCTTAGGGTAGAGCAGTCAAACTTGGCTATGATTTTGTAAAATAGACTCCGTAATTCCGATTGAATCACCGGCAGAGGGCATTGTTTTTGAATATACAACAATATGCCTCAAGATCGTACCGTGATAAATCGTCTCTAAGAAAAATGGGTGGGACGACAGTGGCTTTCGCTAAGAGTGGTCGGTAAGCTGTGGGTGACTAGGATTCTGCGACGAAGGCCTTCTTCTCATGCGTAGAAGATCACAGCTAGACTTTTACCGAAATACACATGAAAATCTGATCTATGAGACTGAGTTGCCCGAAAGGCGATCTTGCCAACTTCCGCCACTCTTGAGCGCTATCTGCTATCGTCCCACCTATTTTCCGCAGAGACGATTTATCACGGTATGAGAACTGCCGAAATTGGAAACAAAACATGGATGCCCCTTGTCAGCATTCGCTCGGTCATGTACACTCCGCAATGCGCACCACGTGTGGGGTTGGGTTTTCAAAACCTAAACAACGGAAAAAACCCCGTTTGTGAAGGACGTCCAAGCGCACAGATACATGATCTTCCAACCTCCTGTTACCTCCAAGAGTTTAACAGAAAAAAACAAGAAGTGTAAAGGGTCTGGACAGCTCGCATCTCCCTCAGTGGGAGTGTGGAACACAACTTGAAAGGTGTACCGGTATATGTATTAGAAATAAGCAGTTTCCAGACTTCCTTCGGGGCACTTGGTATAATAATGGCAATCAAATCACATTACAAGCAATCTACTCTTTCTCCCCCCCTTGTCACTTTCTGATATACCTCTACATGAATCAAACAATCCAATTGGCCCAGAGGGTGATATTGTAGGGTTATACCATGTCTACAACAAGTCGTATACAGGGGAGGGGGAGACGCGAGCTGTTCAGACCCTTTACTAAGTAAACGCGTAGCTAAGCAGTTACATGGCGGAGCGCGCCGAAGTGCTCTCTCCACGATCGCGCCTATTCAATGCAACCATATGGTCCACACCTCATAACATGAAACTACAGGTTCGGAGTATAGGCGGTTGAACTTCCAACGACTCAAGTTCGCTGAACATCATATACCTTGGCAATGTTGATTTGGGTCTTGCACCGGGGTGCACCATACTAAATATGGGTACGGAGTACACAACCCTAATTAAATGCTTGACTTGTAACGAGTTACAGTAACGTTTAGCTCGCACATCAAGTGAAAAGAAGCGTACTCGTCCGAATACATTATCTAGCTTTATCTAGAGTACACCATAAAATCAGACAATACTATCAGAATCCTAATCTGACGTGCCCACTCTATAAACTCGCTTAGTCCACCTAATGTCGACACTACTACTTTATATATATTTAGCATATATTTGTATAGCAATTGTAAAAACCTTTATTCAAAGACGTAGTACCCGTGATCCAAAAGTGAAAACTATAGCTCTAGCAGCTAGAACTAATACATATGGTACTTCAAAAAACTATAACTAGTACATTATTTCCTGAACCTCGCATAGGTACATTTCGGCATTGGTGATACCCACTTTAAGTCTTGGTGCTCAACAATAGTACAATATAATTGGCGCGGAGCAAGTCGGGACAAGCCCCGTAGCGCGCCAATGCACTATTCCGAGCGGTCCGGCCTCTTAAATAGGAAATCGAGAACCTAAAAATCGAAATGTACATATGCGAGGTGCATGAGATACCTCGGATTGCAACAAAAAAGAACACTCTATACAAACGGTTTTATCACTCGAATGCAAACTCTTTAAAACAGTCGAAATCACTTGAGTTTTGTAAAAGTAGGGTTACGCCGTCGAAAACTCGCTTGCGCCTGCGTCCCGGCCAAACACGCACTCAAGCTCTTCTCCTGCGTGGCGATCATTGTGACTGGTCGAACAACCCATGACCCGTGGAAACCTGATCTCTGTGTGGCCCAAAAATCGGTGTTGCCAACTCCTGTCCTATCCACTCTCGTCCACTCACCTGCCTCCAAGATGATCTAGAAGTATCACGGTACCCGTGACAACCTTATTCAGAAGGCACAGCTACAGGTGCAAACCCTGCGGCATCTTGTCATCTGGAGTTCAGGTGGAGCCCAGACCGTATCTGAAGCCTTACCAAGTGTTTTGGATCGTACAAATCATGGGGAGGGTTGACGTTTGGTATGGATCCGAGGATATTCCCGAAATTTCTTGTTTTGTTTCGTGAAATTGAAAACACCAGAAACCGTTCATGAAGTTCACTAACAGGTGTGCTGGTGATTCGGAGTGGTTTGAGCGGGCGAGGGTTACTCTTCGGTGGTTATATGGATCAAATTATCCGGGGAATTCTTCGCTTGCTCTGGGGCACGCCCGACGACCAGGAGACGACCATGTACGAAGTAGGTAATGGCTTTGTAACGTGCTGGGCATCTCTGGGCAAGTAATGTCAATATGACAAAGATACCCGAGGATAATCATAATGGGGGGCAGTTATATTCGTCTCATTTGGGCTAGCGTATCTTGTTATTCTCTCATTCCCACCTTTGGTACGGTCTTTGAATGGTTGTTTACTCGGACAGGGTCCGTACACCTATTAGGTGAGCAGGAGGTAGGATTTGTTCCAGGCAGCCAAACTTTGCAGCTCACAATCTGGTGCATGTACTCCGTATCTAGCTTCTTAGAACTGTCTATTGGTCAATTGCAACTGATCCTCGAGTTCCTTACTTTACTCTGTATCGCACTGAAATGTCCCATGTAAACCTTATTACTTTACCTTTATTTTGCCCAGGAGGATGCAACCAGTAAACATACTCCGTACCAGGCGACCACGATGGCCTGACCAAACGAGTGCCGTGTCCTACTTTTTAACTCCCCTCTTCACGCACCACCTCAACATCCCTGGCTACAGAAGTGAGAAATATGAATCAAAATGGGGATTGCTGTGGAGGTACCATTGAGTCACTTCTATGGAGTACCTTCCGGATTTCGCTATTGAGGAGGTCCAATGACAAATTCTGGATTATTCGCGGCGTGGAATTCTCAGAACTCGTACCTACCGTATCTTACGAAGCGCTCTTCATCATCTTTGAATGTCTCATATGCCATGGTTTGTTTCTCTCAGCCAAGAGCACGAGTCAATAGGAGAAGAGCAAGAGGGATTCCGAAGGATGCCAACTTCAATCTCGCCAATGCTTTCGTAACATCTTAAATTTTGCTAATCGACCTGGAGGCAGCGTATGGAGCATCGTATTGCGCGTCAGAGTGGTCACATCACTCGCAAGCCTTGGAAGAAAGAAACACTGCCCTTGTAGCTTACCTTACCGACCACTTGGTGTGGTGATCCCAAGCTTTTCCTATGCCATTGGGAGACTTGGGCCAAGAAATGCGGAGCTTTCTCTTGAGACAATTGTCGATTGTTCCCTCATCTCGCCTCGGCTTCGAGAAAAGTTGTAATTCATTATCCTTGGATGGATCTTCCCCAGTTTCATAGCCTCTTTGCGCCTTGGCCTAATGAGTATATATTCTTTCTCCCCTCCACCCCTTACCATTCGATATCATCATCATCTCCATCTCTCATCAATCCAACGATCTTCTTAGAGAACAAAGTATCTCTTTTACAGTCTCCATCAACCATCAAACAAAACATATACATCAATTCTGGCAATTGATTTACCACACAGCAATCATGAAGTTTACAGCAACTACCCTGGTCCTTTCCCTCACTCTTTTTGTTGGATCTGCGACAGCCTCTTGTGCTCATGGAACAGATCTCATGAAGCGAACAACCTTCACCAAACGAGATCTTTCTAATGGAAGATTGGTTGAGCGTGTTGAGCCAGCAGCATTTGGATATCACGGTCCAAGAGGACCGTAGGTTACACCTTTTTTCCTTATTCCACTGCGCACAACTAACTTTTATAGGGCTGCGTGGCATTCTCTGAAGCCTGAATGGGAAACTTGCAAAACTGGCAAACAACAATCGCCAATTGATCTCATAGCTGGCGCCACCAAACCTGTCGAAGCTGGCGCTATTAAGTTCGATTTCCCACTTGTCAACACCACTGAATTCGAGAACTTGGGGACAACAATCGAAGTAATTATGCAGGGCAAAGGTGCAACAACAACCATTGACGGAAAGGTTTTCAACATGCGACAATTCCACTTCCACACACCCGGAGAACACACCATCAACGGAGAGTACATGCCACTTGAAATGCACATGGTTCACCAATCCGACGATGGAAACTTTGCAGTCATTGCAGTTGGTTTCCAGCTCAATGAGAATGGCGACCTTAATGATGTCCTCGAACAGCTAGCCCCAAAGCTTTATGCCATCAAGGAACCTGGTGCCATCACTCAGACCGGTGAACTCAACCTTGCTTCCCTCGTCGCAGACCTTTCTTCCCAACCATTCAGCAACTATGGAGGATCTCTTACCACCCCCCCTTGCACTGAGGGTATCAATTTCTATGTCGCTCAAAATCCTGCTCAGCTTGATGTCAAGACTTTCAACGCTATAAAGTCTATCGTGCACTTCAACTCCAGATTCGTGCAGAACGACATTGGCGCTGGCAACGTTCTCACCATGTAAACTTTTATATTTTCATTTGTCGTGGGCGGTTTTTATTCTTGTTGATTAGCATTTTAAGCGGGGGTGTTCATTTCTTGGCGGACATGTTTATTTTTACTTTCGGACGGTGTACTTTTTTTACCCCTTTTTAACATTTTTACAGTTGGCTGCAAGTTTAAGCTTAAACTTTTCGGGGCTTATACTTTTCTCTCACCCCTTTTTCAAAAGCTTGTTCCTCAGTAGATAGGTACCTGGTTTCGTACTTTACTAGATAACAATATATTTTATTATACCTTAAGCAGTCCAAGTAGAATATCTATACCCCTCCTTTCTCTCTTTAAACCTTGTAGAAGTAGCTTGGAAGTTCATATCTCCGTCTCTATCTTCCTACGCTCTTGGCGTGCGGAGGCTAAAAGGAGAGGAATAAACTTGCTCAACAAGCGCTTGTTTTAGAGGTTATCTTTATATTTTAATCGGACTAGGCATAAAAAGAAGTTAGAATTGGTAAGTAAACTTACCGCTTCTTTTCTAGCCAGGTTACGCTCTATTCGAGACGCTATTAAATTTTGTCCTCTAGAGAAGTGCGAGTGCATGACTCTGAAAACTTAGCTCGCCGGGTTTTCACACATGAACTTGGGCTAAATGTGTTTTCCTGCTCATGGTGCTGAGTGAAAAGAGTGCCTTCGTCCTCTTTCTGAGATAATTTAGCGTGCAATGTCCTACAAAACGCATCCTCTCTGCTACCTCTTACCATATGTCATGGGCCCTGAGTTCCATCTTAGCCCCACCTAATTATGAAGATGTAGCCCAATGTCACTGATACCAACGTCGTGTACGCGAAGCTTTTAACTGCACCCCATACTCTTGGTTCAGGCGATTTCCTTCTCCCCCTTGTCCCAATTATCGAGAAGTTGTCTGGCCTGTCTTGGTTCCGCACAATGTGGATCATAATCATGTGTTGTATTTCCAGCCAATTGGAAACGTTTTTCGAGACTTTCGCGTGATCTTTGGAATAGTCTATCTTGCAGAGCAAAAGCAATGCTTGACAAATCTTACATATTTTGATTTTCTCCCAGATGTTTGTGTCGGGCAATACCCACCCCACATGTATCATCTGCAGATTTTCAGGGGTCGCTAAAGCTCATCACATGGTATAAAATCCTAGTAAGCTAGTCATTGGTAATACTCCGTCAGGATCCTCTTGTTTTGTCTTACAAATGGCGGAGGATTATATTTGATCTTACAATGAAACTTGGTAGTTATGTATAGGTGGGGGTTCAAAGTCTGTTTGAATATCTTAAGCCCTCGAAAATCGTACGATAATCTTTTTTGGACGAAACCTTCACGATGTTTGGATGAAATCTTGGTAAAGCTTGGCTTGATATTTAAGGTGAAGGAAGATGGGATTGTGGTATGAGGTACCCATTTTATACATGGCGTTTCTAAATTCGGTTGTTAGAGGATGAAGGTTAAGTAGGTAAACGTTGGGCGTCTGGAACGCCTTTCCATTCTAGAACCCCTCTATGGAATATTCCATTTATTTTTAGAGAAGCTTCAGAATGTTCTATGATTCTATTATAGAATTTGGAATTTTAGAATAGAATCTTATCACATGACCTATGATAGTTGTACTGGTCTGCCCAACCAATAAGAAACTTGGGACAATCCTTGCTATTATAGATATTAATTAGTAAAAAATTTATACCTAGAATGCTAGCACATATTGAGGGTATTACTCTAGCTAGTAGTTTATGGCTAACTGGTATATTCAGTAAATAGTATACTCATTATTCGCTTAATTACTACTTAATTTCCTTTTGATTCGAGTATTTTTATCAACCAAAAAGCTACATACATCTCCATTTTTAAAGTCTAAACTCCAGAGCCTTATTTCTTAGAATATTCTACCTTAGATCGTCTGTTACCCCTGTTCAAAGCATACCGGTAACCACTTCGTATTTATAGTTCGAAGTACGAAGTAAAGGGACCAGACAGCTTAGAAAAATCCGCCCTAAATCCTGAACTGATTTAGGTCGATATAATCTAGTATACTAGTTGAAAATAAATTTGCACAACTGTCGCTTTATAATGGTGAATGATTATTAGCTAGCTTCGAGCGTAGCTGCTCCTTCGGGACTAGCGTGAGCGTACTCTATCATATATAAGTATGTAGGGACTTAGCTAGCTACACTTGCTCGGACAATGCAACCTGGAGACTTAGTTATTACCATAGTATAGTAATATAGGTCTTTTGTATCCCCCACTTGACTGAATAAGTCAAATCAACAACAACTTTTGTGCTCTTACAAGGTGATCTTTACAGTTTTGTGCACTTAAATTGAGTCAAATTTAGTAAAAATAAGCAACGACATCTACGTAAATGTTCCACTTATATTACTCCTGGAGTTGAGGTAGTTTATCTAAGCCGTCCACTCCCTTCATATCATTAGAAAAATATGCCATGTCTTCATTTCCGCCCTCGGATCTCTAACTGTATGACCTGAGCAGAAGGTAGGTGGTTATTAGTGGAAAATTGAAAAAAAATGACCACCTAGGTAGTTTAAACAGTATGAACTCAGACAGTGAGTTGCTACTTGCATACCTTAAGATAGGACAAAGATTCGCCGAAAAAGAATGTAATTCAAATATGTGCGTTTTCTGATCTTTATCAATCACAAAACTCATAGTGTTTGCTTCGCGTATATATGTATTTACATGGAATAGCCCAGGATTAACAATATTATCAGCCGACAAGGTTTCCGACAATTTAGGGCCCAGCTGCCCAGCTGTTAATTTCTTCCAATCATCGCTCTTATCTAAATACACAATGAATTTCAAAGGAGACTATATAGTAATTAGATCGTTGTTCCCGGTTCAAGTGTAGGTAGGTAAGGTGTTATGTTTACCCCCATGAGTTACCCAGTCCCAAAGATATAACCCCGAGTATAAAGAGTGCCTACAAGCTTCGTTTCTTCCAACCCCTTCTCTATGGAGGAGAATAACATCCATAATTTCTCAGTCTGTTACGCAAAGAGATGAATGAGTGAAATTAAATGCATTCATACATTAGCTTGTAGTAAATAAATTTACTTCCTCCTTCCAAGCATGCAAGATACTCTCATGCTACCATCAAAGTCCATCCCAGAACCCCAGTGTACTGTGCTAGTAGTTAAACCAGCCACGGGAGTTCTTTTCAAGCTCAATTACCGACCTGGGTTCGTGTAGTGGAAATAGACATAGGATGAAGAATTGGATATCTTCAAGTGAACACTGTGAAGTGGAATGTTTAGATCAGGTAATCTGGAAGATGTAAATATAACCAACCCATAGCGTCAGGTCGTCACTTGATCAATGACCACTCTCTAGAACCCATCCCAAGTAAAATATAGAGAACCTAGACAAACTCAGTCCATAGCTCGCTAACCAATATCCCATACCCACTCAACTTCCCTCACAATCCCAAAAGCCCACTTCCCTCCCAAGCCACCCCTCCTCCCAACCATCCCCCAAAACTCCCCATCTCAACAAGAAAAAACATGCACCCCACAAAGTCCCCCCTCACCACCCAACTCCGGAACCAAAACCACACACCCCCCAATCCCCATACTCTCCAAACACCTCTCCACCATGTCCCTCACCCGTTCAAATTCCTCACATCTCTCTGTCTCCAGGTCCCTCACGGGGCTTTGGAGGATGATCGGTGCTTTGAGCTGGTGCTGTAGTGCTTGTGTGGCGTGGGCTTTCAGGACGGGTGTGGGGAGTGAGGAGCCCCCTTGTTCTAGGAAGTGGAGGAGGAGGATGTTTTGGATTTTTTGGAGGAGGGGAGGGAGGTGTTGTGGGTGGATGGGTGGGGGTGGTTGTGGGACTAGGGTTGGTGTTGGTGTTGGCAAGTAGGCTTGGGTGGGAGATGGATAGTAGGTTGTTGCTGGTGTTGAGGTCATTGAAGGGGATGAGATTGCTGATGGGGAATATGGTTGTGTTTGAGAGTGGAAATTGGGCGGTGGGTAGGTGTAGTTTCCTAATTGCGGTTCTGAAAATGTTGACATGAACGAGCTTTGATGGTTAAGGGGCGTTGAATATTGGTTTGAAAATGAAGATGGCAATAAGGGGACCGAATGAGGACGAGTGCTTGGAGCGGGTTGGCTCATAGAAGGTGGAGCTGGACTGCCTTCCAATTCAGCGATAGGCAAGACTCTCTGATTTTGTTGATATGAAGTTAGGGGATTGAAATTTTTGCGATGCTACGACAGTATTGGTGTGCTGGTAAGAAAATGGGACGACCATATTGATGGACTGCTGAGGGTATGATATTCGGTTGTTGGTATGAGATAGCCCGTACATAATTTTCTGGGATAGCATCTAGTGGCTGGTAGGAATTAGACCGTCCATAATGTTGAGGCGGTGCAGTAAATACTGGTTCTTGTGGTGTTCCCCTTGGCAGCGAGAAATTCGAGACAGAAGCTTCAGGTTGTAAAGTCGAATGACTTCTGTTTCGTGGATTTTGTGCTATTGAGTCTTCTGGTAACGAGAGACTTGATACTAACGCTTTTGGGCTTGTAACTGGGAGACTAGTACGCCGAAACTCCTGTCGCGTATGGCTCGACAACGAAAGACTCGACACAGAAGCCCCAGTTTTGGCAGTCCAAAGACTTATATCTCGCGACTCTTTTCGTGAACTAGGAGAGGTATTGACAGAGCAATAGCAGGCCATCCACGGATAAGAACTGTGTTGATGGTCACAGAAAATCTCTGGTTCCCGTCTGGATTTTATCGAGCTCTTGTCGTCACGTTTCTTTCCATCGTTGGCCACTACTATGTCACCCATTCCAACGTCTGCCTCCTCCTCAGTCGCGAATTGATGGACGAGTTCCCCGAGCAAGAGATGACGTATCTTATATTTGAGCTTTCGAATTAAGCGGTCAATCCTTCGAGAAGCTGTACAGAATATATGTAAATGACGCTATTTTTAGCACTGAACTTGATGATTCAGTGGTTGGTGGGGAGTGAGAGAAATTATTTCGAGGCGAGAATGGTCAACCAATATAGTAGGGGACATCCACAATGGGACGTCTCTAGTGTCTATGCAGTCTCTGAGCCTGCGATTCTTGTTCAAAAGAAGAGAGAAGTCGTCGTCCAGGGTGCGGTAAGATTGGTGGCTGACCATGTCGCACTGAGGCGTAGTGCTGACTTGGCCCTCAAAATACGTAGCGAGTCGAGCGAGTGTCAGTTAATTCCTTGCTGTGTTGATATTAAGAACTCCTTGAAAACTTGAACTTCCACGGAGGTGTTCTGCTTTCAATTGCGTGTCAAGGTAAATACCTCAGTCACTTATATATGTTTATTCCAAAACGTACTCTGAATGCTATTTAATGTCCCTTTCCCGATCAATCGCCATAAAGAGAGGTCAAGTCACCAGAAACCGAAAGAGAATAGTATCGGTCGGACATATACAAACAAAAAACATCTAAATTTAATTTCATCTATCTCATAGTTCATCCTTAACGTCCTTCTTGCCAGCAGAACCATCCTCACCAGCTGGCTTCTTATTCTTCGCAATCATCTTGAGGATTTCCTCTTCACTGGGCATTTCCCCATCCTCGCCCATCTTGAATACTGGAACACCGTCTCCATTGGTGTCAAACGTCTTCTCTGGATTCCAACCAGACGTCTTCGACTTTGCAGACTTGGACTTCTTTGGTTTTGATGCCTTCTTGGGCTTGGTAGGTCGCTTGGACTTGTATGGTTGTTGCATACTCTTCATGATAAGTTCAACTTGGATATCTTGAAGCTGTTTAGCTTTATCGGCGAGGTCCTTGGTTAACAATACAGGGTCATCTGTTTCTTTGAGTGCCTCCTGCTTGGCCAGGGTCTCAGCCAGCCATTTGGAGATGTCTTCCTCGAGTTTTTGAGGGGCCACAAGATCGGACTCCTTGTAGACAGGTGGGGCCATGGTTTCCTCTTCGACTGGTTCCTCGGTGGTATTTGCTGGCTCATCCTCCAATCCATCAAAATCATCCACGGATGCAGATGGCGTAGGCGATGGTGTTTCTTTAGCAGCACTCAACTTTGATGCGGTAAAAGCCTCGTGGTTCTTGGTATCATTTGCGATTTGGTCTCTAATTCCTGCAATCATGACACGGGTCTGGTTCAAGGCTTCATTAAGAAGCTTGAGCTGCTCTGGCCGTGAGACTGTCTCGTCCTTTCGGATACCAATAGGGCCAACAATATCAACCATCTCCTTCAACTTGGCTTTCAGCTCTTCCCGAGTGGCAGTCAGACCACCCGAGTAAATCCACTCACTTGCCGCTTGGGATAGGGATTCCAGGCTGGCTCTCTCCTCGGCTGTAGAAGCTGAGACGAAATCTTCATTTTCCAACAAGTCTCTGACCTTGTAGGTATAGCCCTCGAGCCGGTTAAGAGCTTCTTCCCGAAGACGACGGTTACGATCGGAATCGGAAAAGGATGAAAGACGACTCTTCATCCGTGTGATCTCAGCGGCTGGCAATTGTGGAAGACCCTTGAGTTCAGTTGTGAACTTAACCGGAATGATTTCAAATCTCTTGACAACCTTTGGCTTTTCATCCTTGGCGCCCTTCGATTTGGAATCCTTCTTATCTTTCTTATCCTTCTTAGCATCTTTGGATGCCTTGCCGGACGATTCAGGTGTGGGAGAGCTTGAAGAGCTGCTGGTCGAAGTACCAGACACGGTCTCTACATTTTCGTCATCGGAAAGTGGTGCCTGATCCTTTTTCCCGAAGCCGAGCATGTTCTTGACACTGTCCACTACACCGGCCTTGTCCTCATTCTCATCAACCTCACAGTCAACGACTGCCTTGATAATTTCCACCTCCCCATTAGAGATGGCGAGACGAGTGCTAAGCTTGAGGTTGATATCTCCATCCGTGCAACCAAACTTCTCCTTTAGTCGAGCGACGGATTCTGTCAAGTTTTGTGTTGTCAATGTCAACAACTCCTTTTCTGCTGAGCCGGGGGATACATTCTCCGATGAGGGAACATGTTGGTAAAATCTGATGGAGAAATCCTTTTGGTTCTTGAAGCTGTACTGCTTTTCGGCGCCGAGGAAAGAAGTTTCTTGCCATAATCGTTGGTGCTGTGGCTTTTCGTGGATGTTGGTCCACTTGATTCCTGCCGGATAAACAGCTGCTTCGTACGCTCTGATATCCTTCACTCGGAACGAGGGGCTAAGAGCAGCACCGCGGAAACCAGCACCAAACACAGCGGACTCATCGGAGTTGACGTTGGTTCGAACCTTGTCAGCAGAACCCACGAAAGTTTCGAGTTCCTTCTGAACAAAAGGCATTCTAATGGCTCCACCGTGAAGGATGATAGAGTCCAGGTCCTTTGATTCGAGGCTCGCCATGTCTAGTGCCTTTTGGATAGCAGCCTTAATTCGGGCCGTGTAGGATTCCGCAAGTTTTTCGAACTGTACGCGTGTGATTTTGTACTTGAAATCGACATCCTCGTAAAGACCTTCAAAGCTGGCTTGGGTATTGGCGTTGGCGCTGAGAACATGTCTCATCTTTTCTGCTTCCTTTAGAAGCTTTGCTGCGGCTCTCCCGTGGGCCTTTACACTTTCAACTGATGCTCCAACATCCTTTCCTTTAGGTGAAGAGATAAATTGTCTTATCATGTCATCGACGATAATGGCGTTGAGAGCATCGCCACCAAGGGTTCTGTCCCATCCAGCTCCTACCACTTGAACCTCCTGGATAGTCTTGTTGAATTTGCCGACGTCCTTCACGGTTCGTCCCTGAAATCTCAGAATGGTGGCCTTGGTTGAACCTGCGCCCATATCGAAAACCATATGGTATTCTGGGCTTCCACCCTCGCTAGCGCTTTTGAATGTTCGAGAAGTGGCATAGTTCAAACCGACCGCCAATCCATCACTAACGAGCTCCAAAATTCGAAGTCCTGCCAAATCTGCCGCCAGCAATACCGCTCTCTTTTCTTCCGCGGTGTAGAATGGAGGAATGGTCACAACCAAATCCTTGATGCTGCTACCCTTTCCTGCGAGCGCCTCGGCGTTCTTTTGTATGCTCTGCAACTCCATTGCGAGTAATTCTTCCACTGTCCATACCTCCTCTTCAGCCACAAATGCGCCGCTCTTGAATGCCACTGTGCCCTTTGTTTTTTCCTTGGCCAATTGCATAGCGGGATGCCGAGACGCGTATTCCTTTACCACGGTGTTGTCTGCGCTGAGACCCAGGAGTGTCTTGAGATTTGGGTATACATCGCCAGGGAATCGAACTGCCAAAGCCATGGCATCAGAGCCATACGTCCTCTCTGGGAACTCTCCGCTTCTAGGGCCGCCCTTGGAAGGTTTGAAGACCACGGCAGATGCTTCTTTTCGCCGTGAGTCCTTGGTCAGAACAATCTCAAGAGGAATTCCTGGCTTAACCAAAGCTGCTTTGATATATTCGGTACCCAGGTCGACTCCTAGAACTGCCGACGCAGCCAGTGCGGTTGAGCTGAAGAAATATACGAGGCATAGTACTGAAAGAATGGGCGACGAGAGTATATTGCTCCGCGGATGCCGCGAATAAGAGGCCATGCTGGATGGGGAGAGTGGTATAGCGCAGAGCAGATGCAGATGCAGACTGCTGCTGAAAGAGTGAAGCAGCACCAAAAGGATGGGATGAAAGGAACGACACTTTTATATGGGTGCCCTGAGCGCAGGGATAAGCCTTTAACAAAAATGTGTCCACAAGTCAAGTGTCAAGTGTCAAATCTATTCAGCCAGCTTGCAAATACACTCGGTACGAAGATGGCAAAAATGAAAGTGGGAAGATGAAATAATATGATGGGGGGGAGGAGCCTTGTCACCACCAGGATGCATACAAAAAGGCCAGTTTGCTATCAAGCTCAGGCGGAGCACCTGCATGTGTGGCTAATCCTCGGGTCAGCCACACGTCCGTTGGTGGAGAGGAAGTGGAAGCCATACTTTTGAGGCAACAACTTGGATTGGAGTACCTAACGCTTGATTCCGTAGTCTGGCATCTGGATTTAGAAACTTAAGCACTACACTAGATGTACGGGGATATTCCTCTAAACCTCTGACTGAGGTGTCATCCCAACTTTCTTCTGCATTGAAGTTCATCGCCAGGTTCATACTAGCACTTTCGTTTTCTGGAAACTTCTCATTGCTAAGCCTTACTAACAGTTCAGGACCGCTAATAGGTGGATCTGTAGGAACTGCACGCTGAGTTCTTCAAAAACGCAAGAACCAGGAATGGAACAGTGTGCTTACACCCAAAACCACCAAGAAGAGGAGATAGTTTAAGAAGAGGTGGTGACGGGAAACTTCTCAGATTGTTGATCATAAGGCAAGAAGAAGAACGAACACCACCCCTCCCTACCTGTATCAGAAGCAAGAACAACCTGGAAGCATTCACTAGCTCAACAACCACAACTCTTACCAAGTTGATTTTGTTGGAAGAAGAGACGTTGAAGCATCTACTCAAGCACATAAATCATCCAAAATGGCCGCAACACCTTTCATCGCCCTTCAAGAACCTTCAAAACTCGAAGGCTACAATGCCACGCTACTCCGCTCACAGCAACCCTCCAACATCCCCAAAACATTCCTGGATGCGATGGAAATTCGCAAACAAGTCTTCGTTGTCGAGCAAGAAATTCCCTTGGAGAACGAGTTTGACACTGATGATCCTCGAGCTTGCCATTGGGTGCGTCTTACTAGGTAACCTTTGCGAGCATATACTAATAATGGACTTCCAACAGGTTGTCTATGCGTCCATTAACACCATAACGGAACCACAGAAGACGAACGACGAAGGAAAGATTATCCAGTTACAGAAGAGCGTTACTGTTTCGCAACCCATTGGTACAATTCGACTAGTGCCCTTCCCTCACCCTCCACACCCAGAGCCAGGCTCTTCATACGCGGCCGAGGCCCTAGAAACTACAACCAACTCCGTACCCACCACGACCCCACCTTACATCGTCGATAGAGCTACAACGCATCACGACGGGAGGGAACCGTATATCAAATTGGGGAGAATTTCTGTCATCAAGGAATTTAGAGGATCTGGCATTGCCAAGATTCTTGTAAATGCTGCAATGACATGGGCAAGGGAGAATCCAACCTTCTTCAATCCGTCTGTCGAAACTTGGGGTATGAGCAACTTGGGAGCGAGTAAAACAGAGGAAATTCCTCGTTGGAAGGGTCTGATATGTGTTCATGCTCAAGAACAGGTGGCAAAGGCCTGGGGGAAATGGGGATTCGAATTAGATAAAGGTATGGGAACATGGGTTGAGGAGGGCATCAACCATGTCGGAATGTTTCAAAGGCTCCAAATTAAAGAGTAGGGAGACTCAGAGTTCGGATTCTTGCTTTGACAGCATAAAATTCAGATTCGATACCCCTTCATAACTGTTCGCAGTGGAAAGATGAAGAAGCTGTTTCGATCACACCTTGTTACCTCATTGGCTCGCTAACAATCCAGTCATTATCAGAAATTGCATGGTTACTGGTGGCTATGTATTGGAAGGTCATACATCAGTTCTATTTTTATGGAACTTTCCTGAAAAGTTCCTGCTCCCCTCTAATACTCGAATAGTAGTTCGAGTCTATACGATTATACGAAGGTTTGGGCATCTTTCACCTGTTCTAGATATAATTAGCTCTGTGACGTTTCATCGACGCAATATACCCGTAATCCGTCCAATATGCCAAAACGCTGCGCCATTCTTCTTCTTTTGTTTGCTAACGACCAATGGGTCTTGATGAGTTGAGTTGAACCTACATATTTCGGAATGTTCACTTGACAATACTAAGCTGTGCTTTATACAGTACTGATTTTTTGTTTCCGTGTTTGGTTTAGCTTTCGCTTGTTCTGCTTAATATGTTTTTTCTTTAATTACCCTTCAAGTGAGGACCCTGTAGGTTTTGATTACAGCTTTTCAACCTCGTAAAGTGCCACGATTTTGACTGGTTGGTTTACGTTGCGTCATTAATACCCAAGGGCTGTGGCAAGTCATCCTCTCTATCTACGAAGCTTATTTATATAGCATTACAGGCAACGCCACCTTGTTTTTCACTTACCATACCTATCTGGGCTACTGGTCTTAATTAAGGGCGGAGAGTTACGTTGCCATGAAGAGTGATTGTTTGGGTTATATGACGTTGAAATATGAGGACTTTCTGCCGAAAATCTAGGTTGAGTTTGCAAGGTCTTGAAGAAAAGGACGAGATTTGATAGTAGAATATATATAGATTAGCGCCCAACCACTCTCGTTCCTATTCAACCCACCACACTCATTTCAACTCAAACTGCGCAACACTCATTCTCCACACCACTATCTCATCCACCAACCTCCCGACGTATCCAAACCAAAATGTTCAACCCCACCCCTCTCATCCCCTTCCTCTTCCTCGCCCTCGCCTCTGCCCAAGATGAATGGTCGTCCTACGGTTTCCGCCTCGCCAACTGCAGCACAGGCATTTTCCCAAACATAACGGGCAAAGTCTTCTACTTCGACAACATCGACGCTCCTCTGACAGTCAGCAAGCCTAAGTTCAATACCACCATTCCGAACTTCGTGACGTGGAATGTGGCCAATAAGATCGTCAAGGTTAACGACATATACTTTGGTTTGTCACTTGAGGATAACTTCTCGACGAAGGCGGGGGATCTTGTTGGGAAGGCACAGGTATGCTTTTTCCTCTGCTCTGTCTGCTGTGAGGTGTCTTGGCTAACGGGATATGTTTACAGTATTGGGATATCCCTGCGGAACAATGTGGGATGGGGAGAGTCGGGTACAATGCTTTGGACTGTGCGAGAGGCGATGATGCGGTGCTGACTGAGGGGGGTACTGCGGGGGAGACTTGTAAGTCTGCGTATGTGTGTAAGAAGACTGATCTTGGTGTTTGTACGGATACCCCACCAAAAGAAATCGTATAAATCAAGATGTCTTTTTGGGGGGAAGGGGTGTTGGTGATGTATGTTGGGGAGGGATATGTGGGTGGAATTGTGATATGGATTTATGGGATGCTATAATTAATGCTGGGGTACCGTAAATGAGAATCTTTGTATTGGCTTTGATGGATGGATTGTGTGAATCCTCTTTGGGAGGAATGCTGGCTTGTTGGTGTTCTCGTTGCTCAACTTGATGGGAGTTCACAATGTGTTGTTTACTGTGATTCTGTTGACCTAGAAATATTAACGTCAAAGAATATCGCCAGACTTGACATCCCTCCTAGGTAGGATGTATTCTTATTTTGAGGGTGAAGAGATGAAGTCTTCTTGTGGTGTTATGAAGATGTCATTGTATTGGCTATCAAAAAAGAATGGGACTAATTGACGATGACTTGTAGAGTATTCTGTGAGGAAGCGCAGTGTGCTCCAGCTTGCAATCAAAGTACCCATGTACTACTGTACCAGGTCACGTCATTTCGCGTTCGCGTTAGGTTTATCCGAAGTTTTATCGGAAGTTTACCGGAACATTCCCCCTCATCCTCATCCGCGTCGCCACAGACAAAACTCCCAACAACAATCTCAACCACCTCAATGCACACCTGGCAACATATCCTGCTACTCATACCAGCATCAAGATGCCTCCCAAAGTGGGCAACCTTGAGCGCAAAGCCCGCAAAAAAAAGCAAACGCACCTCACCTTTGAGCCACTTGACCAACCAGCCAGCTCTTCTCCAGTCGCATCAACAACGAAGCTCACACCTTCAAAGGTAAGGTATGAGATCCGGAACAAGACTCAACCTTCACCAACGAAGACTGCCAAAACCCTTGCTACAACAAAATCAAATGGTAAGTATAGGAAGGGGCTGCAGAGGCACATGGTGCTTCTTGATTTTACAGACGCAAGACTAATAGTCAATAGCTACCACAGAGCTTTCAGATAGTGACGATCTTCCCATCACGCCCACAGTCACAAGAAACAAGAGAGACAAGAAGGGTCGTCAGGGTCAAGATTTTGCGGTTCAAAGAGAGAAGTCAATCACCATTTCAGATGACGGTCCTAGTGACAGTCCAGATCCCCCTCCAAGACATAATCAAATAAGCGGCATGTTTTCTTCCACAGCTAGACAGGCGGTTCCCAATGATGTTGGAGGTAGCGACTCAAGTGACGCAGAAGACTCAGAACCACTTGTGCGGAAAGGACGAGCTGCTGTTGCTTTAGACTCTGACTCAGGCAACGATATGGTGACTTCTTCAGCGATCCACAAGACCCCAAGATCGATTGCCACTGCGACACCTCGAAAGCGCAAGACTGTCATCAATGTGGATTCGGACTCTGAATCTGATATAAATGCATCTCCCATAAAGCGAAGACATATTATGAAGGATAGCGATGAGGATAGTGACGAGGCCAGCGATGCTCCTAGTTCCGGAGGAGGCCACTTCGGCAGAAGGATTAGAGCAAAACCGCTCTTGAGCGATTCACCCCCTCGTACCACTCGTCAGCAGACTGGGAAGAAGAAGCACAGAACAGAGAAGGAGAAACAAATGGAGCTTTTGAAGAGGCGTCGAGCAGGTGAAAAGAACCCCGTATTGACGGAATCCGATACTGAGGAAGAAAGCGATGACAACGTACATCTTTCGGATTTTGAGGACGAGGAGAAGGATGAGGAGGCGCCAAAGGAAAAACCCAAGCGTACCCACAAGAAATCGAAACACAGAAGTGCCTCCGGTTCAGTGGACGACGAGGAGGATTTCATTGTTGATGAAGATGAAATTGGTGTCCCTACCTCTATCCCTCTAGAGTTTACTTCTGGATATAATAAGCCCCTCAAGGACCATTTTACGGATGCTGTCGAATGTTATATCCACAAGAAATTGAATCCTGGATTCACTGGAAAGAAGGATGTCTTTGAGAGAGCTTTCTATAAATTGGACGATAAACCTAGTGGGCTCAAGTCTAGCAAATATGGATCTTCTCAATGGGTCATGGATTTCGTATTGTCGCTTGATGCTAGACCGGAATACCGTGAGGTTCGAATCAATGCCGGTGATGCGGAGGCCAGATGCGAAGCGTGCAATAGGGGAGGTCATATTCCAACCTTCAGAATCTCCTTCATTGGACGACCTTACAATAAAACCACCCTGGAAGAAGTTCAGCAAAGAGATGATGAAAGTCAGGCCCGATCTAATCAGTCCGACGACGATGAATCTGAGACCGGTACTGTTGATGGTCTAGGTCGGCATTTACCTTCTCAGGATCGAGAATGGCTTGTTGGCAGGTACGTCTATCACAGATAGCTCTCCCTTAACTATTCATATCACTAAACTTGCATCCCTCAATTTGTCTCGCCTGCTTTTTCTCCTTGTATGGAATCTAACTAATCTTGAAACACAGATTTTGTCGAAACAATGCCAACAAGACCCACCTTCTCACCCATTGGCGCTACCATCTCTACCAATGGGTAATCGACGCCCTTGAAGCCGAAGGCGAACTCCGTGCCCAGAAGCTCGTCAAGCGTGAGAAGATGAAGCCTTGGAAGCGACAGCGTTATGTGGAGAATGTGGTCGAACGATGGCAAGCCGATGATAAAATCAAGAACTTGTTTCGTGACTACAAAAACTCTGTCGAAGCTTTAGCTGAGGAAAAGGAGCAAGGCCGATGGGGAGATCGTTAAGAGCCTTGATGGGGGTACTTTTTACTCCGGGTGGGAAACATATAACACTCGAATGTAAGGGTTTGGTGGTTTGATCTGGGAAGCTGAGGATGTCATATGGTAATTTCCCGAGCTAGGATTGAGTCCCAGAGCTCGTTGGTTTTCTGATTATGGGGAAAGATATGAGTCATTTGGTTGCGAACCAGTCCGATTTTTATGGGCATCAGAATACGCAGCTCACGACCTTTCCTTGTGTTTTCTTGATTTGGAGTCATTGGGATTCGAGATACCCCCGGCATGTAATTCCTTTTTTTCAAAAAAAAAAAGGCTTTTCTTCTCCTTTTATGCGTTCCTTGTTTATTGTGCTCAGTGAGGTTCTTCAAAAGAGATTCGTGGATTCCGAGCTTTTTGGAGGGAAGGGGGTAAGAGTAAGGGAATGATTCTGGGATAGAGGTGCAGAGGTGAGTTTGAGGAACTGAGGGCGGGGGATATTATGTAGTGAGCACTGGTTTATTCGAGTGTGGATTTGACGGGGATTCTTTTGATGATTTGACTTACTATATGGTTTAATATCGTTACACCTTGTTGTGACGTGGTTTTAAATTAACACCTGACTTCTCTCGGGGTAATCACCATTTTTCTCCATTTGTTGTTGTTATTGTTCTTATCTACTAAAGACCACTTTCATTGCAATTGAACTCTGAAATAATATTATTCTTGGTTCTTATGCCTTGAAGTTGGGTACCTGCATAATCAGACACCTGTAGAAATGTTTGTGTGTTTTTCTCTTTTTCTTTCTCTCTGCAACACGATTACGAAGTTGTAACATTGCAATGTTTTAGTTACTTATTCACTTCCACACTTACTAGAAAACCTCACTATTTCTCCTTGTACAATTTCTTACCGTGTCAAAAAGACCGGCCTAAATTCATATTTCAAGTATATAATTATCCATCTCATTTAATCAGAAGATCTTGGTCATGGACGTTATTGTCGCCTTTTGAATGCTGGGATCAGGGACGGTCGAGATGGGGAGATGGGGAGATGGGGAAACCTTCTATTGCACAAACTTAGGCTAGCACAGAGTTGGAGCTACTGTATATGTAAATACTGTATTTGTCCTGGGGGGGTGTAGGACGAGGGTTAACGTTCTCGGCTGATAGATGAGATGAGATGGGATGAGATGAGAAAGGGGTAGAGGCACCGGGAGGTTCTTTGCTGTCTATACACTACCCCCGCTCCCTATACCCCCCCACTTTCTCCGTAGTACTCTCGTAGGCTTCGTAGTTTCTCTCTAACTCCCCTTTTTTACTCGCTATCGTGATATAGTTTCGGAAAAAAGGAGAAGAGAGAAGTAGGAGGGGGAGAAAGGATAGACAAGTATAAGTAGTAAACAAATGTTAACACGATACGTGCTAGCCTCTTTAGGAAGGTAGTATTAGGGGGCTGGGAATAAGCGATACGTACGACTGAAAAGTTTTCTTCGCTTCTATCCCCCTCTGCTCCCCCCCCTCTCTCTCTCTTTATTCCGACTGGTCCGACCTTTCAAATAAGAAATTCGCAAACTCAAAAATCGAAATGTGCATATGCGACGTTGTGGAGATAAGATACAAGCCTACAAACCGAAATGTGCATATGCGACGTTGTGGAGATAAGATACAAGCCTACAAACCTAATGTACAGAAAGTGAAACACCGCTGGGGAACGTCACATCAGACAAGAAACTCGCTTCATAATCTTAAGCTCTGGACTACTTCCTCGCCGTCAACTTGACATTCAAAGGCTTCTTCTCCCACAGGAAGTAAACCTTCTGATCCGTCCAGTTCAAGCTATCCTCGCAGAGACTCAATTCAAAGTGCCAAAGTAGACGACCGAGGATAGACTTCATCTCCACAAGTGCGAGATGCTATAATGCAGTTAGATTATGATGGCCGAATTTGTTTGTGGATGGGGGAGGCTTACCTGACCAACGCAGTTTCTGGTTCCGAAGGAAAATGGCTGCACGGCTCCACGTTTGTCGCTCGCAAATCGGGGATCGTCTAGCCATCGCTCTGGGATGAATTTTTCGGATTCGGCAAAGTTTGCTTCTGAGTGATAGGCGCTCCACTGTTGGGACTCTCGGTTAGTATTGTTGTTCATAGCAATCAAGGGGAATCTCAAGAAATATCGGGGTGTCGTCTCGAGGAATGAGGGGACTTGGATCCCCTAATATAAATTATAACGAGGAAAAGGGATCTAGAAAAACGGACCTGATGAACACCAACTACAGTCTGAAAATCGTTAGCAAGAGCGCGAAGACAGTGGGTATGGAAGCCTACATTCTTAGAAATGGAATGACCATTGATGACAACGTCATGCTCAGTTTTGCGCGGCAAAAGAATCGGCACAGGGGGGTATAAGCGAAAGGCTTCCTGAATACAAGCCTGCATGTATTTCAGTTGCGAAAGCGAGTTGAAAGTCATCGATTTAGGATCCGGGAACGCCTCACGGATCTCCTTGACGAGTTTATACATAGTAGATGGATTTTGAAGTAAGTGATAAGTCAGACCGCTGAGCAATGTCGCAGTGGTTTCGCTACCGGCTAGAATAAAAAGGTTGCATGTTTGTATCATTTCTTCTCTACTCATCCCCTTTTCGTCGTTGTGGCGAAGGATGTAGCTTATTCCCAATTAGCATCTCTGTTCATGATCTTGAGGGGAGAAGGTGAGGTTTACCTCACAAAGTCATTTCTGTCTGAGCTGGCGTTCAGTCGTCGTAACGTTTTCTCTTCAGTATACTGATAGTGTTTAAGTCGTGCTTGTTGGAGTTGAGGAACATGTTTGAGCAGTGTTGATATCGGTATGCCAATCAGTGGGTACGAGTTGATGATCATAAAAATCCGAGCAACTTTGGTTGAATTGAAGATATTTGCAATCCAGTGATTGTACTCCTCGGTCTCTAGCGCGTCAAATGAATCCTGAAAGGTAAGGTCTCCAATGACTGTAGAATCCCCCAGAGTCAGCATTTCCAAGGCGAATAGTGCTATGAAGTTTGAAGACGGCCCGGGAAGGAAAACATTGTGTCTTGAGGGGAGAGTATCTGCACCCTCTTGAAATGAAAACGGAGGAAGGATTGAATTGAAAAGCACTTACTATCGAATGTGGTGAAATTGAACCAGTGAACGAGGTTCACCAGACCTTCTGTCGGTCCGCTAGCTTTGGCATGGAGCTTTTCGATAAGCAAATCGAAGTAATGGGTAATCAAAGGTTCTTGCCCCTTCACTGCGGCATCAGAGAAGGCGTGGGATACTGCACGTCTCATTCGCATGTGACCCGCGTCATCAGCAGCTAGTATGGGGTTAATGAAACATATCACTTGGTCCATATCACACAGACTCACATATTAAACTGTCAGCATTGCCTTGGTTGTCAGCCCTGTAGAAGCCCGCGTCTTTAGGAATTTGTTTCTTCCCCTGTCTTGACCCGTAGATAGCTAGAATTTTGTTAGTGGAAATTGGGACAGGATGTTAGATTTATAGTACCTAGCCATGCCTCTTCTGTTTAGCCCCTTAAAGTCAGCATTTTGAACTAGAACAATTTTAGGATTCTCAAGAGAGGATTTAGGACGAGAGAAGGCTCTCCCCAGGCAAAATATTGTCTTGTCGCTGGGAAGAACCCGAAGGAGGTAAATAGATGAATCAGAGAATACAAACCGTTGTTGAACGAGACAGTATCAGGAGAAATTCGAACGGTAGGTCCATATTGATCGTGCAACTTTTTCACGGAATAGATATCGATACCATTCCAAGCCTATGGAATATCTCAAAATCAGAAACTACGTTGCTGTTTCATATTCAAAGCTTTGGGAAAGATTCGGAAGGAAACTATTTAACCGATCTGAATTGCCTTGGACGAAGGAAAAGGTGTGTAAGAACTCACCTCATAGTGTTTAACGAACTCGAACGCTGCTCGCAATTTTGGTCCTGGAACTTTCGCCAGAGGGTGTAACGTGATGTTGTAGAGTGCAACACCCAGAGAGTAAATAACATACTAAGTCCATTTAGTATTGTTCCAGTGCAGGCCATTGGTTGTGCTCACCGAGACAGCAATTGCCCCCAAAATGCTTGGGAGCCCTAGAGCACTCAAATCTTCTAGAGATTTTACTGGCAACATTGTTAGAAGAACGAGTGTTCTGAAGTCGCTACGGCGGCGAACTGGTGTCCATTAAGTACAAATGGTTTGCTGGGATAAGTGGAGACAACATGTTTTGCTTCTCGTAGTATGAAACCATCCGATGGGTTGAAATGCTGGCAGTATCGAAGCCCAATTTTGATTGGAGAACATCTTTCGTGTCCGTAGTACAAACAAGACTAGTAGGGAGTAACCTTAGTATCTTAACTTGTTAGTGCAGGTCAACGTAAACTTTAATCTGCTGCAATTGGCCTTCCTATTCAGGTGGGTACTCTATTCCAATCTTTGTACTACTGTAAAACATGGATGTTAACTGGAGGATTGAGGACACCTCGCGTACTAATGGCCACGCGTCATCGCATGCTCAAAGCAAAAGAGATGGAAAAAATATGCCATAAAAAGCATTCGTGGATGACTGAATCTAATCGGACTCGGACGAGTCCTCAATATAGCGGTACAAGTGAGCTTTTCCCAATTCTTATTCATGGACATGGTTGGAGTAACAACGGTAGAATTGGCAATAAATTTCGGCATTCTTACCTGCCATAAGCGATGTTTGGGTCTGCATAAAAAGTTGTCGGCTGCATTTATCCATAGTCCATAGTCCAAAGTCCCCTCTTTCCCCTCTTCCCTTTCACCATGCATTTCCCTGCATCTGGTTCGGTGCGAGAGTTTCTCTCATCACCACGTTGTTGTACAAAATGATTGACTGTTCAAGGGAACGAATGACTCGTGCCCCTCAACGACCCCAAAAATGGTATCGTATGATGCCGAGTATTTGTGGTCAAGCTTGCACTTATCATACAAATTCTGCGTCGACATCCGTGGAGGATCAAAGGATATGAAATACGCAGGTTGGGTGTTTGGAGAGGACGAGAGGGGGAATGATTTGAGGATGTAAAAGTCACGTGGTCTCAGGATCGGCCTCCTACATAGGTAACTTCAAGCTTAGCTATTATAAGCTTTTGGCATCCTGCGGGCTGTAGCGGGACGCCCAAAAAATTTACTCCTGCAGACCGAATATGTGCAGGTGGTTACAGGCTGATTCCACGTTTTTCCAACACGTGATTAGACTCTCTTGGAGGTTTCGGCTTATCCTCTTATAATACAGGACACCTAATTACAGTAAACTAAACTAACCTTATTCTACCACTACTTTGATACTTTCACTAATACTACCTATAACGCTAAGATAATACTATATAATTAATTTCAATAAACGAAAATATATATTTTAATTAGCTAAATAAAATTTACTTAACTTACTAGTTTTAATAAAAAAGAACATTATAAAATATAGAACTTATCTTAGTATTTTTACTAATCTAGTTTAATATCCTCTCGTCTCGATATAGATTTATTCCTTGTTCCTTCTAAGACTCTTATACTAAGATTAATATTTTTACTAAATATTCTAAGAATTTTAACTTTCTTATAATAATACTTAACTAAGGCTTATATGAAAATTCTAGTAAAAATATTCTTATTCTTCTAGCTTAATTATTTTATATAATTATTAAAAGCTAGAATATCTCTTTAGCTATAACTAGAAACGTACTTAGGTAATTTATACCTAGGGAAGAATACTAACTTTCCAAATAGTTATAACTATATTTTATTCTACTTCTATAATTCTAAAGACTATATATTTAGAGGGTATATATCTAGGGACTTTCTACTTTAATTGTCACGAATCACGTGTTGGCATGTGATAAGCAAAGACCAGGCGGCGTCCTGACAGGTTAAGCACCAGCAACACACTCTTATAGCAAATAGGGATGCTTAGGCTAGCTAAGCGATCCAGGGATTTCATCTGATAGAAGTCATGTGACCGTCATTGATCATTGGTGATCAACTGAGCAACGCTGAGCTGGATCAGTGGGATCAGGGTGATCATAATGATCAACGAGCAAGAAGGTTCTATATAAGACTGGCACGTCTGCCATTAGATAGGAGCTTCGTGCTCAACTTAGTTATCAATCTTATCATATTAGTTTGACATCTTTGATACAAGTAACGAGTTCACTTCCAAGTGAACAACCCGATAGTCTTCTTCTTATCATAGCATACCAACCAGCGAACACCCAGCCAAGTTTAGTTAGCCAGTTTGAGTATTCGTTACATTAATATTCTACCGTTATAATTACTTATAATATACTAGAATCCTCTAAAAATAGTACTAAGTCTACGCTAGAAAGATTATACTCTAGAAAGGGCTATATTAGACCTAATCGCTAATAGTAACTTAAGACGAAGTATAAGTACTATAATATTACTCTGCTGTAATAGATATAATGTTTAAATATATAGAAAAAGGTTGTTTTCCTAAGTTTTTATTAAATTTAGTATATTTTCTAGCTAAAAGTAATGATTTCACCTTGAATCGCTTCACTAAGCTCGGACCAGTGCGTTTCTGGCCGCAGTTGAGGGGATAACTACTAAACTAACTACTTCTCTTACTAAGGTCGAAATTTGGGCTTAATAGACTTGTTCTATACGAGGGGTAATGCGAATTCTATGCGATATAGTACGAAGTCTATCCGAGGGCTTGTCCGAGAATAAGAAAACCTTATTCATAGTATAAGTAATTAACTAATAACTTATTACAATAATAAGAATTTTTTAGTGCTTATTGTAGAGTAAAATATGCGCCTTAATGCTTGGTCTGTCAGGTACGATAGTATTTGTACCGAGTTCCCAGGATTTTTTGACTCGACATCTTATCTTAAACGCTAAAGTGATTGTCGATATACAGTAATGGGGAATACTGCTGTAAGGAAAGTGGACCATGAAGCGAAAAACACGAAGGCATTTTGATTCATGGCACTGCTTTCGAGGGCTATACCGAAATTCCACAATGGGTCGTGGATGGGTATTCGACCTTGTTGGTAGAGATTGACGAGCAAATACAAGAGTATGCCGATGTTGTTATTCCCATTGGTGTGGGCTCGCCTGAAGAAGTCGTTTCGCAAAGTAAGCTTGAAGGATGGTTAACTCCCGTATTGACCGTGGGACCAGATACTGCTGCATGTCTGTATAAGAGCTTGAGAGCTGGAGTTCCAATAGCCATCGATACAAGTCATACGATTCGGACAGGTAAGAATTGTGGCACAGTTTCCACTGCCGCGCGCTTGGCCGATTCTGGAAGCTGGAGTTGATGTAAGTACAGCTATGTCGGATTTTGAAGTACATCAAGAAGTTCAGTACCTTCAATTTGTTGGTATCAACGCAGGACCATGTGACGCTGCTCCTTCAGCAGGCTTGGGACATGTCTGTAACTCAAACCCGACTACCCTGGGGTCGAATGAGACTTCGATCAATATTCTCATATGTATCAAGGGATCTCGGAACTACGAGATTCCCAGGATTGTATTTGAGGAATGTCCGGAAGACGAATCTAGAAATATCACTGGACTTAGTTCATGCAGAAGCAGAAGCGCCGATAAAAAACAAGATAATCACTACATTGCTGCGTGGTTGGACCACCTTTATATGGAGGGTCACTGGATTGAATATATCGTGTATTCATAATGAGTATTATCCTCATTTACAGAAAATAAGTTCCCCTATCCCTATCCCGTCCCGAAAACGAATCTCTATTTTCCAAGCCTAGCAATAGCAGGAGTAGCTTCCGGAAAAAAAGTAATAGGCACAGTAGAAATAGCAATACTAGCAGTAATTCCTACTCCTTCCGTCAGCTCACCTCGCATATTGGTTTCCTTATAAGCGGCGACATTCGTCATCGTCTTTGTTACTGTGTTGTAACTATTGAAATCAGACTTGGCATCATTCAAACACCCTGCTCCACTTCCATAAGCATTTGCGCATTTTTGTAGCACCGACTTTCCCGTTTCAGTTCCGATGTTGAAATCTGAGATTTTGATATCGTGGCAGGGTACGGCGGAGGGACAGAGGAGTTGCATTGGAGCCCTTTGGACGCCATTGGAGGCTGTGCCTTTCCAGGAGGAGAAGGTCAGGTTGGAGTAGAGAACCCCGGAACCGGCTGCGCTGGACTTTGCCCAGTTTCCGTCAATATCGAGGGTATAGGCGTTGGAGTGACCAATGAAGTTGGAGAATTCAGAGTTACTGAATGAGCCAGATCCGCCGTTGGATTTTATAATCATCATCTGGTTGGCATTTTGAGTATAGATGTTGTTGTATTTGACGTAGGAAATATCTAGGACGTCGTTAGAGATCGTAGAAAAAAGGATTCGCAGAGAACTTACCGGTTTCAGTACCGAGAGAACCAATGGCACATCCGCCACTCCAGTTGCAAAATACGTTTTCAACGAGGATATTCTTAGCGGGGCTCTGTTATTAAGACTGGATTAGCTATAGCTGTATTTGAACATATAGATCTCCTTACCTTTACAGTAACACACTCATCTTTATTTGTCACTTCAACATCATGAACATGAATGTTCGTTCCCCAGATATCTATTCCATCGAGACCTCCTTCATTGCCTCCGCGGATCATCATGTTGTAAACTTCACCATTTGTGCAAGTGTCCATGGTGAAATGAAAAGCGGGAGCTGAGAAAGATTAGCGAGAGGTAGCTTTGGGCAAAGAAAAAAGTGAGGTATACAGTCAACCAAAGCAAGATCATGAACGGAGAAGTTCGTAACGTCATCGAGGCGAAGAATACGTGGCCCATAAGTTCCGGCTTGGATAGAAAGGTTAGACATGGACGACAAATGATTGGATGTAGACAAACCACTGTGAAATGTATAGCCATAGCCCTGGACCGCACCCTTTGAACTGCTGCTATACAGTTCTAAATCCGTAGTATGTCTGACATATATCATGTTGCCACCAGCTGTACTGTAATCGCGTTCCGTCAATGGAAATCCCGGAGAGAGAGGGGGAGCGAACTCACCCTGTACGATAGATAATACCATCCAAGTTGATGGAAACAGCAGTTCCACCATTCAGAGTGACCCAAGTAGACATCCCATAATCACCCGCTGGAATATAGACTGAAAAATAAATCAGTACTGAGTGTTCTCATCCTCGTCTCAGAATATCCTAACCTTGGCCACCGGATTTACACGCAGCCCATGCGCTAGCAATGGCCGGCCCAACATCAGATGTTTTTGAAGCTTTCGCTCCATAATCAAGAACATTGCAAACCTTAGTAGCGACCTTGTGCTCCCTAGTTGTTGAAGGTCCAACAGACCCCGAAAGTTGGGCAGTTCCTCTGCTGACGAATATGGCGCTCGTAAGAGCGAAAGTAGAGAGCTTCATAATTGATTCGGTAAAGACAGGAACAAGGATCCGAAGATAGATTCTCGAAAGAGGAAGGAAGAGATGCACATGTACACGAAAAGAGGGAGAAGAGTGGAGAAGGAGGGAAAGGAGGACAGAACAGAAAGAAATGCAAAGTGATACTAGTACACAGTGGTGGAAAGCGAAAATCACATCATTACGGAGGTAACACCACGTCAAATTTGAGGCTCTAGAATCGAGAAGGAACAATGGGATGTTTAGGATAAACAACGGAAGAAGAACCCGGGAGACAATCATGTCACTTTCGGGTCGCGGGTCCCAGTATATGCAGTAGCTCATAACCTATCGGAGATTTCAATGATATACTAATTCTCAAGCAGTGACAAGCATCTCTGAGAGATTCGCAAAGGATCATTTTTGTGGAGATGAACAAGGATAATTTGTGGAAGGGAACAGTAAGCCAGGTGGGACTTGAAACTGATCGGCAACGCGGAGAATTGATTCCTAGGACATAACACTTATGAGATTTAGAAATGGGGTTTGAATGTTTGTATACTGAAATGCTTGTTTTGCATATTTCACATAGGAATAATCTAGAGATGCTCATCGGCTTCCCTACTCCCGACTCCCCTGCTTCTTCACCGCACACATAGTGCTATGTAAGTCATGGACTCATCTACTGTGCAACGACTTCTCATCAGGGTGCTAGTCAATCTATCTTATCAAACTCCACAATGCCAAGGATTCTAATTTCTTCATGCCCTTTCATGAACGCATAGCGCTCCTCTGTTCCACGACTACCCCTTGGCTTTAACATCAAAGCATCTTCTATGGTCTTGAAAAGTCTGACACGGTTGGCCAATTCCAATGGTGGTTCGAACAACTTTGTCTCTCTGGTATAAAGCAACTCAATCATGCTTCCCATAAAGCATTGATTGGCCTCTTCTTTAAATTGATCGCGTGGCACTGGGGAATCCAGTACAGCTAGTCTTCGAGCTTCTTCAACAAATGGCTCCTCCTTAAGCCAACGGCATAGCAACTTCCAATCCCAACATGTGCCGGTCCCTTCAAGCTCTTCATCCTTTTCATGGCATTCCCGAGCATTGAGATCGAATATGAATGGGACGATGCTTCCAGCTATCAGCATGTTTCGCCAAATGGTTTGATCGGCCGATATCAAGTTGTGAAGATAATGGTTGGCACGGCCAAGTCGTAAAATGGATCGGTAGGGGAGGTATGATATTATGAGGTGCATTAACTCAATTGGAAGAGTTTCTAAGGGTGACTTCCGAGTATTATTAACCGCTCGCCCAGTGATGGATACGCGGTGGAGGTTCGAGAGAATATACTCGGTTAAGCAGGGAATGTCGAAGGGGTCGCAAAACAAAAAATACCACCCTCTCATATCGCCACGGATATCTCTCCAATACCTACGCATCCCATAATACCCATGAGGATACTCAATTCCAAAAGTGTGGAGACCCGACTGAAGCGACAACAAATCTGGCAGCTGTCGAAGACAATCACGAACCTCGTCCAGAGCATAGTAAAACGTCTGGATAGCGACCGAACTCGGAACTTTCTCTTCAAGCTTGACTTCCAGTTTGCGTCGTAAAATGTACTCGACCAAAGACAGGCACCCGACGTGAAATGGATAGAAAGACAACATGAGTTCATTTAACCCTTCAGATGTTGCTGGAGGAAGAGGGCACGCGTTCTTGATGTTCACTTTTTCGCCATTATCAAGCGTTCTGAAATAACTTTCCTGGTCACTGTGACTCTGGTCCTCTGCATCCTCTTCTGACCTTGTTATGTCAGAGGCTTTTCGAGGCCGTTTGCGTCAGGACGTTTGCTTACATTTCTTCAAATGCATTTGAACCCAAGGTGAAATAACCTTGGTTGACCCACTGCCGATGTCAGCTAGGTTCAATCTCGGTATGGAGTAAAAGATATGGTGATATATGCCCAAACAGTAGGATGATTCGCATACATACTTCTGGCACCACCTGAAAATTTTCACATCTCATAGTAATACCATGCACAACAATGCCACAAACACAACAGTACATCGCAGCAAAAAGTGCACCTGTCTAGGTATGTAGCAAAAGTTCCTGGGGAGTAAAAGTTTGGTTAAGATGTGGGCAAGTCACAAAAGCGAAATTCTGGGGTGGTTTGATTTTTTATCGATATTGAGGTTTCTCTTCGCTACAGGCGCATGCGTGTCCTGGTAGCACCTGCCTATGTAGACGACATTGCGATATTTTCACTCTGCTCACCAAAAGTCGCTCTTTCTACATTTGTGCTCACCTGGTGGGATTACGGCATTTCTATTGGGTCTAGATTTGCGTCTCTAAGACCGGTGCATATGTGTCAGGAGTCGTGCCTTCTTGCTTTATCGATCCTCACGGTGACGCAGGATCAAGCTACCCAGGTGAAATGGAAGGAACATATAAGTTGCAGCACTACAGCCGCCGGGCATGAGATGGTCAAGGTGAGACTTTTGCAGTAACATTTTGAACTCTTGAAACATTATGAATTGACTCAGGACTCTAAGTGATACCTCGTAGAAATTGTACCACAGCGCAAGCTCACGCGGCTTGATGGGAGAGAGAGTTTAAGTCACTCGAAGAAGTATCTTTCAGAGATTGGAGAAGACTTTAATCTTTTTCATCCCACAAACTAATCAGAAGTGCACATAATAACTCAAACCCCAAATTGAACTCGGATGTTCATGTAGATTGAATCTATCAAGACACTGATTGAAGTAGACCTGGAAATGTGTGAAAAGTGAAGCTTACCTATACAAATCCATGATATTACGGCGTGACGAGGCATCAAGTAACGTAGCACTGTACTAACATATTGGAAATCCGATTAATGAAGAGTCTCTTAGGCAATATCAACCCACACAACAAAGGGAAGAGGCTGCCATAATTGTCTTCATTTCATCAGATAAATTTCCAGCAGAAGAAATAGACTCTTGAACTCAAAATCCTTCTAAGCACACAAACAGCAGTTATTAGCACGCCTCAAGTCGGTTGAAAATGTCCTCGCCGCTACCCGTTGAGTTGATGGGCGGAATTAATCTCTATGCCATGACCCCCGGGTTCCCTCGCTCGTGTTCGATAATTGGCAAAAAGATGAGCTATCATCGTAATTATATCGAGAGACTACAATTACTGTATTCTGTCCGACTTGGGAGCAGCGACTGGAACGTGACGGTGAGGACAATAGTGGTCTGATAAAACACAGTAGCTAATAGCAGGGAATAAAGCATGTATGGTCCACATCAAAAGGTATGATAGGGATTCTTCCGAATATGATGTATGTGTTGTCGAGTTTCAGTTAATACAAAATTGTCGTATTTTACCCACGAGAGAGGCCCGCGAATTTCTTTGCCGAATGGACCATGCTTTTGAAATGCCGCTGGATGATGCTGAAATTTATTTCAATTCTCAGCGGTCTTGGACTCAAGAGACTGCATCAGAGCCAGTGGTTGTAGAAAAACGTTAAAAGGGGAGCTAAGCGAGGATCAAATGAAGTTTCTCTTTCTGATTGTAAACTCTGGTGCTCGGATTCTGTGTGGGCGGAGAACCACGAAAGCTAGCGAAGTACGTTTCATGAAAACTGCCTTTTTGGTGCTGAAGTCTGAAGGTCGCCTTTGCTGGATCCAAAAAAGCAATCAGACTTGGCGATACACAAACCATGACACTTCTCGTTTGGGCGGGTGCTAACCGATTCGTTGATTCAAACCTCATCATTGCGCTTTTTGAAATGCAGTTGGTGATAGAGTGAGAGTCTTGAATCATCTTTTGCACTATATGAACTACGTGCTCAGTTGTGAAGAGCCTGAACGGTTATTCTTAAGTATGAGCGTTTTACTTGAAGATGAGGAGTATATGGGAGGTGGGGGGAAGATAGTTCGACGTCTGAGCTGCTCAAAGTATTGAAAGCTTCTCAAAATTTCAAGGATGTAGAACAGTTTTATCGATTGGGAATCCAGGCTCCTATGGAACTTGGAGACGTTGAAAGGGAGGTCTTAGAACTCGCGATTTCGGGTTGAACATATAAGATTTACATACAAAGCCGAACTAAATTTTCTTTTGCTAGTGGAAATTGAGAACTAAATCTTTGCTGCTTGATATATCTTTGAACTTGCTTCTTTTCAAGAAAAGACTGCCAAATGGGAAGGAAAAAGGACGCAGTTTCCTGCCATATACTTTAAGTCCTACGTACGACCTTCTCCAGCAGCTACATATGTTGCGATATGGTATACATATTTTGTAATAACTATAACGGATCATTCAAGCGAAACATGGATGAGCTCAGGCGTATGGGAGAGTTTAAGTTTACTAGTGCCATTAAAGAAATAAAGTCCTTCCGCCAATGAAATTACATGAGACTTGCGAAGTGGCACTATCTCTACACCTCACATACGACCAAACGACAAGCTGATGCCCAACAGAAATACTCAACATTCCCTGCCAATGGAGCTACCATAAATAACAAACAATAATCCCCACTAGCCTGCTTATCAAGAAAGATTCTTGATCGTGGCGCGGTTTTCCTCAAGAAGACTGCAACTTGATCTAAAGTGACCGAACCCCCAACATACCCCACAAAGGTTGTGACATTCAGCCCACACGTGATTGGTCTCTCCACAGAAGTCGCATTTCTTTTCCGTGGGAGGACTTACGATTGGAGCACCATATGATATGAGCTTGCTTTGTCGAAGCTCCTTCTTCTGCTGCAAAATCTTTTGTATGATTGGCGCTGCGTCTGCATCAGGAATCCATTTCTCGGTGGATAAACCAGCGCTGTAGTTGCTGTTGTATTGGATAACTTCGACCGTCTCAAGACTATCAAGCCCACAACACACTTGATCCAGGTTTGGAGTAAGTCTATTTTTGTCTGGGACGTAGATGACCAATCTAGCAAGTCCAGTGCAAAGTTTCTGCATGAACAGGTTGTAGGTCTTCAACTTGTCCAAGTACATCCATTGCTGCAGCATGAGTGGTGGACGTCTGTGTTGAATTTGACAAATTCCTTCATTCACTTGTCCAAGCCAGTCCTCGCCAGTTGGAAGGTCTGCAGTAGGTAGGTACATTGCATAATTGCCGCAATTTTTGCCAGAACGACCTGTTGATACAAGTGAACGAGTAGCATGCGTATATATGCGACTGATTAACTTGAAAGAAAAAGCATTATTCTGGTATAGCAGCTTGATGCACTGGGATCACCTCTAGAAATCCAAGTATATTGCGGGAGTGATTCAATATTCGAAAGGTCAATATCGAAGCGGCACTTTGTTGGGCGATAATAACTTTCGGTATCAAGAATAACCTGCGGTTGGAGGGAACATCCATTAGGCGCAGATAAGGCAAGCTTGAATATCCGCTGGCGTATTTCTGTTTTCTAACGATTAGTTGAATTGTTTCCTCAAGTGCAGAAGTTAACTTTTTACGTACCGGCTGGAAACTTCATGAAGTGCCTTGGGTGATCTACTGGCAGATTCCATCCAAGTTCAAGATGGGGGAGTTCAGTACAATGGTGTCTTTGCGTCTCATAATAACAACATGAGAAATTGAATTCGCTGTAATGGCCCGATAAACAACGATAGGAATGGGAGTAAGGACGGTTGATTTGTTTCAAGTTTAGGGGCTTCTCCAATCTGTGGTGCCCTTCGTACCTGCCTGTAACTTCAACCTCCTTGATAGTAATAGAGATTGAGTGCTTGTAAGGTTTAACAACTAGGGTATCCTGTTAGTTCACTCCAATATAAATCCGTAAAAGAAAACCCTGAAATCTTACCTCTGTCTCGTCCTCCATAGATACATCGGTCCCCAAATTCATCAACAAAAAATACACCAGTGATCTTATTTTCTTGCGCATATTTTGCAAGTGCCTTCTCTGGATCTAGCTTAGGAAATGCCTTCAGAGATTTTCTGAAAATGCCGAATGCTGCGGCCTGGTCCAAAACCATATCCTCAAACTTGGTGGTCATCATGGTGTTTGATTTGGTGTATCTGTGAGTAATCAAAGCTTGTAAGTGTCGTCGGTAGTGTTGAAATGTAGGATAGTCAAAGTTGTATGCGGATGCGATGGTGGTAGCGTATCAGAATACCCAGGAGTTTTGGTTGACAATAGGATATCCAAGAGGAAGAGTTGGTTTGGGCCAAAGTGGACTATAAATTGTAACAACAAGAAACCCTGAGCGTGTGGAGCCTTCCCGAACCGATTCCCAATTCACGGTCTCTTTAAAGCAAGCCATCTCATGCGAATTGACAGTGAAGTGACCAGTAAAACCACGTGGCAAAGCTGTTGTGTATCTACTTTGCAAGTGAATCCAAGAAGTAGTGAATCCAAGAAGCAGAGTAAGATAGCTTAGACTATCCAACGGCTTTCTCTCTTTACCAGTGAATCCAAGAACTAATCTTGCAAAACAATCATACCTGGAAACTCCACCAAAATGAGCGTAAGCTGCGTAACACACTTTTTGCACTAAAGCCTTGGAGTAGCTCCACAGACTTCACAACATTCCATTGTATGAGTCCCTGTTTCTACCTAATCAGCATGGCACGACTGGGAAATTTTTCTTACAGATTTCAAATATACATACAATTCTCGCTCCACACTAATCTTGTGATGGGTTTAGAGAGACAGACAGGTGCAGTCATGAATGGTTTTCTCTCTGCTTCGCCCTTATGACTTTGAGTATAGTGTTGAGGTCTGAAATAGGAGTGTTTTGCACATCTCATTTTGGATGGATAGAGACATTGTGGATGGGGAGAGAGGTAGGATCCGATTTCTATTGGTTTTATTGACAAAAAAGAATGAATACGAGTACCAAGGGAAAAAGGGCTGGCTTCATAGAGATCGCTTCTTTGATACCAGAAGACATGTAACTGTTCTGTACAGCCTTTTCACTCTCCTGAGGAAGCGTTATATTGGAAATGACGCACTGATTAAAAACTTGTATTGTAATTACTTGAGTCCAATTTCGCAAGGTATAGAAAGGGAGGAAATAAGAAAACCAAAAATCCCATATAAATTTCTAGCCAGATACACTTTGTTCCCCTTCTCAGATCATAACTTGGAAGCGGGTGGTGTCGCCTTCTTATCTTCTTTTAATCTCACTACGCCCTGCAAACAGTTAGCATCGTTTGTTCATAGTCAAAGTCACAAGCGCAAATAAGACAAATAAAAACATACCTCTTGGAAACAAGTCGCAATCAAAGTCCCATCAGCAGAAAACATATGCTGCTGCACAACCCCTCTTCCCTTTCCACTCCACGGACTCGTCATCTCAGAGTACATCCACTCATCCGCCCTAAAGTTTCGTGGCTCATGGAAATAGATACTGTGATCCAAGGAAACCATCATTCCCACCTCAGGCTGACCATCCGCTTTCTGAGCGTCTGGGTGCAGTCCCTCGGATACCTTCCATTTCTGCAGATACCTCTTTCTCTGTTCCATTGCAGGGGTTAGATCTGTACCTTCGGGAGACTCTCCAAATCGCCACAGGTTATTAATCCGCGAGACGGTCCCGATAAAGTAGGAATCTGACATGTATGCTAGAGCGCTCAGATGCGCTTGGTGACCTCCAGCCTCACTAATCCTACCTCGGGCTTTGATCCACTGTCTCGGTCGCTTCGTATAGACATCCTTGCTATCCTTATTCAACATATCAATCCGACGACACATGAAAGGCGAATTTCCATCCAAATCTTCATCCTCGACGTCTGGGGGAGGGAGATGCTTTCCGGGCAGAGGCACGGCATGCTCCACCGTCTTATGTCCTCCGCTATCCTCCCTCGTAAATGACATTGTAGTTGTAAATATGGCCATCCCCCGCTGTCGAGCCTGAACCGTACGTGTAGCAAAGGATCGGCCTTCGCGAACGTGCTCAACGTAGTACATGACTGGTATCGTTGCGTCTCCGGCTAGGACGAAATAGCAGTGCATGCTGTGAACTGTGAAATTCTCTGGGACGGTTCGTTGGCCTGCTGCTAGACATTGCGCTATTACTGCTCCTCCATATATTCCACGAGCTCCGGGTGGGTGCCATAGAGGGCGGGTATTGGTGAACATATCCTATGAGAAGAAGTCAGCACATGTCGGGGAATGGGGGCTGACACCTTCGAGTAGTTTCGCCTAGACTAAAGGCAGAGAAACTTACAGGTCCAATTTGCTTGAGTTCCGTGAGTTCCAAGACATTTTCAATTGCTGATTTGGATGGATCTAGAGGAGGTGGTCTAACGAGGGTTCTTCGATCCGCCATTGTCTCAGAAGGGGGGTAAGAGGAATGTTCTTGGACGAAGCGTTTGTGCTGATAACGAGATTTGAGATGATCTGATTCTGCAAAGAGGAGAACAAATCGTCTAGAAGAAGAGGTATTTTTGTATCGGTAAACTCAAGAAGAACAAGACTGGTTCCCCTTTTTGTTCAGGGACAAGAACTTGGGTTACGAAATGGTGGAGTAAATTAAGACTTATCGAACCGAGGCTCGGTGATATGACGCCGGTCGGGCTGCCGAAGTCGGAGTCACATGGACCGGATCCGAATTCCCCGGTCAATCTTCAGTTGGACTAACCAGGTTTTGGGATTGTCAACGAAGCCCGTACTTGAAGGGCCTCAGAACTTACATCATGGTCGAGTACCTAATGAAGTACAATACTCCACTCGTATCGTACAAGGAAACAAATCACCTGATATCCATAAAGTGACGCAGCAAGGATAAGCATTGGGAACCAATCAGATCTCAATGATTGAATTCTTTGTAAGACCTGCCCACAGCGTGAGTTCCTGCCCCAAACAGGAAATACACGACATGCAAAAGAAAGCAAGCACTGCATCCAAATCAGGAAACGCACGAACAAAATGCGATTTGCAACAAATACACCCTTTGGATTTTCAACTGGAAGCCGAAGCCCTTGTTTGATACTCCGTAAGGTTACGGACTGAGCCCCTTTTTCCGGGACTGTAAGCGAAGAGTGGAGCCGTGTATGAGCTTGGGCTTTCGTTTATCAGTTCTCGAGTTTTACAGTGTGGTGATTGAATGTGATAGAAGGTTATTTGAACCATTCATCTGGATCTTGTTGGATAGTCACGGATAGTGTTCTGGAAATTTTGAATTACAGTTTTGATTGTGCCAAATTTGTGGAGTGATTATAGATTATTCTAGTAGAACAATGTGACTTATGCACTTTGTTTCGATGGATAATGTAATCTTGAGCTGTTCCTCGCCAGATTTACGAGATCCAAATATTTATATGATAGTATTTGGCATTTGGTACCAGTACCCCTTCATCCTACCAGCAAATAAAAGCACCTCATTCACCCCAAACTCTGCAGCTTGATATGCACCACAGCTTCGAATAATGATCCACAATCTGCAATTGATCCCGTAATACAACATGATACTTCCTCACTCATTGGTCCCTGAAAACTATAACTTTCACCCGGAAGGACTTTTTCTATCTCCCTGGGTCTCTTTGAAACAGCACCTTTGGAATGTCCTCACGATAAACCCTCCTACGTACGAGTAGTCTGACAAATCCCATTAATCCTCCCATATCACTCACATCATAGCCAAAAGAACCCGGTGCAACAATAGTAATCGAATGAATTTTCACAATGAAGATACTTGCAGCAATAATGTATATGGCACAAGAAGCATGCTATCCCGAGCACGATCACGATGTTCAATAAAGTAGCGATTAAAAACCTACTTATGTAACTTTACGAAAACCGTGAAGCAAATGGATGTGGAAGTAACATGACTTAATACTATTATAGCAAGAGCAATCTCGAAAACGCATCATGGGCTCATATCCTCCACCATCCGTTGATAAAGTAACTTGTAGATGCGAGTCAAGCACGCATTTAATAACTTAATAACGACTTTACTTCTCGTCAATTCTGCCACTGAATCGAGAAGATAAATTCACACAGCCACAGAGCATATGCAGGAAATCTATATACTTTCACGTCAAGGCTTTCGTAGAATCCCTACTTGGGGGCAAAGGAAGAATATTTATTAAAGAGAGAATTGCAGTGATGAATGGACTTTCGAGGACGTTGTTTTTTACCCGAATTGGATGATGACAGGAAGTGGTGGTACGAAAGGGGAGGACAATAATGTCTAGGAACAGGACTTTGGTGTGTTGAGTGATTGTTGCTATTGTAAATTTTGAGGGATATTGATTCGCTGGAAGAGGGAAGGTGAAAGGATGTTTGGATTGTTGGCGCCATGGTAGGAGCTGATTACTACCTACGTTCTTGACCGGTGGTTTTGATTGGAGTCCCTTCGCAAGAGTAGCTATTTCTCTAGCTACAACTACTCCGTACCTAGGTAGGAAGGAAGGTCGTTTTAGGAGTTTGTACGAACAAATTCTATAACTTGAAATTTTACAAATCTTCCGCCGTTATTTTATCAGACGAATGAAAATGGTTGAGATTGACTTTAGGTTAGTAGGTAGAGATATGATGGACGCGCAAGATGATGCCGTAACGGAAGGCTGTTCAACGGGCAAAAGGGGACTGATATAATGAGTAGAGCTTATACCTGAAATTATAGGGATGAAGTTTGCGGTATCAGGTCGTTGATTTGTCATGTTGGTGTAGGGTGACGGTTGTGATGAACAGGTGCCATCCTTTTGCCCTGCCGTATGAGCGAGTCTGTTCCCTGTCACATCAATAGATGTGAGGGGTAGAAGTCGAGTACGGAGTATGGTAGAGTAACTCTTACGCGATGTTTCTCATGCGTAGACAGAGCCGTTCGTCCTCTGCTATTTATGGAGGTTGCAATGTTTACTTGTACAGGTGGATGAGGATGTGTATCTGGGGACCCCGGAATTAGAATACCCTCGACTCGTTCTAACCACGTCCAGATGGAACCAACATGTTTGTCGATACTATGGGAACTAATACTGCCGGAGATCCGATGAACCCTTTCGTCAAAGTCTTCCGTATGACTGGAAAAAGTACATGACCTAGATTCTAGAGAGGCCGGACAGTGAAGGTGGGTGAGATGCAAACTCTACGAGGCCAAGCTTTGAGCAAACCCCAATCCGGACGATATCAAAAGCAAAGAGAGGAAAGGGAGCTCGGTAGATTAGGCTATTCATTTCAGGAAACAACATTCCAAAAGGGGAAGAGGGGGAACACCTGGAACTTCACGCCAAATTTCCCCAACAAAGTACAGTACAGTACATGCAAATTGTTGGCGATAGGCTACTTACTATGCAACGAAGAAATTATGATACAGTTTGTTGACTAGTAGTTGGCTACTAGCTGGCTAGTAGTGTCTGGTCTGGGTAAGCTGGCGAGGCTGTTAGCGGCAGACGTCATGGGCCGTTGTGTTGTCGGTTGGCCACCTTCGTTTGCAGGGGACCTGGTGGAAAAGCCGCGCCGCCCAGACTTTGTAGTGCCCATAGCTGTAGCCAGCGAGCTACCTACAGGTACTACTGTAGCAAGCCAACGTCCAGACTCAAGGAGCAACCAAGACAGCCAGTGGTCCCTACGTTTCCTCTGTCAGCACCAGAAACATTTCGAGACTCAGATTCCAATCGATTTAGTGATTCAATCAACCAACCTATGTGAAATCTTACATGATCCTGTACATCCGAGTCCCACCGTCCCTGTCGAGTATCCGACTATTTGTACCTAGGTATCTTCAGCACCACCGTGTCAACAACACCAAGCCTGAACAGCATCTCCAGCTTCAGCCCCTGCCTGGCCTCTTGCACATCCATTGAGCGAACCTGCCAGACCCAGGCTTCGGAGACGCACGGAAAATGATCTCGTTACGGGAAAAATGTCGCCCCAAACACCAAGTACTCATTCTGAAATGCTATCCCAGAACGACCAAAGGCGCAGTGGATGTCAAGCCCAATTCCAGCGAGCTCAGCTACCTCCTTTACTATGCGACCACGCGACGGAGCAAGGTGCAGAAGGTCGGTGCCTTTCTGGAGAAGAAGACAGCTAGCGATGTTTGGCGGGCAAGAATAGGGTATGTCCGGACAGGAAATGTTGCTTTCATAACCAATCGTCGTGGACTTGCTGACCGGTTTGATATATAGAAATGTTCAAGTCACCTTACAAATCCTAGAGGGAATGATCGAGAAAGCTCCCCGAGACCTCCCATTGTACGCCAACTATGTTCTCAAGATACTTGTCATTATATTGCGCTCGCGCGACATTACCATGGTGGAATCCTCTCTCCCGACGTTCAAAGCATTCTGCGATCACCACGATGGTGCCTCTCTTTCGGCTGACCAGGAATACCTGCGCCAATATGAGGAAATAGTGAAATTATACTCCTCCTTTGCATCGCCAAACCCACCACTGACGAAGCCTCCAATCAGTGAGCCAGTCGCAATACGATGGAGAAACGTGGGTTTACAAGCAATCAGTAGTATTGCTTCCTCCGAAGCGTTGGCCTCGACGGCTGGGAAGCAGCTGAATGTGATAATTCCCATGGTATTGGAAAACCTCTGGACCGACAATGAGGAGTTTGTGGGTATGTTGGAAACACGGGTACAGGAAGTGCAAACGGACGCAGAAAAGACAATGCTGAAGCGGAAAGTCAGTAATGCTACGGTGCAGACAGTCGATACAGCTGGCGATCACAATGCTGCTGCCCTTTCTGCGACAACTGCAGATGCGGACAAACTTGCAGAGGAAAATATTGGAGTTTTGGCCATGCAATGCTTGCAACAAATATATACTGTACCTAATCGAAGCCAGGTACACCAAGCTACGGAAGCAACCTTGGCCTTTGTCGCTGAACACGTATCCCAATGTGCATCAGAAGGTAAGTCAGATGGCAATCGATATTGTGGATGGGCAACGAGAATATTTGAGATGGTTGCTCAATGGACCCCGGTTCAAGATCGATATGTCATATTGGTTACTGCAGTGGAGGTCTTGGTACAAAGCCCGGTTGTTGAGGAAAACCTTCAGGAGCAACTGACTCTTGCAACCATGGTGGACTCCCTACTGAAATCGGAAACCATCAACCTTATCGGGTTGAGTGTGATGGACGTTCTACTTGGCCTAATAAAGCATGTGGTGAAGCTCCTTCAAATGAATGGCAATCCCGCAGAATCTGGTAAAACTGAAAAAGAAGTCTCGCCCGAGCTGGATATCTCGAAACCGAGTCCTTTGAGAAAGGCGCTTTTGGAACGGGTTCAAGACTGTGTGAGTCACTTGGCCACACATGTTTACTATGGTGATCAGATATCTGACATGGTCTCTGCGCTTCTTTTGAGGTTAAAACCTTCGCCATCTTCCAATGCGACTACGGCTGCCTCGATTGAAAATCCCAACCCTGCTACTTTGAACACCGTTAATGAATTGCTGGACGATAACAGAACTGATGGATTCTTTTTGTTTGGCACCGCCAAGGTCAAAGCTCTTGAAGCCGTGACAGCAATTCTTCTTGTTGCAAGCCACCGAAAGAATGTGGTTGGTGGAGCAAGTCTTGGGCGAAACCCAGTCCCTATCAAGGTTTGGGAAGGTACCCAGTGGTTGTTGAGAGATAGTGATATTCGGGTGAGGCAGGCCTACATTGATGCGTTTTCGACTTGGTTAGAAACAGAAACTAACAAAGGGCATCTACGTGTGGCGGATGATAAGCCCAAACTATCACCCAAACTTGCACCTCGGAATGGTCAAAATAATTCTTCTACAAAACTTTCCAAGCGCGTGGTTTCCAACGCGTCCCAAACCGAGAAAAATACCCAGCCATCAAAGACAACTTTCTTGGAACTTCTACACCTTGCAATTTACGAAAATGCCATACAACTTGTCGACAGCGAGTCGGACTTTGTTCTCTTGCATTTCCTACTTGCCAATCTAGTTGCAAAATTAGGGGTCAATGCTGTCAAGAGTGGACTACCCATGATTTACCGACTACAAGAAGACATTTTGGAGGCAGAAACGCCGCTGGCAAAAATTCGGATGGGAAGTCTTTGTCATGGATATTTCTGGATATTAAGTGAACGCTTCGACTTTGATACATCCCCCGTGGGCAGGACAATACACGAAGAGATACACCGTCGGCGAAGTAAGATGTTCTGGGTCGATCGGGTTTGCATGCCACCAATTAACATCAGCAAGATTGGGACACCTGGGACCAGCACGGCAGAGCAGCTTCTTCCTCTAGAAAAGTTAGAGACCGAGGCTCTTACCCCTTTCGACGAACGATTCGAAATGGTAAAACTCATTTCACTCTCATATGCTGCGTCTTTGACGGCCTCTCTACAAATCAGTCCTCCGTCATCGCCTGGCCGCTCATTCAGTGGTCCCGTGCTAAACAACAGACCCTCTTCTGCGGAAGATTTCCAATTGCCAGAAAAGACTAAAGGACAGATGATGTCGGATTGGAACAAGGACGAGATCATTGCCCTTGCTCAGGAGGGAAGTAAGTCGGCCTCGATCAGCGGGTCAAAAACCGGTACGACCGCAACCCGGCACCGTAAATATCTTGCTGTCAATGGTGATATGAATACTGGAGGTACCAATAGTCGTAATCAATCACCTACTGGTGGGACTCTGACCCAACAGCATCGCAAGCCAGATTCATCTTATGGACTTCTTGGAGGTCTTTCTGGACTTCATAATCTCAGGAAAGCCAGCGTTAATTCCGGATCTCCTGCAAGCGATTCAAGTCGCAACTCGGTCACAAGAGTAGACCATCTCAAAAAGATCCTTGCGGGCCAAGCAGACGCTCCTCCAAGAACTAGGGGAGGTACATACAGCGATGCAAGTAGTTCGAGTATGGTCAGCTATGATTTTACTGCATCTGATGTATCATATAATCCTGGAACCGGGGATCAAAACCAGCCTATGGAGCGATCGGTCTCCTTGCGCGAACCCAACAGAAAATCAAGATCCAAATCTCGGGATCGACTTGCTACTGGTGATCATCAACGACCATCTACTTCCCACTTTGCTGCGGCCAGGACAGATCCCAATATCAGTTTGGATGGACAAGATTTTGAATCTGTACCTCCGATTCCGCCTCTACCCAACACACATACTGGGGATAGCATATCAGTTCATGACCATGCACTCACACATTCACCGGCCACAAAGCAGCAAAACAAGGTGGGGACGAGATCAAGAAAGACGAGTTATGGGAGTGAGATTTGGGGGGAGGAACCGCCTACGGTAGATTTAGAAAGCCTGCTTCGAGCGATCGATACGACGGCGGAGCAGAAGGGGAATATTTCTGTCAACCCCCCTTACTGAACATATGTTAAATACGATTGCACATACGTGATGATGGGTGGAATGGGACATGTACTTGTATGTTTTATAGATTGGAAGCGGGTGGCGCTTTTCGGGAAGGCATACTTTGCACCGGGTGGGCGTTGATGGAGCGTTGTACAGTACATTTTGGAAAAGATTACATTAATTGATCGGGTTCTGTCTACTTTGCATGTATCTCTTGACCTATATTATTGTGACAACTGGATCATTTCAGGTTCCGAGTATTTATTAACTGATTCCCGGTTTGAAAAACCCATCTTCTTCCCACGATCTATAGCAAAAAGCCGTTTCCAGCCCTACAACCAGTTACGGAAACCTTATTCGCTGGACCACCTATCTGGCTGCTTGGAAAATGAGAACCACGGACACCTCCCGGGATGGGTGCTGCGGGTTGTATGCAGCGTAACGTGGTCGTGGGGGGTCGGTGTGTGTGGACCAATCATTGAGGGGTGGGAGTCCTGAAAGTCCTGCGACTTGCGGTTGTGAGGGGAGTGGAGGAGAGGAGGAGGGGAGGAGGAGGAGTTGATGTGGGAGAGGTGGGGAGGACTAGTTGTGGGAGATATGTTTGTTTGTAAGTATTGTATAATTTGAATGTATAGATGAATGGTTGGTAGGTGGGTATAATTGTTACTTGGTGGTTTTTGGTAATGTAGGACTGAGATATTTACGTCATTTTACTAAACTCGCAGTAGAATATAAATCCTTATTGTCTGTACGGGGTATTGATTAGGGCTTTTAACTTGGATTGTTTTTTCAACTTCTTTAACTTATATATATTGCTTTTTTTCTCTGGTGTTGGTTAAGGTTGTCTTGTCAAGGTTGTTTGGAGATAGATGGGGGATTAATGTACGTATACACCAGGGTTCTCCTTTAAGGATCCGGTCGATCAGTGGTTTTCTTCAACGGGATCTATTGTTCTTGCTATTAATGCTACTCTACACACATGGAGTATATCGATGAGGATCAAGACTTGTACTTGTAGTCGTATTCAATCATAATGTCCTGATCCGTTCGACGAGAGTGTATTCTTGAAGGATGACTGATTGACTAGCTAGTCCTTGATAGCGTTTCTGCTTATGTAGGACTTTTTCGGGGCACCAGGGGGCTAGAATGATCATGAAGTCCGAGGTTAATATGAAGATATTCACAAATCCAAGAAACGCGACCGTTCAATCTATAGTATGCTTCGGTGTCGTTACAAATGCCGCACTTCCTGTCAAAATTTGAGTTGAAGTGCATACTACTTACTGCCTTACAGTCTGCCCTGCGATGCCGATACGGTACGATGCCTCTCGCTCGCTTCTGGCTGGCCAAGAAACGAGGCAACTGATCCACTCCTCGAAGCTCCCGCCTTTCCTCAGCTGGCTTCTTCAACCCCAATAGGTGACGATGCGATTCGATTCGACCACAGCCTTGATACCATTCAGAAGACAAGCCGGCTCGAATGCAGTCCGGTAAGAGAAAGGCCAGCCTCGACCGTACCATCACCACCCATCTCGGTGAACAACTTTGGGAGGCTCAGGCTGACCACACCACACCATCACACTACCCCATCCCCCCACCCATACACCCCCAATCCCTGGAAGGCTTCCATCTCTTCTTCTATCCTTCCCAACTACCCGTATGTTGCAGCCAGCTTACCTTACCTACCTCAACTTATGTCAAGTGGCTTTGCTTTGCCTTGAAGTCCTGACTCCTGACTGTCCTGGGGCTCTGATGCAGTCCTAGTTTTGACACATGTTCATCATCATCAGGAATCCATAACTTATATCGCCGCCAGTGGAATCATGGAAGCCCCTTTCATTAGTTCTGATTGAATCATATCGTTGTTTGTTTGTTTGTAGCGCTGCAGCTCTTCCACACTGCACGCCACACCCCTCGGTTCCTGAGTTGTCAGTAGTCACCCGCGCCATGTCTTTTCTAAGCAAGCGGAGGCGGAGTCAGAGGTCTTTTGTGAGAGGACCTCGAAGTGAAGAATTCACAGTGAGGAGAGTCGAACCCAGTAATGAGATACAAATCCGTAACGAGACACTCCCAGCGGGGAGCTCGATACCTCCAAATTCGAATGCGGCCGATTTTGCGCTTGACGATTCCTGTGTGTAAGATTTCGTGATATCTGCGGAGGTGTATCTCTAACCAAGGTGTAGCCGTCGCAAATCATCCAAACACAGCTCATCGCATCTACGCTTCCTCGCATGGGTGGCCTACACTCGCAAGTTCACAGATGAACCCATCACGCAGGAAGAAAGAAGAACATGTCCACTGTTATGGTGTCGCGCCGTCTTCGAGGACCAAGAGGCCATGCTTCAACACGTGTGGGATTGTGAACATCTGGCAAAAGGACTTTACTGGTGTTTTCACTGTCAGAAACCCGAACGAGTAGGATCATTTCAATGCAGGAGATGTCAGGGGACTCCTTCAAAGACTGATAGGATCGCGACGGTCGCTAAAAGAATCTTCTCTAAATTGGGATCCAAGCATCACAAGACCCCAAAGGTACCGCAGCCCCAACCGGAACCCGACATGACTGTAGCCAAGTATCCAGAGATTTCCGAGACTTTGGAAAATCACCCGGATTTCCCAACAATGTATGATGCTGGTCCGGGGGGGGATTATAGCTCACAGGAGCTATCGCGGACAGCCGGTACGTCCAGGTCAGCCTCAGATTGGGCTGCACGAGAATTGCCTGATACGCAGATATGTGAGATGATCGGATCCGAGTGTCCTTTGGAGCTCAGTAACGGTGCAGAGGAGAGTTGGTTGCCTCAGAGTTATCAAGTGAACCAAGATAGCTGGTTCACCCCAGATATTCCATTAGCATCAAACAATAGCAACCCCGAAAAGCCGTGGAGTCTCGATCTTCTGCCTCCACTGAATACTCAATTACCACGTCCAAACCAGGGCCGTGTTTCCTCTCAAGATTATAATGATGACTGGACAGACGAGCCTATGTCTGCCACGTTAGTGTCGCCATTGGATGTCGATGGGCGTGATGACCGATTCGCTTCGTTGTTCCAAGAGATATCACCCACTGATACCGAATTGAGTGGCATCTCATTCCTGACTGATTCTGGATATACGAGTGCGACTGTATCATCGACATGGAGTAGTTCGTCAATGGCAAACTTTGAGCTGCATCCAGGTTTCAATGAACCAAGAGGAAAGAAACGGTATCGCGATGAGATTGAACAGACGCATTCGATCAATGCAATCGTGTCAAGAAATAGCTCAACCAGGTCAACGAATTCCGTCTCACCAGAGGAAACTGAGGTTGTAGAAGCTGAGAATACCCATTCTCCCAGCAGATGTCCTAGTACAAAAAAGCCCAAGATTGTTTCTCCATATTGGGAGAGTGCCTCAACTCTCGTTCAGTCATTCATTCTCCGAGGTACTTGATGCCCATATAGGACACACCAAGAGGATTCTCCGAGAATTACCGACCACACCCATCACCACAGAGTTACTTGCTATGTCGCGAACTTCTATGGTATCAATTGGTCTGGAGGCCCTCGCGGGGATCATCGAAGGGCGAAATTCGACAGCCATTGTTCAGGCTTTTGCATTTACCCACATCGCTTATGCTTTTTCAATTTTAATTGATGATGAGATCAAGGTTCATACCCAAGAATGGTTTCAAGATTCCTTGTCTTGGGTATCTGATCTTGGATCTGAGAGGCAGCGAACGAGTTATGCTCACATTGCCAGAGCGCTGTGGCAACCTCTTAATCCATTGACTGAGAGGATATTTCCCCGTCTGTTTCCTGCTGGGGATGAGAATAGATTACTGTTGGTCTGCAGGAGGTTTCTTGATGGTGGGTTCAACTTGGAGTGCACCGGGTAATGCTAACGATTAATAGTTTCTGAAAGCTTTGGCTCCTCTGACAAAATCCCGTCTGATGGTGAAAAGATAGCGGCTTGTAAAACACGTTTTGTGAAATATGCCAAGAAACAGGTCATTGACGAGTTAATCAAGACGGTAAGCATCGAAGCCTTTATCGAAGATGTAGTCAAGGTCGAGAAGCGATTAAATCGTGGCTATATCCAAAACGTTCGCGAGCTGGAACTGGAACTAATGTGTGCTGGAAAGGTAAGCTCGCTATCATTTTCACCACTTAGTTTTATACTGACGCTCGATAGCTTGCATCTCAATCTGAACTGGCCTATACACGCTTCCTTTCGCACGTGACGAAACTCTGCAATTCTCTCTATGGACCATCGCCCATACGAGAACGTGCTGTCTACCATATTGGGGATATCTCACTCGTTAAGAAGCTTCTTCCTGAAGAACTGTTCAGCGAACAGAATGATGAGGAAGAGAGGGAATTCGAACTCGAATTGGAAGATGATTTGCCGGTTGGATTTGAGGTTGGTATGATGGGAACTTGTGATGAACGATCTAGAATTAGGATTGAATGTGTTCTGCATTCTGATGAGGACCTCGAGAATGGCTTGTAAGTTTTTAACTGCATCTTGTTGATTCCAGCTAATTCCTATACAGCTCATCTCCACAAGAGAACCAAACACAACCTCCCTCCCCCCTCGTCACCATTCCCATCCCACTCCACCGCTCAAAATCCTCCCACAATCCCTCAACCCCCAAACCCTCACATCCCATCCAAAACCATCCCAAATCATCAAATCCAACCTCCCAAGAACCCCCAAACTACCAATGCTCTCTCTGCGAATACATACCCTCCGGGAAAGAAAAATGGAAACCCTCGAATCTACGCCGACATCGGAGGACGCAGCATGCGTCCACTGAGACGAAGGGGTTGCATATCTGTCCCTGGCCGGGGTGTCGGAAGAGTTTTACTAGGAGTGATAATTTGAGGAGTCATGTTAGGGATAAGGGGCATGAGGTGGGGGTTGGGGGTGGGAAGGAGGTGGCTGAGGAAGAGGAGGATGAGGGGCGTGATGGTGAGAGGGAGAGGGAGAGGGTGAGGAAGAGGAGGAAGGTTGGGAGGGGGAGGGGAGGGGAATAGAGGGGAGATGATGGAGATAGGGTTTGGGGGCTGGTGGGTGTATATATTGTGGTGTTTTGGGATATTTTGTATATTGTATGTGCTGTACTTTTACATCTGCCATCTGGGTACTGGAGTTTCGGCGTCGTCTTTTGGGAGAGACTGGTTTGTCTTAGCGGGAGAATACCGATTTAATGGATAAATAGAAGGGATGGATGGTTGGTAGATACCCTTAGGTACCTACCTACTTAGCCGATGAACTGAACGGAGAATAAGAATAAACAAGTAAATGAACACAGAGGTTGACTTGTAAGATGAGATTATATCTTCGAAGCTACTATATATACGTTTCAGTATACTGTATACCTACCTACCTACCTACCTAGGTAGATACCTAGTCAATATATAAATCGTACTGGTAGACCTAAATCTCAAAACTAATACCTACCTAGTTAAACACTTTCTATACATAATAAACACTGTATTACTTCTTATATCTTACTGCCATTCTTAAGGAGATTCCTGCGGTATAGTAGTACTGTTCTGAGGAATTGTGTAGGTACCTAGGTAGGTAGGTAGGTAGTTTTGTCGTTCTCCCTTTAGCATATACCTGTAAGATTACAGCGTTTGGGGTGTTAATATAACGAATGACGAGGAATATTAGGTAAGGATTAAAAGCACAGACCTCGGGCTCGGGAGGGGATAAGAGAGTATATAGAAGATGTAAATACAAGCGTTCGTTTAGTATACGTACTGTACCTAGGTAGGTAGGTATCTATCTATCTACCTATCTACAATTCAGTGAGCGAACTAGATACGCGCCCTCTAGGTACACAGTCGAATTTCCTCCCGGCGGCCATATCCCGCAATCCGTTTTGACGATAAGAACCTTACCTTGGGGGCTTGAAAGTTTAAATGTGGGAGGAAGGAAAAGAGGGGGAGACGGGGGTTATACTCTGGGAGAGACAGGGGTCTGTAAATCGTGCCTTCCGTTCTTTACGCTCTCGTCGTTGTGCGCGAGTTTGAGGTTGAGTTAGGAAAGGAACGACTGTCGACTGTCCTTTCGAAATAAGCAGTCAGTCTCGACTTTCACCTGTAGGTTGGCCTCAGCTGTTGGTCGAGGTCGGTCACACCCCTACAACGGGCGGGAACTTGCACCTTATCTCGAAATAGGTTACTAGATAGGTACGTAGGTAGGAAGGTACCTGGACTGCGCAAGTGCGCATGCCTCCAGCTCGCTAATCACATAAGCAAATATACCTACTTCCTCTACCTTGATATCATATAAACTCACGTCCACAGCCCAAGTATAGGTACCTACCTACCTACCTACCTACTCACCAAAAATTCCAGACATCAACCCCCTAACTCACCCTCTCCATTCCCAGCCCACACACAAGCCGAACCCGTAATAACCTTACAATCCCTAACTTCCTCCAACCCCGTAAATTAAGCGACAAAACCGAAGTACTTATATTTAGTTAGTAGGTATGGGTACATATAAACAAGATACCATATTCTGCTAAAAGCAGGTTTCTATCTTCCGCCTGGCCTAGTCAGTTAGCTTAGGGTGTACACCTACCTACCTAGGTATGAGCGTTAATATCGAAAGTACTAAACCTATTACCTACCTACCTACTTAAATCTCCAAAACTAAAAGAGAATGAGGAGAATGAGGAGAATGAGGAGAATGAGGAGAATGAGGAGAATAAGGATAGAGAGTACGCCGCGAAGAAATATTTACTAAACTATCTAAGCTAAGCTAGAATAACGAACGAGGTCAGTTCGTCTGCTTTTCGACTTTGCGGGTTTTCGGCCGTTTTAAAAGAATGGGAGGAGGATTGAAGGATGTGGTGGTTTTATTTTACCTGCCGATTTGCTTTTGGTTGGGAGATAAGTAGAAGCGAGATTAGCGAGGGCGTGTTGAGATGAGGGGATTTGAGCTTTATTTGAGCTTTAAGCGAGTAAGTTGCCCTTTTTTCTCTGTCTTGCCAATTTGATCTGGATAATGGATTCTAATTTGGCCACGATCTCCAAAGTGATCTTTCAGAGATAGAGGGATTAGAAGAGAGAGAATGTCCAAAAGAGAAGATTATGAAAGAAGAAAACGTAGGAAGAGAGATTATTATAACGGCATAACTACCTAGGTAAAGATTTGAATATACACAGATACTAAAATACAAGTCAACCATCACCCACAAAAGCCAATCAGCAGATGCTTCATCATTACATCACAAAAAGCGCAAGACAACCACCTAACTTCCCAAAAACCCCCTCTGAGCATTCCTTCCCAGCTCCCCAGAAACAGCATCCAACTTCACCGCAACAAGCACACACTCCTTACCCCCTAGACTATGATTCTGCTGCACCTTCAACCGCCATTGTCCAGTCTTGACGATCCACCTCTGATGCTCCTCTACTAGACTGCCATCTGTGCGTCTTCTTTTGGGTAGACGAGGATGGTCATCTTCCATACTCAAAGACGCGATGCTCCCGTCTTCCTCTCCTCTCCCCTTCCACTCCTTCCCATCTAGACACACCCATGCTTCGTCTCCCATGATGCAGCGGACGAGATCTCCTTCGTGTGAGAGAGGTGTGTTTCCTGGTGATGCAGGTTGTGACGCTGCACCTCCATTTTTCATGAGAAGACCTAGTGGCTGTGAAGTCGAGAGATTTAATTTTGTGGCAATGACTTCAAATAGCCTGCTTATCCTCGTCTTTCCATCGCCAAAGAATTCTGCTCGCATTGTGGTGGTATTCGATGCAGGGTGAGAATTGAAATGTAATTTCGTGCATTCATCTCCAATTTCGAGGACCAGTTCGTACGCTTTTGGATCCACGAATGGTCGTGCGTAATTCACATAGCCTATTAATCCCGGTCGAGCATTGGGGAGAAGGTCAGTGGCTGGCGTTGTAGGTGGTGGGGATTGTCCAGCATCTGTCACCACGGAAATTCCAGATTGTCGGACGTCTTCTAGACGAAGTGTGATTTCGCTCTTTCGTCTCGCAAGGTTGTAGGATATGGAATGGCGGATGAGTTTTTGTTCTAAGCCTTTGAGATGAAAGTATTTGCAGTCGCGTAATAGTTCGGCTCGGTGATTTTCGTTTCTGATATGTAAAGGGTATCCGCGTAGGAGGTGAAGGATCTCGGAAAAGATTTCTGCTGATCGATTTGGTACAGCTGGTGGCAGTATGGAAGGTGGTCGGAGAAGTCCATCTCGATTTAGACCGGGAAAAACCTCTGTGGGGGTAGTGAAGAAGACTCCAAACCCTAGAGAAAAATAGTTTGGACTATTTCCCGGATCTGAAAATATCTCTTTTGGAATCTGAAAATCGCGATGGCCGATCGAGATGAAGATACTCTCTTCATAGAGTTGTGATATCAATCTTGGCACTACAACCTTTAGAATTGCATAAGCATATAGGGAAACACTTACAGCTGTAAAACTGTGCATCGGCAAATAGTTTGACAAAGTGGCTTCCATTCTTGGGAGCCACGTGGTATCCTAGGAGATGCAGAGAGATATCCCGGAATGTAACAGGATCACGATCGATGTATAAAGTCCGCACGCCAGTCGACTCCTCGCCACTCTCTTCAGCGGTCTTCAACTGACACTGAAAAAATTGGGAAAAATATGAAGGTGCTCTAGGCTTCTCAGTCTTGTTTCTTCTTCAACGACTCGCACAGCGAAAGGACACATACCATCAGAACTGATACTTGCACCACTAAGCCTGAACAACTCGCTTCCTATCTGTATATGAAAGACTCGTTCATGCGGAAGAATGTCCGGGATATCAGTATTTAGTTTCCGGGGAGCGATGGTGGGATCTCGTAAGATGCCAGGTGGGTTGGGAGTGACGGTGTCTTCTCTTCCAGTCAATATTGTCATACTTCCAGTCGTTCCCGGAACTCTGCCCTCTCTCCCTCCAGTCCCACCATTGCTTGTCGCCATAAGCCAAAAGTTTTCTTCCCAGCCACTACCCACACTGTTTCTTCTTTCAGCCCTCTAAGATTTCCTTCAATATATCTCTTCTTCGTATACAATCTCCCCGAAAGAGCCGCTCCGCTGCACCGTCTTCACGTGATTCGTATTTCCCTCCCTTCTCGTGGAGACTGTGGCTCCTGATATCGATATCCCTCTCAGCAGCTCTATAGTGGTCGGAAAGTAGGCCGATTCCTTTCTATCAGGTCCTGATGTGTGTGTAGTTTATTTGCCGTTTCTTCAATGGGGTTGCTTGAATACGTTGATGGAGAAGAAGGGATGTTCTACGAGTACGAGTACTGGTCGGCTTCCAGGACCCCGAGCGCCGTGAACATGCAGAAAATGGATGATGCCTCATGGAACATCAGCGCTAACCAGATCCGTAACTTCACCTTACACGGGACCTTGTTTTCTTTCTCTTTTGGGGGCCATTAACTTAGCGCAGATGTTGCGTTGGCAAACTACAAGTACCCAATTAGGTATTCACCCGGGTATTCACATCGGCAGGGCGTCTAGAAAAGGGGTTGTGATCATATCCATCATATATTCTCGTTAAGTAGCCCCCAAAATATTATCATAAGATGCACGATATCGCCGCCCCCAAAATAATTACAAATAAAGATGCAGATTTTTTGGTCCCTGCACTACTCGACGCAGTTGACGTAGGACTAGATGTGGGCGAACCTCCTGAACCTGGGTTAACAGTAGGTGTTGTTGGTGTCCCAGCACCAGAACTCCCAGAAAGACCCTGATAATCCGAAGACGATACGTTAAAGTTGACACATTCGGCATCATAAACCGAAGGATTAACGGCATTTGTCCCAGTAAGATTGTTGTAACCCAATCTTACTAACGAGTCTCCCGTGCCGTAAGCCGGCCAACCATAGTTTGTCAGTCCCTTTGCTGGATCTTTTGCAAAAGTCGCCCAGGCCCCGCGCATGTAGTTGCCAATTGACACTTCTTCTGCCGTTGAAGGTGGATTGGTAGGTGCAGTATTGAAGAGTATTGGCAACTCAGCGCCGTGATAGGCGCCAGATTCTGCAGATATACGGATATTTGGAAACTCTCCCATATAACGATATCTAAAGGTAGGAATTTTTTCAGCGATACTTGCGTTTGCTCTAATACCAGCTGGACAAGTAAATGCTTGAAGATTAAAAGCATCCCAATCCGCATCCGAGTAGGTGATATTATTAAGCGCGAACTGTGTTCGAAACAAACCTGCCTCATAATCTGTAAATTTAGTCAGTATATACTTCCCAGCAGGAGTAGAAGGACCTGTGAGACATTGAGTCACATCTATAAATGTGCCCAAAAATTTCCCGGGCCGGATAACCTACCATTGCTGCCAATAAGTAACGGCAAAGCCGCTGGCGCTCTCGATGTGTAGTTTGCAAACACCACTGTATCATCCACGGAAGGTCCAAAAGATCCCAGTACTACCCCAGTTCCAGTAACAACAGGCAAAGCATTGAAGATTTCTGTTGTGCTCTTAGATTGCATACAAGAAATTATAGTCGCATTGTCAGAGGAAGCGTTTCCACATCCCGCATTGCTGACAGTATCAAACCATGCTTTACTAGCGACCGCCTTTGAGGCGGGCAATGACCACGAGAATACTGTTCCTGATTCAGAAATGAATCCTGCAGCGATTGGGTCCGATCTCCATGCATATGAATAGAAATCAACGGATGCAGCTCCTGCTGATTGTCCGAAAATTGTGATTCGTGAAGCATCACCTCCGAAGTTGGCAATATTATCCCTGACCCATTCAATTGCCCTGTATAAAGTTAAAAATGTTAAAACAAGAAGCCGAGAGCAATAAGTGAATCATTTGCTCCCCAGGTTCTAAGAGAAGAGTTCAAAAATATGGCACATAGGGGGAAGTGCATACAGCCTTTGATCTAAGAAGGCGACATTTCCTGGGCCTCCAGGGTCTCCGGAAAATCCGAATATCGAAAGTCGGTAACTTGATAGAATTAGTGCTCTTCTTATGGTACGAAGACTCGGCAAAACTCACTTGAATGAAACCACGATAACGTCTTCTTGATCAGCAATATTTGCTCCATCGTATAAAGCAATAGAAGAACTTCCACCTTTGAAAGCCCCCCCGTAGATCCAAACGAGAACTGCTTTCTTTGCTTCTCCGGTTTGAGGCTTTGTCCAAACATTCAATGTCAAACAGTCCTCATCGAATCTTGATCGTGGCTGTGAGCTGGCTAGATATGCGACCCCAGCTGCGGTAACATTCGCTAAAGCTACATTGGGGACTGAAGTAGAGTTGGTAACTTGTATAGGACAGGAAAATCCCTAGCTCAGAATTAGCAATGAACTTGGTATTATGGGAGTGGTTTTTACAAAGCTGGTTCCATTGAGGGTTGCACTTCCCGTATATTTGACGGGAGCAGCAAATCTTAAGTTGCCAATTGGCGGTTGTGCAAAAGGAATGCCTAGGTATTCTGAGACTCCAGATTGATTTCTCGCGGCATGTCCAGCAACAGGACCACTACTGGTCTGAACGGTCTGACCTATTGTCCAATTGGAAGTTGCCTGTCTATCTGTAAGTGGTCCGGCGAGAGTGAGAGCAGCAACACATAATTGAAGAAACACTGGAGACTTCATTTTTCTCAAAAGGCGAAGAACAAGGAAACAATTTCTCCGGGTGATCTGTGAAGATAAAAGAAAACATGGCGGTTAGAAACAGAAGCGGCACAGATACTTTTCACTAGCAGTAAAGTGGCTTTATACATGGATGCTCGGACGAGACGGCAGAAGAGTGGCGTCCACTGGACGTTTTCCGCAGGTATTTCTCAAAGGGGTTTGTACGGAGGTAATTTGAGATGGAGAAATGCCCGTACACTCGTACACTCGTACACTCGTACTCCTCACACGAATGGATGTATGCAAAGCAGGGGACGAGGCCATCCATTTGTCATGACGATACGTGTGCAAATATCACCCTCGGCTGAGAGGGGTTCCACATCAAACACGTATCGCAGCCTCCACTCCACGATGATGGGAAACCTAATGCATGCAAGGGCGATTGACATGACGACAGCAATTCCGAGATCACGGAAAGAGGCGGTTCTGCGCCGAGGTTGGCATTGCGGTACTCGTACAGTAGCGTTCTTGGGCGGCTGCCGATAAGCGCGATGATGGCAAGGAGGGATGGTCACCCTGGTAAACTCACGTCACGATGCCCAGAGTGCCTTGGTGGAGAAAAGCAAGCACATTGACGAGGAGATACGAGCTTATCAACGCCATGAACTTGAGGGGAAAGATGGGGAAAGCTCGACTCCCCGATAATCCCGCGAGTTTGATACTCCAAAAACAAGAAGAGAGAACCTTCCATGCATGTTTCCAGAACTCCGGGGTTACATTCTGGCACCTGCAGCGAGCAATTGATGGGAAAAGCTGTTGCGTTTCTTCCAGCGCAAGCCTTCTTGAAGATATAATTACATTCCACAGAAGAATAGCTAGCAGATACACTGCACCGAAGAGGTTTAAAGCCTCGTTTATTACATGTTCAATGTCGCTCACTTATTATGGAGGTCTCAATGACTAGTGATAATCCTCTTTCGGCTAAGCAGAATCTTTTGCAGTACTGAGTAAAAGCAATGACACATTATCTCACCACAAAACAACTTACTTCAACTCCCCTAAGGAACTCACCAAATATCATTTTTGAAGACAAAAATGATCATGACAAAGGTATTTCTTCCCCAAAATTCCTAGTGCCGATGTACAAGTAGTCCTTCAAGGCCGAGATGATGGCTTTTCGAGATGTGCGTCTTTGTGATGAGCAAGCATCTTCAAGACCTCAAATCGCACTCTCGCTTAGCGTGACGGTACTGTAAACAAGACACTGTGATAACGTTAGCACGCAAGTCAAAGTTCAACGCCAGGCTCTTCAGGCTCATATTTTCTTCATTGGTTATTGAGTTTACTAGGTAACGTTTTGTTGTACCATAAATCAACCGACTGAACCGTTCTTCTTAACAAACAATCCACGTTATTTCATCCTCTCTCCACACTTATATATAAGTCTATGCCAATCCCTCCCTTTCAATCAAATCATACTTCCTAAAATCCCTCGACTTAATCTTCCTCTCAAACAGAATATCCAACTCCTCAAAAGTTCTACCCTTCGTCTCAGGAATCCTAAACCAACACCAAATCGCGCACACAAAACTAATTGCCCCAAACAGATACCCCGCTTTCCCACGCCAGTTCGCCTGATCGCTACCAAGCATATACGGCATGACAATCGTGAAGACGATGGAAGCGAATGCTTGAGCAGCTGTAGCGATGGCGATTGTTTTCCCACGAAGACGAGTTGCTGAGACTTCCGAGATGATCACGAAGCATATTGGCCCGACGGTGGTTTGGTATGTAAAGGTCCAGATGTCCATGAGTGAAGCTTGAGCCCATACTATGCCTGAGTGGCTACGGCCAAAGTCGAGGAAGGCAATTACGAAGAGGAATGTGGTCATGAATACCATTCCGGTGAGATAGATGGAGCGTCTTCCAATCTGGAATTGTTAGCTAAGCAGTCTCTTGGAAATAGCGCGGTACTCACATATGACATAAGTGGCCATGAGAGAATAGTTCCGACAAAACCAAGAGCAGTGTTCCCAACTCCCACTATACATTGTTAGCTATTGAACCCCTTGGTACTTCAAACTTGACAACTAACTATTAAAAGCGTCGGAGGAGTTGAGACCAGCCTGAATGAAGAAGAGATTGGCATATCCAATCATAGGATTTCCACTGATAACTTGAATTAAGTAAACCATGACCGAAATTTCAGTCCTTTTAAGATTAGCCCCCTTGAAGCAATCCATGTACGTGGTTGTAGCTTCGAGTTCTTGTTCCAAAAGGTCGGTTTGTTCAATCATCACGAGGACGGCATCAAGATCGGGCCGATGTTTCGAGGAGGAAAGCTTCATCAAGGAAGCTTTTGCTTCTTCTTTCCGGTTTTGTCTGACAAGCCAATAAGGACTTTCTGGGGCAAACGGTAGACCAGCGAGGAGGATAACGGGCCACACCCACTAGAAATAGGTGTCAGTATCCTGAATAATGCGTATAGATATTTCATCTGTTCGTGGTTAGATTTGAGTAGTACCTGTAACAAAAATGGAATTTCTGTAGAGCTGTCAGCTATGCACTTCCTTATAAAAAGCCATTTCAAATACCAGTGGAGATCTACTTACTATAAGCCCAGACATCAGTTCTATTAGCCATCCCAGCAGCGACTCCCTGAGCAATAAATTGACCAATAACAAAGGCCAAGTTTGTAGAGGCAGTGAGAACACCACGAAGAGCAAGAGGGCAGACTTCTGAAGCATAAACAGGGCCAATAACCACGTAGAAACCATACGCAAGTCCACCCAAGATTTCCCCGGCGCAGAGCATTCCAAGAGATGTTGAAAAGAATTGCACGAAGACGAAGACAATAGACCAGCAACAGCAGACTGCTAGTGTCCATCTTCTTCCCCATTTTTCCAATGGCCAACCTGCTGCAAGCGCACCGACGATCTGACCGATTGGATTGCCCATTCCCAGAGCTGCGAGAAGTATTAGTATATCCAACATTTAGCTTTTTGGCCCAACATTCAAGCCGGCTATAAGCAAAAACAGCCATTCGGAGTCTGAAAGGTTCTCAAAAATCAATAGACAAATCGCAGAAAAGACTCTCACCAGTTTGCCACGGAGCAGTAATAATATATTCCCCCTCAAACAAACTCCCATAATGAGTCTGAAACGAAGGCAGTGCATAAAAAGAAGTGACAATCTGCGCATCAAACCCAGCCATAATAACTGCAATACAGAAGAACAGAGCCCAAAAGACAGCCATGGGATATTGCCTCACAGCATCCCAGAATTTCAACTCATGCTCGGCATTGGTGATATCGCGCGTCGCATCAATTTCGAGGAATGTTCCTTTCTTGATATCTGCCGGGCCATCATGCGAGATATCCTTCGCCATATCGGCTCTGATTTCAATGTTTTGTTTGTTGCCAGCTATAGAATCCATCGTTGTAGCTGGTTGAGCGTCCATCTTGGGTTCAAGTCGTCGACGTCACAAAATGTCCGTAGGCTGAAATGGAGCACGTCCAACCTTACTTACGGGGAAAATCCAGAGAAAATCTTATCTCAATATCAACATCGAGCCGTGTCGGTTAGGACAAGGAATTGTGAGGGTCTTATCTACGGATGCACTCCAGTGGATTCATGAGCAACCCGAAAGCAACATCCTGGAGCTTGAAGCGGAGGAAGATCCACAAACGGTCGTACAGTGGACGGGCGAATGCGATATCAGATTATCTCGACCAATCATCAAGATAACGACGTTACATTGACAGGTTTGTAGTGTGACTCTGTATCGAAGTTGGTCTTTGGAATAATACGAGCAGACTTATGAGGGTGTCGGTGAAGCTCGGAATGGGATATGTGTGGAGTATCAACACCAGCCTCATCTTGCACTGATATAAATCCCACCTTTGCCCATAATTAATTGGAGCCATTCAAAGATATCCAGCTCAAACCCCCAAGTTAAGTTTCCTCCACGTGGAAGGTACAAGACCTCCTGCACCTGCAAGAACACATCCAGCAGAATCACGAGACTCCCCCACTTTCACCAGATGCCGTCGGGAGCTAGACCCAAGCTCCATATAGTGATATTGAGAATAAGAGTATTCAGCAATAAACCCTCTCAAAAGCTTCAATCTCAAACTCATCTCCACTCAATACCATTTCCCCCCATTTCATATCCAAGCCTCCCCATCTCCAAAAACCCCACAATCATCACAATGACGATTCCCCAACCGCTCTTCCAACCCACCCTCATCTCCAAAGAAGTAACCTCCTCCCTGCCCGCCGATTTCACAATCCGGCCCTTAGAACGAAATGACTACGCAAAAGGCTTCCTCGAGTGTCTAAAAGTATTAACGCACATCGGAAACGTGACCGAGGAGAAGTTCCACGAACGATACGATTGGATGGATACGCAAGCCAAGGGAGGATATTACGTTCTTGTCATTGAGAATGAGGAGGAGAGAATTGTGGGAACGGGTGTTTTGCTTGTGGAGAGGAAATTGTGAGTGTGGATTTGCTTTCCTTTAGTTCTTTTATATTGGAGGAATTGTGAGTAGTTGCTTTGAGTTGACGGATAAGTGTGAGTGACTTTAATGAAGTGCCTGATGATTTGATTTACAACCCGTTAATGGGTGATGCGACCTCTTTGTCGTTCTGGACTACTGGTTCGTGGGAGATGTGATTCTTGCTCGAGACGGTGAGAACTCATTGTATCAAAAGCCTTGAGACGATCTTCTCAATTGCCCTAAAGCACTTGAGTAGATAGAGACACATCAAAGTCAATTATCCCAAAATGCTCGCATATTTGCTTCAATTATGCGAGCCCTTCAAGCACCACCTTATATTCAAGAAATATAAGAGGGGCAATGAGGGAGGCTTCATCTTTTAGCAATGTTCCCAATCCCTAAAGCCATTCATCAACACGCAACACTATTTCTCTACGACTGTACCATCACACCTTCTCGATCCCAGCTAACAACCCACCAAGTATCCACGACCTCGGAACAATCGGCCACATAGAAGAAATCTCCATCACGAAAGAGCACCAAGGAAAAGGGCTGGGTCAGAAGATGATCAACGGTCTCGACTCCGTTGCCCAAGCCATCGGCTGTTACAAGACGATCCTGAACTGCAGCGTAAAGAACGAGGGATTCTACGTCAAATGTGGGTTCAAAAATGGAGGGGGACTAGAAATGTCACATTACTTTGAGGAACCGAAGTCGGCTTATGAAAGTGGTTGATCTACAGTAGTAACCTTGCTGTTCTGAAGTCAAAACAGACAGAAGGTGGAGTTAGGGGGGGGGTTACTCTTTTTTTGACTATTCAGTAGTGGACAAGAAGAGCCCAAGTGGCCAGGAAAGGCTACTACACCAAATAAATCCCAATAAAGTCTGAGATCAAAGACGCCTTCAATATTGTCCCAGTATTCTCCATCTTCTGTATTATCCATGATCTTCTTACTCGTAGTAAGCAACAACGCTTCCCATCTCAACACCACCCACCTCCAAGGAAAACTTCATCGCTGCCGACATGGTTGTGACAACTATAGAAAAGTAAACATCATAGTACTATCTGAGCTCGCTAGAGTTCGCTTGAGGTTCTTTCTTCACATTGAAATTACACAGAAACACTTTTGGTGCGCAAAGAAGTTGAACGTTGAGAGAATGACCAAGATATAGATTCTGGAGTATAGAAAGTCTTGATCTCAATTTGGAATGGTACTATATGCATCAGCAAACTGCGGGGAACAAAAAAAGGGTAGTGAATATTATTCTTTGACAAAATGAGATAGTCTTGGTCAATGAACTAAACAGAGCATACTCCCCACGTGTAGTAATAGCATAATACCACGTGGAAAGAACACACTTCCACGTGGAGGTTTGTCAAACTTCACTTCCTGCGTGCAGGAAATGCACCAACAGCCATGAAAAGACAAGTCCTAACTTGCTTTCACCTGTCTTTGATAGATCGTATACATGTCGTCGACAAAGTAAGATCTCTTTGGCCAGTAATCATCGTGTCTGTCATACTACCCTCACAGGAAACAAAATCTTCAGCTATGAAAAGATATACCAGTACTTACACTTCTTGTTAGCGGAGTAAATACAAACACCCCCTAAAAAGATCAAAAAAAAAGATCAAAAAAAAAGATCAAAAAAATCCTCACTCTCAAAGAGGGTGTGGCCTCAGACAATAAATAAACCAGAGGAACTGAGTTTTCTGCGATTTGACTCACCCCAGTAAAGCTCTCACTCAATCACCATTGAGCTACGCAGGCATGTACCAGATGACTTGGTGTAAGGTGTGTTACTTAAGGATATGACTGCGAAGGGGTGAAGGTAGTGAATGGTTATGTAGGGAATGGAAGGAATCAAAGGATATAGAATGTGTTAGTAGAGCAACTCGTCAGCAAAAAAGTGGAGACCTCCTTTGATCATTACTGTGATTGTGAGAACCCCAAGACGTGGGTTCAAGTCTCCTTTGTTCCAATTTCCTTTGCACACACCAGCAACTAAAAGCCACGCTCATCCTTGCGACAAAGGTAAATCTTCGTACAACGGTCACAGCAGTAGAAGTGTTAAAGATACCATCATGGCAGGACGTCACTCCGCTTCACCAAATGAGGAAGATGAAATGCGGATATCTGATGAACCTCAAGCTCTACGTGTGGAATTAGAATTGGCCGAAGAATTCCGATCCATAAACAAAAGACTCGATGAGCGATTCCGTCAACTTGAGGAAAAGGTTTTCCTGCACAAGAAACAGACGAGCGCTACTGCGAGCCAAGATGTAACATTAAGTGACGTAAGTACTTCAATTTCTGCATATTAATTGAGCTGTTAATCCGAAGTTTTACAGCTCGAAAGATACTTCCGGGATGACAAGAAAGAAGTTCTTAAGCACGAGAACGAAGAACTGAGGGACGAAATTGACCGTTTGGTAGCCGATGGAAAGAAACACCATGATACGTTCCACGAACTGGAGGTCGAGTATAAACATTCTCAACACCTCCTCGCGATGTCAGCTGAAAAACACAATAATCTTCTTCATAGAGCTAAGACTCGTGAAAGGGAGTTTGGGAAAGAAGCCGAATCTGTAGCGAGGGAGATGGATGACTTGAAAAACAGGAATCAGTCGTTGGTGTCTCAAAATAAAGCACTTCAAGAGAATGTCAGGAAGCTCCGGGATGTCATCTCCAGCAGATCAAAGGAGAAGGAATTTATGGAAAAATCCAAATCTTTAGCGATGGAGATGGATGACTTGAGAAAGAGTAATCAGTTGTTGGAGTCTCAAATTGAAGCCCTTCAAGAGAATTGCAAGAAGCTCAAGGGCATCATCGTGAGCGGATCAACGGAAAAGGAATCTGGGACAAAATCCGAATATACAGCAAAGGAGATAGATGACCTAAAAAGCAGTAACCAGTCGTTGGAATCTCAAATCAAAGTCCTTCAAGAGAACTCCAAGAACCTCCGGCGTATGATCCTCAGCAAATCAAGAGAAAGGGGCGAAGAGATTGACGACGGCACTGTCACTGCGGCATTTTTTTCGTTTGCGAGATCTCATCCAACGAGTCATTCAGAGGTATTATTTCTTCGATCCCACGGTCCAAACTCCTAGATCTACGAGCAAAACACCCCGGTTCTTCAGAGATATATTTGACTACTGGGCTGATAGTCCAACTTTGGAACAACTTGGAATGAGAGTGCGGGCAATGATATTCCAGATCATCAACGGCGAAATTTTGAATAAGCCCCACTTTGGCCTGGAGTCTGAAAGCTTTTCGGAAATGGAAGTCCAGCTGGCGAAATTTGAGATGGTAATTTTGGAGTATGCCCCTAGTAAGTACGGAGGTTATAAATTGGAGAGTTGTTCCCACTGACACCGCATAGAGAGTGAAAAAGAAATCGTTGAATGGAGAGTCCACACGGTAAAATGTGCATCCCTTCTCAAGAGTGACCAGCCCCAATCCTTGAAAGTTGCAGCAGCGATATGGGATCACATGGATCCATTCATGCGTCGAGAGTACACCGACAAGAATGGCTATGGAAGTCAGCAGCACACCAATCCGTGGGAAGAAGTATGCGACGCAGCTGCGAAATCTGCTTTGCTTGTACGAAAGAGCAAGGATGGCTACAAATGCGAGACGCCGAGACCTGGAACAGAATTCTCAGAGGCGGAAATGTCTATTCAATACATGGAGAAGGGAGAATTTGAAAGCGCAGAAGATAGTGCCGTGGTCTTATTTGCAATCTCTGGGGCGCTGGTCAAATACCCGGAGTACAGTGCCAGTGAGCGATTGGTTCTTGACAAGGCATACGTTGTCGCTCGCCAACGATCGTCACTTGTATGAAGTTAGGAATTGTATAATGGCAGTAGGTATTCATTCCACTCGGACTTCTTATTGGATAGAAAGAGTAGGAAGGGAGTTGAGTAATAAAAGTAGCAAGGTACCGGAAGAATTTGCCAAAGTCTGTACTAATAATGATCTACTTCTGTCCATCGCATCATTGAATCACCTTGGCCACTGGCCTACTCTTGAACCATTGAATTGACATGGTCTACACTCATTTCCCCTCCTCTACTTCTCCAACATTCTCCCCTTCTACAACACGCTCCCCATCTATAACACGCTCCCCTTCTACAACACTCTCCCCAGCTACAACACTCTCCCCTTTTACAGCACTCTCCCCATCTACAACACTCTCCCCCTCTCCAACACTCTCTCCCTCTTCCTTACTGTCCACCTCCTTCTCCTTACCCACCCCCTTCTCCCCCTTCTCCCCCTTCTCCAACCTCCCCTGCACAAAAAGAGTAACCTGCCCCCCAACACTCCCCTCCATCTCCTTATGCTCCCTCCACCCCCCCTCCCCAAAAACCTCTCTAATCCTCCTCACCAACCCCTCCATAACCCCCATCGAAATAGGCGGCTTCCCCTTCGCCTTCTTCTTTACCAGCACCATCTCAACCTTGAACCCCTTCCTCAAAAACTCCCTCATCTTCTCCAGTCGATGCGCCAAATCATTCCGTCCAATCGCCCAATTCAACTCCAGCGTCTTGGTCGTCTTTCCGGGGTCCCTGGCCCGCTCCTTCTTCGCCGCCTTGAGGCGCTTGTACTCGGCTTCTTTGTTGATGATCTTGCAGATGGGGTACGGTTCCTCGTCCGTCGGCTCGACGACCATGACGAGGGATTCGGTTTTGGGCTCGAGTTGTGAGAGGACGAAGGTTAGACGGCGGGATCCCTCGAGCAGGATGCCGTCTTCCACGAGACGGATGTAAGGGTACGGGATCTCCTGGTCGCGCGGGAGACGCGATTTAGTGGGTGCGTCTTTGGGCGTTACCATGTAGGCATAGGCTCGTTGGTGGTGCGATGGGAGAGGGGTGAAAGCTTGCCATTTTTGGGTGAGGAGGAGAGGTGTGGGTTTTGTGACTTCAATTGGGGCGATGAAGACGGATCGGAGGGCCGATGCGGTGCTGAAGATACACCTCGAGCTCCTCATGTTCTCGGCTTGACGTTTACTCACGCTGTTGTGTGGAAAACAACTTCGTATAAAAATCTGCCGTTTTGCTTGGACGTCGTCGAAGAAGCTATCCCCAACCCCTGCACCCCCACCACCTCATCCACGCTGCTCCATCCCATCCCGTGACCAACCCCAATATCAAACTGGAAACCCATCACTCTCCTCCACCACACTCCCAATGCCCGCTCCCCACACCCCCCTCCAATACCTCATAAACACCTACTCAGGCCACCCCCTCCGACTCTTCACCGTCACCCTCCGCACAGTCCTCAGCCTCCACCTCTTCGTCACCCATGGCTACGGATACAGCACAACCTGGGGCGCCTCCATGCTTCCCACCTTCGAAATCCTCTTAGACGGCCTGCTCGTCTCAAAGTACTACCGTCGCGGGCGCGGGATTCAAGTCGGGGACGTCATCACCTTCGACAGCGTCGTAGAACCCGGTCAGAAAGTCATCAAGCGAGTTCTGGGACTGGAGGGCGATTATGTGATGAGGGATACTCCGGGAAGTGGGAGTCTGGAAATGTTACAGGTGGGTTGTTTTTAAACTCATGGTTGAAGAAAAGAAGCTGAGTGACCCAGGTTCCGAAAGGTCATTGTTGGGTGATTGGAGATAATTTACCCCATTCAAGAGACTCGAGACATTTCGGACCCATGCCAATGGCGTTAATCAGAGGAAAAGTTATTGCCAAAATTCAACCATTCAGTGAAAGAAAATGGGTCACGAATGGATTGACCCCCGTCGATGAAGGGTAGATGTATTCTATTAAAAGCCCGAAGAAATATTAAGACCAAGCTTCAACAAAGTCCCAAGTTTTGGTTTTTAGTGTTGGATATCATAAGCTCCTATCTAATTACATGGAAGAATACCTAAAGAAACCTGGTATGAATTGTAACAAGTCCAAGGAGAACGTTAGAAGGAAATCATCGCAGTCTGATAACACAGCTTTGAGTCTTCCTGCATTGCCACGACTGCCAAAAAAGGGGCAGTCCTGTACCTTCTCCACTCCTTCAATGCTCGCTACTAAAATACGACTTCCTGGCTGATACTCCGTAACACCTTGCCTTCCCACGCCCAGATGCAAAACCAGATTAAAGATCTATTCGAAAACACGGCTTTTCTCTCAGCCCTCAATATGCGATTGCTTGTTGCCCTGGCCTAAAAGTTGAAGGGATCTTTGGGCGAGTTGAACAACCTCTCCTTCTCCGTCCTCTTCCTCCTCATCATCCGACTCGATTTGGGTATCTGCAATTTTCTTGATCATCTGTACAATCTCTTCGGAATTCCCAATGAGACTGATCAATTTCTTATCTTCCGATTCCAATAATTGAAGCAAGGTCCAAATGGCGATATGCTGGAAAGTGGCGTCACCGCTAGCAAGGAAGCGCTTAAGGTAACCGTGAATACCTCCATTTGGTTCTGTCCAATCTTGAATGAATATAGAATAATCGCCAACTATTCATTTGTTAGTATCGGAAATGTATAGGTGTTTGAGAAATATACCTTTCGAGGAGAGATTTCCAAGAGCTGCAGCGCTATTGCCCTGCACTTCAATACTTTGCGAATCGGTCAAAGGAATAAGTACGTCAAAGACTCCCAAATTCAATAAATGTGTTTTGAGTTCATCACTTAGAGCCAATACTGCAATGGCTGCCGTCATCTCCGATTGGACGCTCAATGGTACATCGAGTACAAGCTGTTTACACTTCTGAACTGCACCAGCTTCAAGAACGAGAGCCTTGTTTCTATCAGAGCTTGCCGCCAAATTTCGAAGGGTCGAAATCGCATGGCACTGTATTTCCTCGTTGTCCGTAGACCCTAACAAATCGACCAATGGTTTCAAGAATCCTGCATCTATAATTGGGGATTCGTTCAAAGGATGAATGGAGATGTTTCTTATACACGCAACAGCTGAAAGAATTAAAGGTAGGTATGAGGATTGTAAGAGTCGTAGTAAAGGTGCCAACCCTCTGGCGCGAACAATTTCGAGTTGATATTTTTCGTCCGAGGCAAGATTTCGAAGAGCTAGTGCTGCTTGACATTGTACTTTCGGTGATGAAGAATCCATGAGGTTCACTAAAGATTGAATAAGTCTGTTCTCACTCTGAGCAAGCTTCTTCCGGTTATTGGAGTCAACTGCAATGTTACTCAATGCAGTGGTGCAGTAATATTGTACATCGACGTCGGAGGAGGAGAGGAGTTGAACGAGAACTGGAATAGCTCCTGCGTTCACGAGTTGCTGTCGGTTTTCATCTGTATATATTATAAGCTTGGGGTAACAGTGATCCTCCCGAGCCAGAAACTTACCAGAATGGGTCATGTTCAAAAGTGCTCCAGTAGCATTTCTCTGCACTCGCATATCTTTTGACTTTGCCAGACGAGTAAGTGGTCCCAATGCTCCCGATCTCGCTATCTTTGCTTTGTTATCCTCGTGCGTTGCAAGGTTCGTAATGCAGCCGACCGCATTGCATTGTACCTCGACATTTGGCGACATCATCTGGCGGATAAGCGGAGTGAGTCCTCCCAAGAGGACAATGGCGACTTTGTTTTCGGCTACAATAAGTTAGAATTGCATACGCAGATATGCATGGGACAAGTGCTCACTATTTACTGCAAGATTCCCAAGTGCGGCACTAGCTGCCCGCTGCACTTCAATATCAGGACTTTGCAACAAGAATAAGATGGGTTCGAGTGTGTCCCTATCGACTTCGCGTACATCTGGTGATAGTCAGCATTCATATGATGGAAGCTATGATAACCAAGCCCTTGTGCAACCATTCGGCCAAGAACATTCATGAGCTTCAAATGTATGATAGATTACATCCATCTTTGAACTATCCACTCGTGATAACGGGATGATGATGAAAAGAACTCGGAGACATACCTCGCTCAGTTATTTCAGCAAAAGTCAAGCTTGCGCTTCGTTGTAGATCGACATTATCGGAAAAGACGAGGGTGCTTAGAGCTCGCAGAGGTTCGCCGGAGAAGAAATCGGTCTCACCCCTCTATACTTGTTATTAGCAATTGCCAAACATTCGCAGAGGTATCCATACATTCTCCAAGTACTGTAGCAGATCTGCCACCGCTTCTCGCTCGCTTTCGGCCAATACTGGTTCGTATAATCCATCCCGAGATTTGCCTGGAAGGCATGCATTAGCACATGAAGGTCTCCATCGCAGAGGGAAGAGTTATCACATACCACCGCAGCATGAGGAATGACAAGCACCCATCTCCAGAGGTCAGTCCCGCAGGACGATGAGTCTTCAGCTTATCGACGACAATAATGGTGATGGTGTTGTGGTGTGGAAGGTTTAACAAAGCAAAACAGGGTCGCGGTGCGCAGGTGGGTGCAGGTGCTTGGGTGCAAGCAAGTACTGCTATCGTATCTTGAGTTCTCGGTGAGTCGGGAGATGGAGGTGGTACAGAAGGAAACCTTGGAAAAGACGGCTGCGGCACGCCGGCCGGTGTAGTGAAGGGAACTGTCAAAGTCGGACTCTTGCGCACAAGGTGAAGAAGTCGTTGAAGGGAGAAGAGAAGTCCAGCGTGGACAATCTGCCTACGGAGAGAGTGGATGGGGAGAGACAGACACACCGATTAGAAAGAGCAGAGAGAGCCCGAGTGCAGGTCGAGCAGGTGAGAGGTGCAGAGTTCTTGCCTCACGCTGGGCGCTTGCGTTGCCCGTCCAGCAGCCCTGGAGCCCTGGAGCCCCAGCAGTGAAGCATCAGCTCAGTGCAGTGCCAAGACTCGCACTCCATCGCAACCTTGTCTGCGAGTCGGAGCCGAGTCCAACTCCGATGTGTGCCGAGGGCGCATGAACTTTCAATATCAGATCACCTGCCTGAGCCTGTCTTGCGCCTCCAGGCTCAGTGCCAGTCAGACGACTTGAGAGACCGAATATTCCAAAACACAGCTGCCGGTTATCAACAATAGTCAACGGGAAACGTGACTCATTGTAGCATCCTTGAGGCTCATTGAGACATTGAATTCAGCCGTTCGTGAATCACTGAGACATTGCCAATGTTGGATTTTCCGGGGTATGGTCCTTGCAGCTGGTGGATGTACAAGTACAGAATACGGAGAGTCGCGCACTGGTAAATTAACGGGTTTGAGCATCTCAAGTTGCACCGCAAATTAATTGAGAGGCTCTTTAATTGTCTATCAGATAAAGCTTGGAGAAACAGTGGTCATCTATCCATTTTTGATTAGCTAGATTACTGGCTCAACCACCGTTTGATATCAAATAAGAAGTTCGGTTTTCAGCAGTCCAAAGCTTGGGAGACTATTTGCCACTCCTTAGGTGGGTAGGCACCTAGTTGACCAAAATGATATCAAATCCTCTGAGGGAGAACTTGCACCTTTGTAATAAATTAAACTCCTCTTCCAAACTATATATATAGACTTATCACATCCTCCGAGATCCTGAGGAAGCAACTTGCACCTTGGTAATAAATTAAACTCCTCTTCAAGACTATATAGGCTTATCCTGCTTTCCGGAATCGGACAATCTTGCTACTGGACCCATAATGGTGCCAAGCCTTGAAAGAATTGTCGCTCTCGAAAAGAACAATAGCCCATTGCCATTGAATCAAACGCAGAAGAGGCAAGAACGATCTTAGAAGTGGTCCATTTTGACTGGTCCAAATTCGTTAATTGCCTAAAGTAGAATAGCCCCATTCCGTTGGCGGGGCACAAAATACCTGGTACCCCATACTTACTCTTTTCTTGTTGCCTGAATATTCACCCCTCCTCGATCTTGGGACTTCGGAAAGACGTATGCACGATGCCATGAATAGAGTGATTGAAAACCTCGACACTTTCTCTATACCTTTCCATCTTCTCTACCATCTCTCCCTCCTCTCCCATCTCTCCCACCGCGCAAACCAATCTGAAGCGCCCCTCCCGGACTGGCAAGCACAAACAGTCAGCCTCAGCCTCAGCCTCGAAACATACGGCAACGCCTCCGGTCCCCCCCAAAACGCCTTTTCACCATGGCGACACAAACGGATTTTGCCCGCCCCTCGACCTTTCTCTCACCAGCTCAGACCCACGCCATGCAAGACCGTCCCTTGAGCGCCGTCGATAGGGAGGAACAGAGTGGGTTGGTGAGTAGTCCCTTATCTGTCATGACTTGACAGCCAGTCCGGCTACCAGTGTGGCGGCACCTTTATGGGTAGAGACGACTAACTAACGTTTGAGCGTGGCAGAGAGCGATCCGAGACTTCTTGAAAATCCGAACCAGCTACGATGTGCTTCCACTCTCCTTCAGACTCATCATCCTTAGCACCGATCTACACGTCAAGAGCAGCTTGGTAATCCTTCTGCAAAATGGTAGATACCTTCCCCTCCATCCACTCGGCCATGCAGTGCTTACTGAGTATCACAGGAATCGTTTCGGCCCCTCTTTGGGACTCGCATACCTCCACCTTCGCCGGTCTCCTCACAACTTCCGATTATATAAATGTGGTACAATACTACTGGCAAAATCCCGACGCTCTCAACCAGATCGACCAGTTTCGCTTGAGCGCTTTGAGAGGTAGGGCATGATGACAAGACATGATTGGAATTAGGCTAAATCTCCTAGAAATTGAGAAAGCGATTGGTGTACTCCCATTGGAAACATTATCCGTTCATCCCGATCGACCACTTTACGAAGCATGTACGCAAATGCTAAAGACACGCGCCCGAAGGATCCCTTTGGTTAATATCGACGATGAAACCGGTCGGGAGATGGTGGTCAGTGTCATCACGCAATACCGAATCTTGAAGTTCATAGCTGTCAATGTCCCAGAAACTGATAAATTGAAGAAAACTGTTTCGGAAATAGGTCTTGGCAGCTATCGTGATTTGCAAACGGCAAACATAGACACCAGGGTGATTGACGTTATTCATATGATGGTCAAATACTCCATCTCGAGTGTGCCTATCGTTGATAAAGAAAACCATGTTTTGAATGTCTTTGAGGCTGTCGATGTGATTGCCATCATCAAGGGTGGAGCCTACGACGAACTCACCACAAGTGTTGGAGATGCGTTATCAAAACGAGCCGAGGACTTTGCAGGAATCTATACCTGCAGTGAGGAGGACCGCCTGGATTCAATATTCGATACCATACGAAAGTCTAGGGTACATCGATTGGTCGTTATCGATGAAGAAAATTGTTTGAAAGGAATCATCTCTCTTTCGGATATTTTGAAATATGTTCTTTTGCACGGAGCCGATGATGAGTAGTGGGATCTGCTTTGGATTTTTATGGAACCAAGGTTTACGAATTAGGGAGGTTAAGGCGTTGCATAGCGAAAAGGGCGAATATAGGCGTACACGTTAGGGTTTGGGACCACTTGCGAATTTGCGCATACATGACGCAAATACTCATAGATTGTTTTTTGTCTTCCATCATTCTCCCTCAATACCATTTTGTTTTTTCTTGTTTCCCTTCTCTTCTCTTTATTTTGTGGTCGGTTCGCCTGGGGTGTTTTTTGGGGGGGTAGTGGATCTTGATGTGTACTTCACGGCTAGGATGGGATGTGGCAGTTGTGCAAGTAGATATTAATGAGATTTTACCTACCTATCATGCTCCCGATTTGGAAGTTTTCATTACTATTGTTTTGCTGGACTGAGGATTGTGATGATGGTCTTGTAGTATTGAACGAGTGAAAAATGGATTTCTATTCTTGCTAATCTACATGATCACCCTGGTCTAATATGCGTATTCCTCGTCTACGCTGGCACATTGTATCAGCCCTAGGAGGGGAAAAAAACACGGGAAATCGTGGATAGGGGTCGTTTTTGAATACACAGCTGGGGGCTCACTTTTCAATTGAGATTAAGAACTCACTCCTTAGTCCCTACCGAGGTATTATGAAATACTTATGGTTTAATTTACTTATAGTGAAGAGAGGGACGGAGTTTCTATCTTTATATCTATCTACATAGAAATGAAATTTTTATTTACAAGGTAGGAGTAGGAGTAAAAGACTTCTTACGCGACCGACTCTAGGAAATCAGATTTCTCGCTTAGGTAGGTACTTGAGTTATTTTTATTTACTTTATAAGTGGATACTTTTGGGATATTTAGGTAGTTAGTAAATGAGATTTAGGAATTTAGAAATTGTTGAATGATAGAGGATAGGAAGGATTTTATAATACGAGGACTCGAGGATTTACTATCTAGTTTATTATTAGTACTAGTCCTTTTCGAGACGCTTTTATATAGATAGATAGCTCTTATATTATAGCCCTACTTACGTCTTAGCTAGGTAGCTTCTCTCCTTATTACACTTATTGATTCGGTGTTATATTCTTGTCTTATAATAACTAGTAAGGTAATTGTCGGTATATAATTCTGTGTGAATAGCACCTTGTAGGAGAGCCTGGTGGATCTATATGCTTTAGGTCATGTAAGTGGCTTGCCACTCATATACTTAAGCTTGTAGGGTATCACCTCTCTTTACCTTTACTCTTCATACACGAATGAATACAAAGAGAGATTATGTTTGTGTATCACCCTTTACGACAACCAGGTCGTACCAACAGTAATTAAGAAATAAAAGTTTATATTATAACTAGAATAAATGTAAAAGTCTAATATAAATAAGCTTCTTAGAAGGAAAGGTTTATTTAAGCTAAAGTAAATAACGTGGTTTATCAGCGAGTCGATCATATCACCGAGTCGATCACTTTTCCTTGGCACTACCTCCTCAAACTTCAACACACGTTTTCTTCAACTATTTACCATGGAAATTCAAACTCAAGAAGCGCGAATTACTCTAGCTATCGAGGCTATTCGGTCGTCCAAAAAACTAAGCAAACGCTCTGCGGCAAAGATCTACAATGTACCATATACGACTCTTTCCGACAGAATGGCTGGCCGAACCTACCGCCCAGATTCTCAAGCCAATTGTCATAAGTTGACTGAGTTAGAAGAGGAAGTGATTATTCGGTATATACTGGATATGGATTCCAGAGGATTTGCGCCCCGGCTCGCTGGTGTAGAAGATATGGCTAATTTTATCCTTGAATCGCGGGGGGGAAGACGCGTCGGCAAGCTCTGGGCCCATCGATTCGTACAACGACAACCAGACCTTAAGACGCGTTTTAATCGCGTTTACGACTTCCAGAGGGCCTTATGCGAAGATCCTGACGTGCTAGGCGCATGGTTCCGGCTAGTAGAGAATATGAGGGCGAAATATGGGGTTACAGACTCCGACTTCTACAACTTCGACGAGACAGGCTTTATGATGGGTGTTATTTGTCCTAGAATGGTTGTTACTCGTGCAGACCGACGTGGTAGAGGCAAGGCAGTTCAGCCAGGCAATCGGGAATGGGCTACAGCAATTGCCTGTATTAATGGGGAGGGCTGGAGTATTCCTCCATTCTTGGTAGTTCAGGGCAAGAACCATCTCTCCAACTGGTATACCGACGGCGGCCTCCCACCTAACTGGGTTATTAAACCGACAAGCAATGGTTGGACAAATAATGAAACAGGCCTGGAATGGTTAAAGCACTTTGATAAACACACTACAGCTCGTGCAAAGGGTCTGTATCGAATACTAGTTTTGGATGGGCACGAGAGTCATGAATCGGCTGAGTTCCAAGACTACTGTACGAAACACAACATTATTACTCTTGGACTACCTCCTCATTCATCCCATCTAACCCAGCCACTTGATGTTGGGTGCTATAGTGTGTTAAAACGAGCGTATGGTCGGCAGATTGAGACGTTTATCAAGGCCCATATCAACCATATTACAAAGGTTGAGTTCTTTCTAGCCTTTACAGCAGCATACAAGGAAACAATGACAGTCCTAAACTGTCAGTCTGGATTCCGCGGAGCTGGCCTAGTACCATTTAACCCGCAAGCAGTGCTTTCAAAGCTTGACGTAAGGTTACGGACTCCAACTCCCCCTCGGACGTGTAGTGCCAACTCCCTCCCCTGGGTGTCCCAGACCCCTTCCAACCCAACTGAAGCCCTTTCACAATCAACTCTTGTACGAAATCGTATAGCCTGTCATCAAGGAAGCTCGCCAACTCCACTTTTTCAAACAGTTGCTGCGTTAGCAAAGGGTACAGAGCGAATGGCACATGAGATGACCCTTTTGTCTGCTGAGGTCCGTACCCTTCGCGCTGCAAATGAAGCCCTAAGTAAACGCCGTAGGGCTAAAAAGACTCGTGTCCGCCAAGGAGGGGCACTTATAGTAGAGGATGTACAGGATATGTTAGCTCAGGAGGATGTAGATGAGCAAGTACGACGCGACATGCGTGAGGCGGGGGTTGGTTATAAGGAGGGGCAACCTTCTAGGCGGCGCTGTAGAACTTGTGGAAAAGCTGGTCATAACGCGCGAACTTGTCAAGAAGTTATAGATATATCTAGTTCGTCAGATATAGAGAGCGATAATTAATTTAATATATTGTGGTTGATTTATTTAGGTGTAAAGTTCTGTGCCAAAGAAAAGTGATCGACTCGGTGATATGATCGACTCGCTGATAAACCACGTTAGATGTTTTAGTAGTCTTAACTATCTTGTTTATTTATTATCTTCTAGTAAGGAATTATATTAGAGATTAATTAAGTGGTATTATTATTACTTATATTTATCTAAACACTTTAAATAGGAATAGATTATAAAAAAAGAAAAAGTATCTAATCCTTTATTATTTTTTTCCTACATTATTTTCGTATTCTAAAGATATAAGAAAAAAGTTTAACTATATAGTAATTAAATTACTATTATAAAATTAGTAAGTTGATATATTTATATTCCATTTTCTTATCTTAAAAGAATCAGGTAAAGAGTTAAACTTTATAACTATTAGAGTATTTTTTAGATAATTAGTATTTTAATAAATAGTAATTTTAATTTATTACTAAAATAGTATTAGAAAACAAAGTATAGTAAGAGAGTAATAGATATAATTATCTATAACTTAAGTGAAGCGAGATATTATTGAAATTCCTAATTAGGAAATTAAGAAGAAGTGTGCTGAAATTCTAGGCTGGCCCCTAAGCGAGCGACGTTCTTTTATAACTAGGTAACCAACAAGAACGTCCTTCCCTGTCGGCCAGACCAGCCTCCTGCTTTTGCAGGAAGGTGGTCAAAGGTAAGTTAGTAGTCGGCTTAATACTTTCCTCCTTGTCGTCGGTCGTAGCTTCCATCAAGAAATAACCACCACTGCCACCACCTCCACTCACAATGGAGCGAAAGCTCCTTCCTTTCAAGCTCACCCCCTTCTCAGTCGTTTTCTACGCAAAGTTCATCGCGTCAGTGTTAAATCGCAACTTCAACACAACTCTGCTAAACGACCCAAACCCCTCCAAAGCTCTTATGTCTTCCGATGATTTTATCATCGCAAGATATCTACTAGATGAGTCCAGAGCTGCAGGACATCAGATCCCATCCTCTGAAGTTCAAAATCACCATCTCATCTGTGACCGGAGCTACCAGATTGATGCTTACAATCAATGCGCGCAATCCTTTGGCATCAAAGTGATCATCATCGATGATTTCAAAGACCTTGTAAGCGATACCTCCATCCTTACGATAGCTTCCCGCTAGCTCACATCTCAGGCTTGGGAAATCATCTCTGGTCAATCAGAAAGCTGGATCGGCAGAACCCTTCGAAGAACCTCTTCCATAATCAGCGTTCAGGATCGCAAGACAAAACATAGAACGAAACGCGTTTCCAGTAGCAACAATCTCCTTAAAAAGGATGCGATTGATGAAAAGGGTCGCAAGACCAAACATACATTGAAACGGGCTTTCAGCAGCAGCAACCTCCTCTACAGAAACGATGCGATTGTTGGGAAGGACCTCAAAGAACTTGGACGACTTTGTGGAGAATGTAAATTGAAAATTGATTGTGTCCCTGAAGAACTTTATCTGCCGACACACATAGCAGCTACTGCTGAGAATCTGCTCACCTATGGTCTCGGAACTGAAGGGATCTTTCAAGACTCTGGAAAACAAACCATTGTACAGTCCATATACGACCACTACGCAATCACCAACGAAGATGAGGACACCATTACAGGTACTGTTCGGCAACGAATGCTACCAGACAGATTTCGACTTAACCATCTTGAGGTTGCTGCTACCCTCATGCGATTTCTTTCAGTCTTACCCGGTGGTATCTTGGGCGAATTGCACCTTTTCCACGCCCTGGCTGATATATACTTTCGTTTCAAAGACGAAAACACCATGGCCACTCTTTGTCGCGCAGAATTGATTGCACTTGCAATTGAGACTGTCAATACAATTTCGCGCCGCCACCTTATCTATGGTATCTTTGCCATCCTCCATACATTTGGCGAACTTGCAAAAAAGACGAAGTCATTAATTGAATATGAGGCCTTGGGTGTAGCTTTTGGTCCACTTCTCATAGGGGAATACCTCAACTACAACATGCCTCAGCCTCACCCCAAAGGAAAATTAGTCGTTCTCCCTGTTTCCTCGCCCAAGTCACATAAGAAAAACAAGGGCCAAATTCCACTCACAGATGATAAAGGCTTTCTCTCTGTGTATGAGAAGAAAAGACTTGCTAGTGGAATTGTCGAGATGGTCAGTTCCCATTGGGAAGAGGTGAAAGAGTGTATTTTAAACCCACCCGAGCACAGAAGTACACGGGGCATCAAAGGAGCGCGAACTCCAGATTCGAGCGAGTATCAACTACGATCTCCAACTCCAAAGCGTCGTAGGTACAACCCAGCCAACTTCATTACACACTACTAACACTACCATTATCAGGTTATGACCCTGAATCTCGCCTACTGAATCAACAACGCCACGAGAAGCACGAACAGAGGCTAGAGAAACAAAAAAGTCTCGCATCCGTATCCAAGTTGAGCCAGAGCCCCCCATCAGTCTTCCGATCTGCTTTTGAGGAAGCTACAGCCAAGAAATCAAAGACATCCATCAGCAACGAGTCGATCCCCGAAGTAATGTCAGTATCACCCAAGCGCATTTCGCCAAGTGAAAAGCGAAATTCAGGGTTCACAGGTGATTTCTCAATCAAGAAGTCACCAGCAAAGCCTTACATTAACTTTTCCAAACCGTATAGAGATAATTTCAAATTCATGTCCAGCGGTGATGATGTTTTTGGCCCAACATTAAAGACAGTTGCACCAAAGCTCACTGAGCTTCAAATGAAGTTCGAGGAACTTTCAAAGTCGAACAAAAAAGCCAACTTGACAAACATTGTCGGCAGACGCACTCCGGATTTGTGTAGTCCCAAGGGACCATCTGAACCAACTCGTCGCATGATCTCGAGTGCGCCAGACAACAAGAAAAAGTCCTATGGACATTTGGGAATAGCTGGAGTTTTAGATGTGAATCCAAAGATGATCGATATGCAAGTCCAGCCAGAACAGCAAAGAGCAGAGAAAACTCCCCTGAAGCACATAGCTCGTCCGGATAACATTGCCTCCTTGGCTAAATTCAACAAGACAATTGACCAGTTCGAATCGGCAGTTGATCGCAATATGGAAAACAAGTCAGCCAAAATCAACCGCAAAGATCCTTCGAGTAGGTTGTTCCACCAAACTGACTCATCATTGGTGACCGCCAACAAGCCTATCTTGGAATCGAACAACGCCTCGAATAAGAACAAAAGCCCAGAACCCGCTCTTACGGAACGTAATGTCAAAAAGTCTGTCAGAGGAGTCTCATCTCAACAGGATGGCCCGACAGCAGAATCAACGCAAATTTCTCAAATTCCCAAGAAGAGTCTATATGAGAGAAGCAAAGCTAGATTGACTGGTTTAGGTAAATCTTCTAGATCGGGCTCTGGATCTGGATCTGGATCTTCTATTCATAGTCACAAATCCCTGTTCAGTCTCAAAGGAAGCAGTCTTCCGGGAATCAAAAAGAGTATCAGCAAGACTTTCAACGGAACCGGCACGAAAGTCACGGCCCTCAAGGCCATTTATGAGCCCAATAACTCTGTTGCCTCGACCCCGAAGAGAACCCTTCGTAAATCAATCCCGGATGACAAGCGGTCTATAGAAATACCAAAGAGCCTTATTGCACCTTATACGTACAACCCACCTTCTCCAGCAAGATCTACGACCCGTAAGGCTCAACTCAAATCGATTGAGCAGCATAAAAGTGACACATTCGATGGAGTTGGCCATGATGAGGAGATTGGAATTGCTCTTCCAGGTCCAAATCTCCAGCGTCAGTCGGGGATTGAGGACCGTGATATTCGCGCCGAAGTTGAACAGATCGGGAAAGCTCTTCCAGATCCAGATCCACAACAACACCTTGAGATTGAGAACCGTGATCTGCGCGCCCAAGTTTTGTCTCTCCAAAAACGCCTTGAGGCTGTCATGGAGGAGAATAGGGGCATGAAATTGACTATCACACAATTGATGAAAGAAGGACATCCACAATATCGCACTAAAGTGTTGGATATAGTTGGAAATGCTGGATTGGATGGAGCGAAGGAGTTTGAATTGGATTCAGATGATAGTTGTAACACCATCTTGAGGTCTTAGATTTTTTGTTTGAGTATGTTTACTACTCATGATGACCTTGAAGGTATTGCGGAATCAGGATAAAGGTCAGGAACTTGATCTGGGTAGTTTTCCTTTCTGTTTGGGTTGTGCTGATGACAGGCTGTCTAAGGATGACACAATGACATTCCTGCTTAGGGCGAGGGCCGCAAAGGACTTTTCCTGATGATTGTATGAATAGAGAAAGAATTGCAAATTTCAAACGATAATGCATAAGCATATCCTAGCGATGTGATAAAGAAATTGTGTGTGAAAGAACTTAGTTTGTGTACATGGTTGGCAAGGTTGCCCAAACACTTGGTTGTTGTAAATTGCCCTGGACTGGTAGAATACCAAGAGCTGTCATCTAATATTCACTGGATTCTGAAAACTGATGTGAGGATAAACCCATGATATTCTAGAACGCCAAAATATTTGGGTGCCGCGCTTTTTCCATAGCAGAAATACTTCTGTTGGCACTGAGCGCTGGACTCTTGCGCAAATTGAAGTTGTTGATCCTTTTCAATCTCAACAACAGACCAAGTACAACCCACACCCCTCAACCAACTCTCCTCCTTATAACAGCCCAACACAACAACCACGCGCCTTCAAATTCCCAAATCAGAATGTCGCGTGCGAAAACTGAAGAGGCTGAGATCATGGAGCAATTGCAGTCTGAATCGCAGCTCTGGAGCCACGAAGGTGAATCTGGGAAAGGTGGGCAAGACAGCGATGGAGAGGATAGCAGAGCTACAACACCAGATTACGAACATGAGGGAAAGATTGGATGGTTTGACTTGAGACATCCTGGGGTATCACTTGGTGGGTTTCTTCTTGAGTATACGTGGGTACGGGACGACGCGTGGAAGCTGATTGATGCAGTGCTTTGGTATTTCTTTGTTGGCTTCCCGGCTGCGTATGGAGTGGCCTGGTTGAATTGGGAGGGTTTTCGCTGGGTGGGTTACGAGAAGATTATGCGGTCTCCTAGTGGGATTGTTATGACGAGAGGTCTTTTTACAATGTTCTACGCGCCTATGAACGGGGTTGGGCTAACTGTGATGTAGTGCTCTTTACGTTCGTCAGCATCATCCTCGTGGTCTCCTGGGCCATGCAACTCTCTGCTGAAGAGAAGGAGAAGCGGATTCGCAAGTTGAAGGAGGAGGCTAGGTTGTGGAAGAAGGCTTGTGAGATCTTGGAGAAGGAGAAGAGGGAGTTGATGTCGAAGGTGTGTATTCTTAATTGAAAGATTTTCTTTGGGGTTTATCTGATGTTTGCGAATAGGAACTTGAAGGCCCAAAAGCAAAATTCTATCCGTTTGCGATGCGTGCTAGCAAGGAACTGAGTCGGGAGTATGAACAAGAGCCCAAGGAACCGAGTGACTATTATCCAACGACACCAAAGGATATGATTAAAGAGGTTATGCGGAGACGAGCTGGGAAGCACTGAGCACTGCATGTCTGATAGTAATTCGAGGGGGTGGATGGATGTCACGAATGATGATTTCGGAATTATGGCTTTGCTTTCAAGGGTATGCTAGCGGGATCCATGGGGAGGAGTATTCCTGCATCTGAAAACAGTTCGATGGGAAGGATGGGAGAACTATTGCTATTTGTTCGCTATTATGAAGGCGCGTGGTGGGGATTGGCAGCCATGAGAGCCCTTCAGCACACATGCATGGTGGTTCTGAGGAAAGAGCATTCTTCTTCAATTGCTATTGCCAATACAAGTAATACATCAGCATGATATAATAACCTTCTTCAAGGCTGCTGCACATATTTTCGCTGTTCCTGTAGATTATGATTGGCACTCGGCATCTCCCAGTTAAGAGCGCACTTTCCGCCAAGCCTTGCCTTTCTTGGTCAAATCGTAATGATTTCCGCCTGGATGATTCTTTTTAAATGGTGGATACTATGATTGGATCAGTATTAATGTACAGGATATTTGACGAAGTAACATGAACTTACTTCCATCTTCCAATCCCAGCGATACCATAGTCTCTCATCGTCGTATGGAGCTGCCCTGGCGGGTCTCCAATCATCTTGGGGCTTCCAATCTTTCTTCCTTGCAAAAGCTTTATAGCCATTTCCTTCTCCATCGTCACCTTGATCATAGTCACTGGCTTCCTTCTTCTCGCTATACGTTGCAAGCGCTTCATCTATGTAGTCTGCTTTGACAGATACTTGCTTTCTGAGGTGTTTTGAGAGGTCGATCCCAGCTTCGTCGCAAAAGCGAACTACTTCGCAACCCCACCCGCATACAAAGTCCTGCGCAGAACCATGGAGAAACTCGAGAAGCAAAAGGCACATGATAGGGATGTTCTTGATCTCTGAGTCGGGTTTGAGTAGACCGTGATCAGAGAGCTTCTGCAACGTGGTAAGGACCATTATTCCAATCATATTGATTTCTGCTTCCACACCAGGGCCATTCTCGTTACCTTCATCCTGTCAGCGACGATCTCGGGAAGTAAAATAGAAGACATACCCATCCAACAGGTCATGTAGAAATCCTCAGCGATGGTAAAGCAGGCGAAACCCTCCACATAAGCCCAAAGTTCACACGGAGTAACAGACTTCTTTGAAAGGTCGCGATCGAGATCCTTCAACGAGTTGCTCATTATTTCTGAGACACCCCATCCATTCCAATCTTCATACAAGTACATATCTCTTGCATCTTGGTCTCTCTTCTCTGCTTCGTCGGAAAGCTTTTCGAGGATAGCGCCTCCATCTTCTGTGACAGGGATGCCTAGATCTGTTCATCGTTATGTTAGTTTATTTTACGCTTACGTTAGACCGGACGTCATGGGAGGGACAGAGCAGATTTTGCGGCGGTCTGTATCAAAGTGTTGTATTCATACGAGGTAGGATGGCGAACCATGTTGACTTACCTGATACACGATCAACCCATTTATCAAACTTCTCACCAACTCCTGGCATATCTTGGTCTTCATAGTCGATGAACTCGGCGAGATTAGGCCATTCGAGACATATATAAGATACCTTTGAAGATTTCTAAGACAGTGGTTAGCGCTGATCCCAAGCAGACAGGTCATTGGGAAGATGTACATCTTTGTCTTTGGAGGTTTTGGAAGAAGCGTTATTTTTGTCTTTCTCTTTGGTAGAGGTATCTTTGGTTCCTTTCTTTGCAGGTTTCGTGGAATTGGAGCTTTTTGAGGAAGATTCTTTAGCTGCTGAGAGGGATTCTTTGCCAGTTTTCTTTGCAGCTTTTGTTGAACGGGTATTGTGGGTGTTCTCCGACGATGCTTTGCGTTTTGGTGGCATTTTGATGATTTGGTCTTCGTATTTGGAAACTTGATAGTATGCAGTTGAATTGATCAGATCCTGAGAGGTAGTTCGCTATATAAACCGATCTAGTACGAGGACGTCATGAAACCAATGTGACGAAATCGTGATGCAATGTTTACCTTGAGCTCCACCCTGCGTCATATCAACACGAAACGTACACGTTCTCACGTGGAAAATCAGACAAATTGCCAAAAAGTTAGAAAGAGATTCTTCGAGTCTAAATTGATTTTCTTGAAGGCAGAGGTGTGAAGGGAGACTTTAAAATAGGGGACAAAAAGAACACGTGGTCTGTGAAATGATTGAGTTGTGATTTGAATTATTTGCATAAGTTCCAGGTTTGGAGTCCAATGGCCAGGATTTGCATGATTAGACAATACCTACTGAGCCATCACAGCATTTTTGTTTCCCTGCCACCGTTTTGTAAAGTCTGGGAAGTTTATGGAATCGTAATTAATAGGATGCAGATGGGTGTCTCGCTTCACAGCTCTTTGCATAAATATACTTACAGTACAAGTGAGTGAAAAGGATTCAATTCTCTTCAGAAACACACCTGCAGTTGAGGAACTAGTCTTTAAGCTCGTAGTATGAAAAATGAAGTTATAATCCAGTTTGTTTAAAACAGACATTCCAAATGTGACTTTCCATTATTCTTTCAGAAACTTTCGAATACTTATTCAATAAAAGCAAATTGTTTCGAGTGATGTTGGTAGAAAGAACCAGTCAAATACTGCTCGTTTTAACTGTGATTTAACGTCAGGTACAAGTATTCGAAACTTTTTAGCTCACTTGAGAACTGTGGTCTTCCGCCGCTTCTGCGGGGGTTCTCTTCCCCACAGCCGGAGTTTAAGCGGCGGGATTGAAACCCCATCAGGCTGAGAGTCATACTTCTTTCAACTTCAACTACATACAACACCAAGATGTCTTCCTCAGAGGCCACCCCCGTGGAATCCCCCAAACCAGTCGAGGCTCCTCCCAAGCAATCGCAACCAGATGCTGCGCCTAAATTATCTGGCGCAGAAATAAAAAAACAAAAAGCTGCCGAGAAAGCTGCGCGAAGGGCACAAGCTGCGAAAGAAAAGCAAGGAGGGGCCCCCGCACCACCTTTAGCCTCACCAGCGCCGGCGCAGAAAGGAGATGGACCCAAGGCGCAAAAGTCCCAACAGAAGAGGCGAGGTTCTATGTCCACTCCAAAAGATATTCCCATTCGGTCGCAAAAAGGAATTGTTGTCATTCCAGAGGAGCCAAAGAAAGAAGACAAGACGGTCGAGTTCTTTCGACACCTTTACAAACCACGGATGAAGGGTTTGGCAGGTGCTGGGAAAGATGCTCATCCTGCCGTACTGGCTTTAGGAATTCAAATGAGTAACTACTCGATTTGCGGGAGCTCTGCTAGACTTGTTGCGACGCTGCAGGCATTCAAGAGAGTATGATTCATTGCAGACAAGTTGGAAGATCCGCTTCTAATCCTGACATTTAGGTCATTGAGTCGTATACGACGCCCCCAGGGAACACCCTAACAAGACACCTTACCTCGCACGTTTTATCACCACAAATTGAATATATTGCTTCATGTCGGCCCATCTCAATATCAATGGGAAATGCTATTAGATGGCTGAAACTTGAAATCTCAAAAGTCGATATTGATACCCCAGAAGCAGATGCAAAGAAAGCACTTTGCGAAGGCATCGATGTATTCATACGCGAACGAGTTACCTTTGCGGACCAAGTTATTGCAAACAGCGCAGCAGAAAAGATTAGGGACGGAGACGTGATTTTGACATATGCGAAAAGTAGCATTGTTCAACATGCTTTGGTGAAAGCGCATGAAGACGGCAAGAAATTTGGGGTGATTGTTGTAGATTCAAGGCCACTACACGAGGGAAAACACCTGGCAGCAGCTTTGGCTGGGCTAGGAATTGAAGTAAAGTACTGCCTCACCAATGGACTGAGCCACAATATTCAGGATGCCACCAAAGTATTTCTCGGAGCTCATGCCATGATGAGTAACGGACGACTTTTCTCGCGAGCTGGAACTGCACTTGTTGCAATGGAAGCAAATGATAACGATAAACCAGTGCTCGTGCTTTGCGAGACCATCAAATTTACTGAAAGGGTTGCTCTTGACTCGATTGTTCACAATGAGATCGCACCACCAGACGAATTGGTCATCACGGGTGGGGCCCTGGAAGCATGGAGAGATATTCCACATTTACAACTTTGCAATCCAATGTATGATGTCACACCAGCTGAATATATTCAGATGATTGTTACAGAGTCAGGAAATGTACCCCCTACCTCAGTGCCTGTGTTACATAGGTTGGGAAATGAAAGTCAAGGTTGAAGAGGTTATATGACTAGGGAACATATATTGATATCTCCACAAGGTACCGGAGCATTTGGATGCAATTCTGTCATCGCGGAGAGCAGCGACGATTCAATAGAACAGCCAGGTGATGCGAGGGTTTAATCAAGCCCCGGAAAAGCAAAGTGTGAGGCATGCCGAGGAGCGCTCACCTGGTGTAAGATATTGTAATGAAGGTAGATGACTGAGTTTGTGCTGATTGATGCATTTGCCAATTCGTGATCGTTGCTACGAGTCTTTGTGTACTTCAAACAAATTGAAGTTCTCAATTGATCGTAAATTGTCGTTCTTGTGCTTTGAAATAGAAACCTTGACATTCCGTGATGTACAGGAGATCCTGGAAGCATCTCAACGCTCATGTATTGTAATTGGCCTGGCTCACCCAACTCGGTAGTATCGGAAGAAGAGTCTTTTGATCAACCCAATTCATTTCAGCTCTCGACACCCTGACGATTGGCAACTCTTTCCTTGATTCCGCAAGCTCTTCAATTCATGAGCAAAACTCCAATACAATCCATGCGTCAAAAGATCTTCCCATCCCAATGCCCTTAGCTTTGTACAACCCTCTACCATTTCTGTCACCCAACCCGTGTTCCTATGGCTCCTGGTTCTCCAACTGATCCCTCCGAGCTCTCTTTTCCAACAAGCTTTGTCGTCTTGCCCCAAGAATCGCCTGTTGTCGTTCCTCCACGCCCATCATCCAATACCCGAAGCTTCCTCCCACCCCACCGAATAAGGGATATGCCCAGAGCGAGCCGCGATTGAAGAAGGGACGCTTTTCGATACCGAGTTGCCAGACGCGGACGGCGATACCTGTATCATAGGTTAGCTACAGCTTCTACGAACCACGGACTTGGGAGTTGAGGTACCGAAGCCCGACCAGAAGAGGACCTTGTGGATTCCCATTGTTGGTGGTGTTGTATGAGATTGGGGCTTGAGAGGAGACGACCACAGTGGGTGTAATTGGTGAGTTGTTTGGTTGTAGCTGCCCCTCAATGGATGGTGGTTTGGTGGTTCAAGTTTGGGGAGAGTTACGCTAGTGTGCTTGACCTTGAGGTTCCGCAATCCACGTGATATGGACTCTTATCTGGTGCAGGTGGGCACCTCCAGGGCTGAGGATGAACTGCCAGACTACTGCATACTTCCAAATTCAATTAGTTGCGTTACTTGATATCAATGGAGAACATTTGGTTCTGACTGTCCATGTCTCTTATGAGGTCAAAAATAACTTGTTCAATTCCAATGGTTGGTTGTACCCAGTACTTTCCTTTGAAATGTCACTAAACCGTAATGAATGTTTCTATTCATCGTCCATAGGTAGTTTCCATATTGAAGTTGTATGTCAGATCAGGCCTAATAACAGTCTGAAACACGTTCCAACAATAAGACAATTTGATTGGTTATAAACTGCTCATCAGTGAATTGGAGTCGTGGATATTTCCAGGATAAGATCATGTGATCCACTTTGAAATTCTCTCCGCACCTACCACCATCGCTCCTTCCCTAGCACTTGCAGATTACTAACATCCGGAGACTTTCACTCCGTATCTCCGGTTCCACCAAGATGGCAGGTGCACCTGCAGGGCAGCAGATCTTCCTTGGCGATGAGCCAGGCAAGGAACATAATTGCTGGGAGCACCCATCAGTTTGTACACCACCATTTTGTGTCTTGACAGTACAACCTCAACCAATACTTCCAATGCCGCCCCCAAAGGTAAAGCCCAAGGGCAAAGGTGACCCCGCGGCGAACCGCAAGAAGCTGAAGGCATCGGACCTTCCGCTATCTTCCTCAGTTCGCGCAGAGGTTGATGGTCTTGCGCATCGCTACAAGAAGAAGGGTGGCTACGACCAGTTGCGACAAGAGATATGGAAGGAAATGGAGAAGGATGTGAGTATGGCTTCGAGAGAAGGCGATCACAGTGCTAATCTATCATACAGGGCTTCGAGTCTACTTTCAAAGGAAAATTAATTGGAGTCGCCGACGCGGAAATCGACAAGAACCCCCATCAACTCTTGAAGCTGGATAGAAGCAAAGCGACGTTGCTACTCGAAGGCGCGGTGGAGCGAACTGACCTATACCAGGGTGCAGAGGCTTTGATCGATGAGTATTTGGACAAACATATGAAAGAAATTGAAGTTGGTATCAGAGCTCTTCGCGCCCAGGACATTGGTGAAGAGGCCGCAGAAGAGGAACGTATCAGGGGCATGAAGACCGATGCGCAATACGAAGCCGAGGCCGCAGAACGACGAAAAGCCAGGGAGCAGGTACGCATTGATCGCAATCGAAAGGCGGACGAAGAGGAAGAAGAACGAAGAAATGCTGCCAGGGAGAGACGTCAGGAGCAGGATAAGAGAGACGAGGCAAGACGACAGGAACGTGAAGCTAGGCGCAGAGCTGAACGAGAGCGTGAAGAAGAAAAAGAGAGCGCTATGCGTGAGAGGGAGCGTGAGCGGGATCGGGAGAGAGAACGTGAACGAGAGAGAGATAGGATTAGAGACCGAGACCGAGACATGGGCCGCGACCGCCATCGTGACAGAGATCATGATCGGTATCGTGATGATCGCTACAGACGACGTGACGATGTATCCCCTCGGCGACCTTCAACCAGAGATAGCAAAACTCCAGCTCCGTCAAAGCCAGAACTTACAAAAGAGGAAATCGAAAGATTGGAGCGGGAGGCCGAGAAGGAAGCTCTGGATGATCTTCTGAAGGAAGGCAAAAAGGTTGCTCAGCGGTCCTCGAGACATCAATTGGAAGTTGAGATTGACAAAACTCTTGCGCCACCTCCACGAAAGACAATGCCAGCATCCGCCATTGCACCTCTCTCCCGTGACTCTTCTTCCAAAACACCGGATGCCAAGAAGATTCCAACAGCACCAAAGGCAGCTAGAGTCGATGCTGATGGATTCAAGACTCCGCTCCCAAAGACTACCGAAGAGCCAAAATTGGAGAGCCGTGAGAGACGCATTGCTCGTAAAAGTCGAAGTAGGAGTCGAGACAGAGCATCTAGTCGAAGATCTAGAAGCAGAAGCCGCCGTCGCTATGATCGAAGCAGAGATCGCGATTCTGTTCGTTCAAGTAGACGAGACAGCCGTGATCGGGACAGAGACTCAGTTCGTTTGCGCCATGACAGTAGGGACCGAGATGATCGAAGCAGAAGACATGATAGTCGGGACCGAGATCGCAGAACTCGTGATGACAGAGATTCTCGCCGAGAACGTTCCATCTCACGCCCGCGTGCTGATAGAAGACGAACCAATCGTTCTCGATCAAGAAGTCGCCATCGCCGAGTTGAGAGAGAACACGATATCTACACGAGCCCTCGAATCAGCAGAGAAGAACAGGAAGCTGCCAAGGTTCAAGGTATCAAAGAGCGAGAAGCAGAAGCCAAAGCATGGGAGAAGGCTAGAACTGAGGCTGAAGCTGCTGGCAAGACTTTGTTGTATACTGATTGGGAGCGAGAAAAATCCAGACCAAAGGCACCAACCAAAGATGGCATTCCTACTGGACCTGCAAAAGATGCGGAGAGAGCTCTACTCAATTCTTCCAGATCTCACGACGATAGACCTCCACTAGATGATCGTTCGACGCGCGATGACAGACGTTCTCGAACCGAACGAAGTCGATCCAGACCTGACACAGCCAGAAGAGGCAGTCGAATTGAACGCTCAAGAAGCCCTCCTGGTATTGATCGGTATATTCCAGGAGCTTCGGGTAGACGCAGTAGCACAACTCAGAGAGACCGAAGCAGAGACCGTGATCGTCGTACCAGAGATGACCGCGAGGATAGTAAGAGAAAGCGGTCGAGATCCCGGGACCGAAGCCGTCGACGTGATAGAAGCAGAGATCGTGACCGTGAAAGAAAGAGGAGTCGCTCGCGTGGAGAGTATGACCGAAGAGATGCTCGACGTGACAGAAGCCGCAGCAGAGACCGTGAGCGTGATAGGCGAAGTGCAAGAAGTCGAACTCGAAGCCGTGAGAGAGACCGCAAGAGAAGCCGTAGCCGTGGCAGCCGGAGAGATTCAAGGAGATGGTCGAAGGAGTGATTCTGTATGTACGTAGTGTAAATACCCATACCAACTTTTTCAGACAGATATGAATACAAAATATTACTATTATTACGGTGATCTACGATGCTGATTTAAGTTCTCAATCTTCTTTATATATATATCTATATATTAACTTCTGTTTCAACATCTCTCCTCCTTATTTGGATATCAGCTAGAGGGTCTGCAACCAACGACCACGTAAAAAGCCTTGTCTTAGGTACCACTCCCTTAGCAAGCTTCCAATCGTACCTCAAAAGAATATTGCAAAGCGCCATCTTAACCTCGTGAGCGGCAAAAAACCTCCCGGGGCATGCATGTAGTCCTATACCGAAGCCCATATGTTCTGGACTTGTTGCTACAAGTTGTGAAGGAATCTCCTTGCCTGGTAGTTATCGTTGATGAAGGAACCTCCAGCCATCCAATTGTTGGTGCGGGTGTTAATGGTGTGGTATTCTGTGTGGAGAAAAGCGACAATACTGATTCTGTAGAGGTTGTCATTCCCAAAACTTTGGATCTTTGGGTTTTGATAAGGGAAACAGAGCCCTGAGGATACCTTTGTTGTTTGTGAAAATCCAATCTAGTGCTGAGCTGCATTCTTCTGATAGTGCTGCGGTTGTTTTTGTTGTGGAAGTTGGTGGTTAGTACTTAGAAGATCTCGTGAGATAGCTCTTAGGACTTACCTAGTTGATGTGTCAATTCCTTCTTCGTTACTTGTCTCAAAAGCTTCGCATCTCGTGCTCCTTTATCAGCGAAATCGAATCCAGGGATTCCTTCGTGGAAGTCCTATAATCTCACTATGGTTAGCAATGTATCTTTTTACAGCAGTGCTCAATGAAATTGTAGACATCACCCGACAAAAGAGGAACACACCTGTAAAAACAATTTCACAAAATCCAGACGATGGTCATCTTTCAATTCCTCCGAGTACTTGGGACTCAGAATCACAATCTCACTACTATCAGCCACCATTCTAAGGCCTCCCCTCGCGTCACCATATTTCTCAAACCCCTCCTCTACCATCGGCCGAGCCTCCCTCAAGAATCGGTACTTTGCACGGAAATGGAAGATATCTCATTTACTGGGTTTGTTCATCCATAGAAATGTATTCAGTGGCGAGGATTTGGGGGGAAGAGTCATCTTTGGATGGGGAGTGAGATGATTAGGATGGGAAGGAGGGTGGTGTAGGTGGGTAGTTGGATTTGAGAGATGGTTTGGGGTGGGAAGGATATGATGGGGAGTGAAAATGAGAGGGTTGATGGGTAGGATATGTTGGGCTTAGATGTAATTGGGCAAAGGAAACGATTTAATCAGGCGATGCCTCGAGTATGTCTGTCTGGGAATTGGATTAGTTACAGTGCCAGGAGAACTTAAGATGCGGTCACTTTCGCCAAGACTTTGTACGTCTACCTTTCCAAGCACGATTTGTTTTGTTACTTTTTTGATATCAGGGTTCTTCTAAAGAAAGATCGGCGAGGATGAAACTCGTGATAATGCCTTTTCTTACTATAAGATACCTAGTCGTTACTCTGTACACATTATACAAAACTCTATTAGAATAAACTTGTAGTACAAGTAAGATAATTGTCTTAGTATACCTAGGTCAGTGAAAAGTAAGAGTTAATAATTATTTAAGCTCTATATAGAACTATTTTAATTGTGCGATGTTTTTAGGATAATTTTATTCTAAGAGAGATACATATAGAGTAACGACTATGTCTCTTATCTCTTCCCTTTTGTTTTTGCTAAGCTAAAATCTAAAAGTATCTACCAATAGATTTAGATGATCTACTTGGTGAACCTGCTCTTTTTCAGAAAACTTAACGTCGCAAATTAAGACACTACAGTCTTGAATATAGTATCTCTACTAGCTCGAACGCCATGATAAAACGAAACGGAGTACGTCATTACCGGTAGAAAGTTACATGAATAAGTTCAGCAACTCTATCTGAGCTCCAAGTCAGCAGGAAAGATCAATGCCATAAAAAAAACAAATTATATTTGCTTACTCCGTAGAACCATGGCTGCATGTCTTGGCGCTCGCTAGATTCAGGGGCGCCCGCCAATACGCTAAGCGAAAGCTAAAAGTCCCCATGGAGGATTTTCCGCTGCGGGATAGTAAGAGAGGCGGGCATTACTCCGCACACCCCTAAGTTATAAAAACATTACCCTAAAGACCTTATACAACTAGATTAATTCGATGAATAGTCTAGAACAATTAAGACTTTTCACTCCTTATTAATTAAGGTAAAATAGGACAAGTAATAAAGTTGTACTAGACTTTTAGTATAATAACTTTATGTTGTGCTGGGTCTACTTTCTCTTTTGCTCCACTTCCTGATTTGATCCACTTATAGCTCTGCTGCCTAAATGCTTCATGTCTGCTTAAATCTTACACTCTTTATATAAACACCTTAGATAGCTACCTTTTACAATGCAATCAATTCTCCATGACCTTCAGTACCCAATACCCTTTCAACCCAATACTTTAAATAGCGTGTATAGAGCAATGTCTAGATTTCTTACCTGCAGGACTTGGTATGGAATTTTCCGAAAAACGAATGTAGTCAGCTGGGGCAATTCGTCTGTTATTTTTCTTTTAGCTCGGCAATCTACCTTAATTCATCCAACTTATCCGGGCTTTCACAATATGGATTACGACAGTAGAATCCTTTATGCTAAAGCTCAGGAACAAAGCTGATGTCAATATTAATGAAAACAAGGAAAAAATGTCAGATTTATAGTATCAGACCGCTACATTCTTGCAATTTATACCAGTACCCAAAGACAATCAAACCTACGGCGCCTATGACAGAGTTTTGTTGGTCTCAAATCCACTAGCTGCTCTGATCTGCGGGCCCCATTTATAGAAAACCCAAGGTATAGGCACCATCGCGAGAGATAAAAAGCCAAGAAGGCTCGTGGCCCATCTAATCCCTAGCTGACGGTACACTGTCATTATTAGCGAGAGTCAACACTTCTTTACACAAACACTTACTGGACACCGTGAATAGAGGAAATGTTTCCCCTAGAATATATCTGAGTAGAGTATTTGCCGCAACAGCACTAGCAGCCGTGAGGACTGCATAAGTGTCGATTAAATACAAACAAGCACTGATCTGCGTTATATTAGCAAGGTGTTTTGTTTCGGATGCAGAAGACTCACGAAGATACATAAGTTTCCCCAAGCAAAGGGCACCATACCGATAATTGGAACAATCCAGTGGACATTTTCCCTAGCTGACCATGCGAACCTGCAGATGTGAGTAGTTGGGTGTGAAGTTATGACCAAGGACGCCATACCAGAATAATCCGACCGGTAAGCCAAACGCACCAATCATAGCAGCAGGCAATCGATGTTCAGGTGTAACAACGGTGGTACTTCCTTCGTGCTCAGACTTCAGTAATTGTTTTTGATAGAACAATCTATCACAAAGAATTGTGGTGGGAACTGCAAAAGTGCAGCCAAGCCCAACTGCCAGAAACACAAGTCCTGTGATTCCACGATCGAAGTGGTATACAGTACCGAAAACATATGGAGCACTAGCAAAGAAAGTAAAGATGACCGCAAAATTGAAACCAACATATATACTGAGCAACGACACGATAGGTTCGGTAAAGAGCATTTTCGTCGGGCGGAGGAGAGTGATGAATACCACTCCAAGGAGTAGCTTTGATGCAGGAGGCTTCGCCCCATTAGTCGTTTCTATAATAGCTTCAACTTTCTTCGCCCTTCTTGAGAGGATGGCCTTGAGATATGTTTCTTCCAGAAAGAATACCGGAAAGTATGTTACAGCTATGATGATTGCCAATGTATACTGGGACCATTTCCAACCATTGTGCTGTGTAATAAATCCTCCAACGACTGGGCCGATAGCGGGGCCCGGAATAGCGATGTTAGCTTTTCTTTGTGGTATAGCAGGCTACCATATGGAAGACTTACCTAAGAACGGGATATATAACATGAAAGTACCGGCTACAGCTCGATCTTTTGGATGAAACAAATCTGCAGAAGTTCCAGCACTAACGGGAAGCGAAGCTCCGCCAAAAAAGCCGGCAAAAAAGCGGAGTAAACATAAGGCTGTTATATTTGGAGAAAATCCGGCTGCTAAGGTGAAGATAGCCGAGATGGGAGGGACGACTTTGTAAGTGCCTAATCTGCCGAACATTTCACTGATCCGGACTACTTAGCAGAATTAGCAAGGGAGAAGAGGTGACACGCACAGGTGCACTGATCATTGGACCAAAAGACAATCCAAGAACATAAGTAGTGAGCGGGAGGATGGCGACGGTATTGGATACATGAAAATCTTTCATCACATCGGGGACAGCTGGTGTATATATGGAACGTCCAAAGGAACTAGAAATATATTAGCTTTGAATCTCAAGGATGACTGGTGGTCCTTACATGACAAAACATAGCCATGACGGTACTCCCATATTGTAAAACTTCTTGAGTGTTGACCAGTTGAGAGGGAGTGTAGGGTCCATTGCAGCTGGTGGTAATTCTTTTGGCGCATCTGAACTCCCTTTAGACTCATGGCTTCCTGAAGGGTGGTTGTCAATACTGGCTTCCTCTGAGTTATTCTTCGAGGGTAGATGCACCGATTCTGTAGTATTTATGTCGTTCATGTTGAAACTGAATGATAGCTCCCGTTCTCGAGCTGGGAAAGGCGAAGAAGAAAGGTACAAATTCCGAGAGGGAGTGTGTTTTACCATACGTAGTGACTTACAACTTGTCCGTCAGCCACCAACCTTCATTGTTCTGATATTGTGGGGGGAAGGAGGGTGTGTGCATGATGAGGCGAAAATACGCGAGGCGCGACTCCCGCCAACGTGATGTAATTGATGGGCTGAGGTAAGGTTGATGTCGCAAGTTTCCCAATTTAGACTACTACAACCCCATGCAACCACATAATCTGTATTTTCTCACTCATACCTGCATCGACTTCGTATTGATAGGTCATCTTCCCATTAAGTCGTGTGCTGATACGTATATGGTACTTTGATTCCTAGCGCTGATACTGTGTAGATGCGAGCCGATTATTGGGAAACCTTTGATTGGATCGACCAATGTTCGCAGTCCTTGAAAAGATTACCCGGTGAATAAGGTGCAGATTTATACAGTCAAGGCCACTAAAGTTATAGCTGAAATCGTCACTGATCGTACATTGACCAGAAGTGGGACCTACTGGAGCTGTACCTTTCAAGGACTGAATTGACAGCGCTTTCTGACGTTGCATGTAAGATTACACACAATTGTTGGTTCTTACTGTATTGTAACTGGTCTGTGACATTTGGCAACATCCATCTCACAACCTTTGACTTGAGATAGGCCAGTCCCAAATATGGATAGTGAGTCGAAGCACCAGCTAATCCAAAACGAAATAATTATCTACTGATGAAAGAAGGGCGGAGGGGATAAAAGGGTTGGTTAGGTTGATCTTATAATTATCAACGCCACGAGGTTACAGTTAGAGACGTCGTCGGTACTCTGTACACACCTCTCAGAATAGAATTAGTTTAAAAGCGTCGTACAATTAAAATAGTTATATAAAGAGTGTAGGATAATCGTTACTGCTTAATTTTGATTGACTTTAGTATAAAATTACAATTGTTTCATTTGTACTAGAAGTTTAATATAATAACTTTCTAGATAGTGTATTCAGAGTAATACCCCGGTATCAAGGTATCTTACTGTATCCCAAAACTTGGCCCGCTCGTGATTGTCATGAAAAAGCCCCGATTGGCGAAAATACGACTCTTGGACAGTTTGAACACTTTGAGTCCACTTAATCCCAAGAGCGGATCTTGGAAATTTTCTGTTCTAAACTGAAATAAAAATCTACAGTTTTGCCCTATCTGTTGCAAAGAAAATAACCGAGAGTCCATGTGACGGTTATGGTCACGAGGGCTGGATGTCACATGCTCGCTTAGCGAGGCGCTAGCGCGCACGACCTGTATTTAGTTCCCAGCTCTCTTGAGCTCTCCTTCTTTCCTCGTCTTTTGTCCTAAGAATAGAGTGTTAATTGTTCTGAGTTCTACCTGAAGCACGTCTGTCACAGTCCAAGCGGTAAAGTACGTCAAATATGGTCTTTCTTTTTTCGCTACGAATATGGATATATGCACTTCTTACTGTAATCTAGGATCTTCGTACTCCGACTTACCTAGAATGGCGGCTTGATTATATTTCAATTGTTATTTCCCAAGCTGTGTAATCTAATGAGCTACCTCCAAGCGCTTCATCTGAAGCGGAACAGAAATATCGGTCGTAAGCGTAAAATCATTCAACATATGTCCAACAGCAGGTCCACCCTTGCGCTCAACATCACCCACCAATCTAAAGTCCAAGAAACGCAAAAGCTCAACAAAGTGTACCTTGATACATGTGCGGCTGAAAAATCGCCCGGGACAGCTGTGCGTGCCCAGACCCCAAGCTAGGTAGTCAGAAGTCGTGGTAATGTACTGGTATTTATTCTCATTTCCTGGCATCGCTCGGAGCTTGCTGAAACGGAAACCATCAAACCCGGCAGCTGGGTCGGCGCCTTGATGACTGCGTAGCATTTCTCGGTGCTGGGTGAAGTATGAATATGGTAAATTGGTATGCCGATACGTGTGCCGGTGGGAAGAGTGTGAGTGGAGAGAGTGACGGGTTTTTGCATGATTCGGCTCATATCACAATCGGGATAAAAGGTATTCGGTACTAAAGTTCGGTGATTGTATCTCTAAGTGGATATTAATTTAACGCCGGTGACTTACAGAATACTGAAACGACCATCCACCAGGAAGAGAAACAGTCTGACTACTGATATATTAATAACCTTGCGTTTTCAAGACCTGATGATCTTTGATCCATTGAATTGAGGTATTTGTACGGCTGTCAGCCTGGTTTGATTCTAGTAAACCGAGCGTCAAAAGCGCTGTGTCCCAAACTAGACCAACAGTGACTTGCATTCTTAAGCCATCAACATCTTCCCATATGGCGCACTCCATTGACTTCTGGATATGCTGCAATACGGGGTGGTCCGGCGGCGCATAAACCCAGAAGTCCTAGAAAGTTCGATACAGTCAGGGAACTGAAACCCCCGGCGTCTAAATGGTTGACGACGTATTGCTTGCATTGTGAAATTGAAAATGATCGTAACGGCGACCATCGTAAGACTGGCCCGACTAGGGAAGCCATCTCATCAATCGCGATGCAGCTCAATAGCGCATAATCGCCAGCACGTTAAAGGCTGGACAAAGAAGAATTGGTCCTATAAAGCCTCTAGTCAGATAGATTTAGAAAAGATTCGTCGAGAAATGCGGCCCCCGGAGGCTCGTCATGACCATCTCCATCCCGACTTCCGAATGGGCGCAGAGGAAAAACAGGTTGATGGTACCACAATACCATGATAACCACGGCTGACATACGAGCCCAGTGTGAGAATGAGTATATGTTGACCGGCGAGACACCAGCGGGGAGAAGCATAAGCTCTGCTGGGACTTGTGCAATTTCCTTCCATGGAATAATGCCGAAAATGGCAAGCACCAACTATGAAAGAACCCCAATATCATTCACACCACGGGATTCTCGTATAAAAGATTTTGCTTTGAGCATTGGTTCTGAATTTATGGGCGTTCCCAGCAATTTCAGTCCAAAATATGCTTCTGTTGAAGTAGAGACGTCACCAGGCCATTTGTACACTGCTGGCGCCAATCCCCAAGACCCATCATATGGATTTTGTTGTGAAAGAAGAAAGCGACTAAACTTTGATACTTCTTCCGGCAATAGGGAGGGACTCAAGATTCGTCGAATACATAGCCATTGTACTGTGAATGATATACTACTGCGGACTCTGAGGCACCAATGGCCGTCCGTTTTCATCTGGTTGTATGAAAAGACGGCTGCTTGCTTGACGCATTGCTCAGCAGACGATTCGATATCATCGTGGAGGTAATGTGGATGCGAGGGTGAATAGGTAGCCATGTTGATCTGGACTTGAGGATTATAGAAGTTGGAGGATAGAAAATTGGGAACGAGAAAAGATAGAAGTTTGCGCGCTGAACATGACTTGCCTTTTGAATCGCGTGATACCTTTCACTCCTTGCCAATATAGTACATTATACTGAATCACGAATCTCGTGCTTGTGTTTCTTTGGCTCCCGCCTTCTTCGTCCATTAGGGACTAAGACTAGCGGATGCCAAGTTTATTATGTAACGTCTTTAGGGCAGGGTCGGTGGGCTGAAGAGGTTCGGCTTCTTGTAGTGAATTGTGAGCTGGAATAACGGTGCGATAGTTTGTTTGGACTATCTAGATTATGACTTGTAGAGTTAAGCTGATTATTCCCTTCAGCTGACAGCCAGGAAGTTGTCCATTTATATAAAGATATCGCTGTATACTTTCCCCCTGAAACTTGAGTTCTGATCTACAATTTTTATAGAAGTCCAATATTCTGGCAAACTCTATTTGTATTCACCACTATATTTTGGGCAATTGATTTATATATTTTTGATAGTATACTAAGATGGATTAGTAGATCGTCTTTCGGATACGCCTTCTGACATCCGAACAAGCTTTTCAAATAGCGGGCCGCCATTGTGTTCTCCTAGCTATCAAATTCCCACCTCCCACTCTTGCGGGGCATGATACTCGTACGTGGGAACAGGTAACTGCTGACTCATCATTACACCTCACTTGATAAGCAAACACTCATGGTGTTCCATGTTTAATATATTTCCATAATCTGGTTTGGGAATTTTCTCGATCACCCACAAAATGAATACCAAGCTTGAAGGTCACAAAGTGGTAATCCTACTTTGGTACGATTCACCTCCAGCCTTCATCCCTCACCTTCAAGCGAAACACCCAGGACTACAAATCCTTTGGCACAACTGCAATACCACCAAAGTCTTACCGGAAGGAACTTGGAAAGACACTACCGCGTTGTTGACTTGGGATATTATACCTGAGCTGGAAGAGGTGCCGAAGTTGCAATTGGTACAACTTACTTCTTCGGGTGCTAATCATTGTTTTGGTAAGGGAATTTATGAGAAAGAGGACGTTGTATTCTGTACGAGCAATGGGACGCATCCGTGAGTGAAGAACAAAACAGCTGGGTAGGAAGTGAAAGCTGATTGTTACAGACCTCAAATTGCGGAATGGGTTTTTGCTACATTTTTGAGTTTTCAACATCGAATACCGAGATACATGGAAGCTATGAGAGAGGAAAAGTGGACACCAACTCAAATTCCTGCGCCTGAAGATTCCGTGGGATTGAGAATGTATGTCTCTTAACTTCTTTCCATGATGGTTGTGCGCGATCTAACAAATCCTCAAAGTGGAGTACTCGGATACGGAGCCATAGGCCGTCAATGTGCCAACGTCGCAAAAGCATTTGGAATGGACATAATAGTCTTCACAATGCGACCTCGTCTCACTCCAGAATCTAGAATCGACGATTCCTACGTCGTTCCCGGAACAGGTGACCCAAATGGTCTCCTCCCATCAAAATGGTACCACGGAACGACCTCGGAATCACTAAACCATTTCTTAGCTCAAGACATAGATCTCCTTCTCATATCATTGCCTCTCACACCCTCCACTACCGGTCTCATCGCAAAAGAACAGTTTCACATCCTCAAAAAGAAGAGAACGTTTGTCTCCAACATTGGACGGGGCCCTATTATTAAGACAGATGATTTTATTGAGGCGCTAGAGGAGGGGTGGATTAGAGGGGCGGCTGTGGATGTCACGGATCAGGAACCGTTACCCAAGGGACATAAGTTGTGGAAGGCAAAGAATCTTTTTATTAGTCCGCATGTTAGTTGGCGGAGTACAAAGCATGCTGCTAGGCTATTGGGGGTGTTAGAGACCAATCTGGAGAGGTTGAGTAAGGGGGAGGCGTACGTAAATAGGGTTGATAAGGTCAGGGGGTTTTAGATGGGATTTAGGCTTCATTTATTTTCTACGAGGTGGAATGAGGGTGAGATTTGTGCACCCGATTAAATTGTAGCTAGATTCTGGAGGCGTAGAAACCCAAATTCTCTCAATGAGACTCATACTTCAAACACTTAACCTTCCTCCTCAACCTTGTATACTTTCAGTCTGTAAATGAACGCTCCCAGTTTCTCCTGGTTTTCGGCACCCAAAATCACCGATGTTACACTGATCTGGCTGTAATGAGACCAACCAATGATAATCAAGCTCCCATCGGAAAGCTCGCTTGCGAATATCTTCTCAAACTCATCTAGGGTGCAGGTCAAGAAAAGAGGGAAGAATATGACAGACTCCTTCATGTTCCGGGACGTGAAATGATCCTTCAGAAAACACAATGGTGTGGTACCCTGAACCCGTGCATTGGGGTCAATGACCAATTTCTGATTCTTGCCATCATCCATCACGTCTACACCAAATGGTCCATAATATCCCACTTTGTGACAATGCCTGGCGATATCTTTAGCGATACTTGCATATTCGAGCTCAAGGGCCTTCTGTTCGTCGTACGACATGAAGCCTCCAGCCCAATGTCCGGTATCATCGACGTACTGCCGACAACAACCAAGAAAGATAGGGCGACCGGCTTTAGTGATGAAAAGTGAAAGACCACGGGTCTCGCTTGGAACCATTTCTTGCAAAATGAAGCTGCTTGGATTCAAATGCTGATTGGACTCAACCGTTTGTTGAATAAGCTTGGGTAGTGCTCTTGCGATCGTATCTAGTGCATTTTTTTTGTCTGCCTCGGAGCGGACTACCCATACACCTTGACCTGAACACGATTGTGCCATCTTGATAACGAATGGGGGAGAGCGTGTAACGATAGGTTTTGTCATTCGTGCCACTTCTGGTTCCACCAAGCTTGAAACATTGACTTGATCTGGGCGTAGAATTGTGTCGATCACTTCAGAAGACGGAGTCGGAATACCTGAGACGGCAAGTCCTCTTTTTGATTGAACCTCGTAATGGACCTCTGGATCAACAACGTGTGGGAGATGGGTGAGGCAGTCCATTGGTTGAACAATGGCAATGCTGGATCCCGGTGGTATAGCAATATCTTCTGGCCTCTCAACGAAGTGGACTCGTGGTTGCTGTGCTGGAATTAACTGAGAGAATGTGTACTCAGCATCTTCACGATGGTCAAACCCCTCGTTCTCAAGATCAAACATAACCACGTCCATTTTTCCTGCCAAGAACCCAAAGATTTGCGGAACAACTTGAAGATTCATCCTCACGAGTCTTCCGAAGTCTCCTGCCCAAGCAAGAGGAGCTTGGTAAGCGTAGTGGGTTGTCAACGGAATAGAAGTTATCAATTGTGTGTCCGCACTTGGTAGAGCATACACCAGCACTATTTCATCAGAGTTGCCATCTGATGCATAGAGACTTTTGAGCGTATTGTCTAAGGTAACTGATGCTGGTGGCATGTCTGGTTGTTGGGTATGAATATGATGCTGAATGAGTAGCTTTCTAAATTTTCTATGTGATATTGCTGCGTTAAAGTTTGCTGGGACAGAAAGAGGGTTTAAAAGGAGGTCCAAAATACCCATCCTCCTTCCTGTAGTGCGACGTGCGCTAAATAAAGATGGAAGGCGTCCATGTTAAACCATGGCCTCCAATAGAAATCATGACTAGTACGACTTTGTGCAAGCAGCGATAATACAAAGCACACTTCAGTGGTCCGTAATACTTTACATTCCCGTCTTGGCGACAATAGTAAACATTCTGTACAAAAAGAAAGAATCACAGTAAAAGATGGACGATTAATCCCCTGTAATAATTGGCTACGGTTATCTGAGAATGAAACGCAGAGACTCAAAAGATTCAAGCGTGATTTTTCCTCGCTCTTTCCTTCTAAAGTGATTTATCCTGCGCATCTCAAAGGATCATGCTGCTGGTTACTGTAATACAGTTGAGCGAAACTCTGTACACAGCTAGGCTAGAAAAAGATATTAGTCTAAAAGTCTCGTACAATTAGAATTATTCCTTGAGCGATTTAGGATAATTGAAATTAATATGTCTCTATTAGCCTAAGCAATTTAAGACAATTAAGTCAATTGTTCTAGGAATTCTAGCACAATAGGATTTTATATGCGTGTCCAGATTTCGCCCAACCAGCTTACTAATAAATACAATGATTCATTCACTGCTGATGTGTAATTATGAGAAACCCTTGGAAAAAAGAAATCCATGAAACTAGTGAATCTGGTTAAAGCACGTGGTATGATACTGTCTATCGTAATTGGTATTCACTGAACCAAACATGGGAAGCATCATGCATTTATAATAGAAGACCATGCCTGAAGCCTCAACATCTTCAACAAAAACTTGATGCTTCATATTCAAGACACCATGCGACTTAGCAACTCCAAGTCCAGGCAGACTTTAGCATACCCCTGTAAGTGTACCAAAACGTCATGTCCAAAGGGAAAAGTAGGAGTAGGATTACAAAACACGGGTACGGGTATGTCAACAAAAATATAGTTTGATTTCAATTCACTAATAATCGACGATAGAAATGCACACAACATTCGAGAGCAATAGACAGCTCACGCCAAATCCACGAAAGACGAAGCCCAAAGGACATGAATACTTAGAAGTTGAGCGATATACAGATGTCAATAATGGGGAATATGGTGTCACGGCAAAGGAAAAATCAGTTTTACAACGCATTTCCGCCCTTGTGTGGACTCTTGGTCTGCTAGCTATTGTTTGTTTTGCAGCGATATTGATACTCTTGGTATTTCCCGCAACATTGTTAGCTGTGATGGCATCAATAGTATTTATATTGTCAACATTGCTATTGATAGCCTTTGGCCTGCTACTTACCATGCTGCTTTGCGTATCCTCGATAATGTTCCTTTGTCTACCTCTATTTCTTCTCTTCGGCGAATCTCTCTGCGGACCTATGTCGATAGTTCCAACGCTTCGTAATATCCAACGGGCGACTTTGAAAATTTATCGAAATGGAATTCCGCACCTCCTCAGACATACAGCAATGCGGGTCTATAGGTTCTTCCTCGCCTTTATCAAAGCTCGTGCTTACGCTCTCATGCTGCGCGCCAGAATAGCGACATGTCTGACTCTCGTCAAGGTATTCCGAGACTTCTTTCACTACAAAATAATGTCACGCGAATCTGCAGGGTAAGATTCCTTTCTGTCAAGAATTCATGGGAAATCAACTAACAATCTATATAGAGCGATACTCTGGAGCAGAATCTCATCCCTACGTTTTTCGAGACCCAGAACTTGGCTCCAAAATGCCTGGCTTGGCTCCGACACATATTATTTATCCGCCTCTGGAAAGCAACCAAACAGCTTGTTGCAAATTCTAAAGGTGGACCTATGGAAGCACCTCTACCTTTGGTACCATAAGCGGGACCCGATTGTTCTTTTCAATGTTGGTGTAAGTATTGGAGCTGGACTTGGACTTGGATTTGCAGGAATCATGCGCAAACGATCTGGAAAGATGAATAGTAAAGATAGAACCTAAGCAGTGGCATCTGGGCGTGTTTGTAAGCGGGGTACGCCGAGCAAAGGGCCTGTGAGACGAACATAGAATGTCTATTGTTGTATCTTTCTGTTGGTACTCCAACTCGCGATCTCAGACAGAGCAGCTCTACTCGAGTATAGTGGATATTCCCTAAAGCAAAGTAGTGCTAGTTTCGCACTTTGAGTGTATTATAAATGTAGCAAATCAAACTAAACTGAGAACATTATCAGGTCTTCTCCATAAGCTTCCATCCTGTCTGAGCTACTCTGGCCACTATTAAAGCCACCGCCCCCAAAAGCATACTCGTTCCTGCCCAGATCTGTGCCCCTAAGTACTCTCCTTCACTCCTGTCAATTAGCGCACCCGCAATTGGACTGCCAGTTAGACTAGCAAACGCCACACTAAACACCATTCCCATACGAGTCCCAAGGTTACTTAAATCTGTAGTCAAAGCAGCCAATGAGACCGCGAATAGCGACTGAATTGAAGAAGCAACCAAGCCATGAAAAGCAGCATATACATACAGCCCGCTATGTGAATTGCCTACTCCAGTCCAGCAGTATAAGACTATAGCGACAGCAGTTGCGGTGGGAATGGCTGTGTTAAGTGGACCGAGCCATCGGAACACGATAAAGCCAGGTATGATACGACCGGGAATGCCTATCCCCTTCGCTATGAGAAGAATATTTATTGAGTCCAGGGAACTGAAATTGGCGAACTCATAACCGTAAAGGTCCACCTGCTACTATGTCAACAGGTATACTATCATGATGTGGGAGTGAACAGACGTAGTAAAAAGCGAAGTAGACGGCCCAGTAAATGAGAAAGAACCCAAGTACAAAGAATGTATAAGGGATTTCGGTGAATGCTTTCCAGTCTACAAGTGGACCTGATGTTCGGGGAGGAATTCGGACTCGAAGAAGGAGATTTATTACGATGGCAATGAGAAGTGTGACGAAAGCCATAGATCTGATTGTCCATTCAAACCCTTTGCTTGTTAGTAAAACATCTGATATGAGATCGCGGGGAAATACACACCAATTTCAGGAAGAAGATGCTGTATCATAATAGGGTAAACTAAGCCCCCAGATCCTGCCCCAGAAGCAATGATGGCAACTGCCAATGACTTTTTTTCTTTGAAGTATGAGGATGGTACTGAGAGTCCCGGCATGTAAAGAATTCCCATTCCCAAGCCAATGCATATTCCCTGAGACAGGAAAACTTGAAAGTATTTCGTCGAAAAACTCGCCATGAAAAGACCCACTACAATCAGCAAAGTTCCAGCCAAAACTGCTTCATGCACGAATCCAGCGTCGCTTGCTCGACCAGAGATAGTTCCGACGAGTAGTAGTGTGAAGATTTGTATCGTCCCAATCCAGGATACTGTTGAATGGCTTGTATGAAGTGTTTCTTCATAATAGGTTTGGAAGATTCCGAAGCTTGTGATAAGGCCCCAGGTTACAAAGCACAATAAATGACCCGCCAGAACCTGGAGCCATGCTATGGAACCTCCGTCTGGGGGCGGGCCTGGGTCGCTTGTTGGTATAGGTGGAAAGATGCCATATCTTCTTGGTGCCTTTGTTTGAAATGATTTATTTTCTTCTGAGTTCTGGAAGGAGTCACATGGCGGTGTAACCGTCGCACTTTCCATCTTGGAAAGTGAAGTTTTCAAATGAGCTGCTAAGGTTTTCATATTAGGGGGCTGACTTGCTTTTGACATCGTCACACGCCACTCACATATCCCCTTTTATGTCTTGCAACACTTACCTTTCACAAGGCCCTAGACTTATAATCTATGCATGTGCACTACTTAGACTGCAGTTGCCTTGTCAGGCTGAGATGAGCAACAGGACGACCGAATCGACTGCCTAAAGAGGAGAGGGACCTGTATTGAGGAATCGCAAAATCATGCAGTGGAACGATTGGTAATTATGTAATGGAGACTGAGAAAATGACCCCCTTGATTGATTCACCTAGTAACTCGTATCTGTTTCTGGACGCCTGTCGAGGCACAGGCGGGAGTTCTATGGGGTCCCAATCAAAAACAACCTTTTTTCGAGATCAAATTTTTTGTTCTAAATCACTTGCTCTCACTTGCTTGTACTAAACAAGCCGATT